GCAGCATCTTTGGTTGTGCAACTATAACTACCTCCAGATGATGAAGCTGATCGATCTCTAATGGTTAGCGGATACCTGAGAGACTTTCTTGGCTCCTAATAAATAAGTGTGAATGTGAGCGGTATTGTTGCGAGATTTTAGTAGAAGGTGGAGTTCGTTTCGCTGTCGGAGGCCATCGTTGTAGACCACAGAACAGAACCAAAGTGATGTTTTCCTTTGTTTTATAACTTAACTTATTGATCAGATCACCTCGATAACGATAAATGGACGATAACTACTCTACAAGCTGCTCACCCCTCCCACATTAACTTCTTCTACTTCAGCCGCTACAACTTTTGAACCGTCCTCCACCCTCACCTGTCTTTCCCTCTTTGTTATGGACTGGATGGGGTGGAGTCTCGTAGACCATAGCCTACCTACACACATCCAAAAACAACATGGGCAAAATGACATCGGTTATTGTTGTAAATGTTATTAGGAGGTTCATGTTTTCTATGATTGACACTTGCGCTTACGAAGATTGCGTAGCTCACTGGGGGATACGCTGTTTGAGCCGAGCGAAGTGACTCTACAACGCTACTGCAAGTGGTGGTTCCGGGAAGTGGAGAAAAACCCGGAAATACAGGGAGCAATTTGGCCTCAAATTTGTAAAATGACGGAAGGCGGAGCCAAGTTATCTATAGTACATACAGTTTATGGTCTTGATTAATAAAATGCATTTGGTTCCTGCTGGTTTTTGTCCATTTTGAGATACTGTAGAAAACATCTAGAGTGAGGACCTGCTGCTTTGTCAATATAAAAGACTTTTCCTGATAAAAACGGTCCCAAAAATGATAAATTAATCTGGATTTAGATTAAAGCGAACTGAACTTTGTAACCTTCGAACCTGCGTGTATACAAACTTTAAAAACGTGAGAACTCTGCAGATCTATTTATGGATTCATTCGAGGGTGTCTCATGAGGAAAACAAGCCAATAACTCAGACTGCCGGGTGTCAAATTACAGATCTGTCTCCCTCCGTGTTAACTAACTGCTTTTTTGACACTCAAATGAGACAATCTGTTTTCCAGCTCCGGCTCCGGTCCAGCTGGCCAAACTATTGACACTGCTTCAGTCTTAAACCCTTTAAGACTGAGAATGAATCTGGATTATCCAGTTGTTTGGCATTTGATGTCACCAAAAACTTCCTCCCTGATCGGTTTATCCCAGAAGTATGAATTATTATTTCTGTATTGCCTAATAATCAAGAGGATCAGGTTTTGTTTATGACTGTGATTTTTAATCTCTTAAGGCAACATCATCCTCTGATATCTCGCTGAAAACTGGAGTTTCCCCCGCAACACAAATACACAGACGGCTAAAACACACAAATGCAGACATGCATGCCCACACACTCCTTTTTCTTTCCCCTCCATCTCTTTCACACACAAACACACACACAGACACACACACATCAGTGTTTCTCACAGTCTTGTCTCGCTGTTGTTTGATTTACTCGGTGACCTCTGACCCTGGCTGGGCTGAGCTGGATGGACTCTTGGGACTCTTGGCCCTGTTTCTGCTCCAACTGGTACATTTCCAACATAACCCCACTGGACCTTAGTGTGTGTGTGTGTGTGTGTGTGTGTGTTTCCAGATAGACATGTTCACGTGCGGACGGTTCCTGTGTCACTTTGTGGTCCAAAAAGCAAAAAGCAGTATTGATGACTCCCTTTTATTTTGGCTCTGTGCGCCTGTTGTCGTGTTTTGGAGGTTTAGCTGAATGAAGCTGTTTTCACGGAAATCTACACGATGGAAAAAACGCTAAATACTGCGTTTAACAAGCTGCTAACGGACCTGTTATCATCATTATATGTTTTTAGTTTATTGTCAAGCTTTAAAGCCAACAACGCCATGACTCCATCTGACCTCTGCCTGTGAAAACACTAAAAATAAAGACCAATGGAACAATAGAAAGAAACTTAAGTTCACTGAAACAAACACAGACTGTTCAACTGAGTAAAAACAGACTAAACTGATATTTTAATTAGAGGAAAAGTTCATCAAAAGTGTCTTCAAACTGGACCGACTCCCTCCGTGACTCCCTGTGACCCTCTTGGTTCTCACACCTCGTCTCTAACTCCATCTGTCCGACGTTAGCCGAGTCGCCTTTATGGTGGCCCTTACAAATCTGATTATCGGAGTACTTCCATCACGGTGTACATCTATCTGTCTCTGTTGATCTGAATCGATGTTTGGAAGGCTTAAACAAACCCGTGTGCTGATAGATATAGTAGAGTATCTTCCTGGATGATAAGAAATAATCAAATCTGTAGTAAGTAAATCTGTCAGCGCTTCTTCGAGCGGATAAATCATAAAAGAATGTTTTGTCTTCGTACGACTTTGATGCCTGCGCTTTTTCTTTCAGCATAAGTTTTATGTTTGAAGGCCGTCCATAGCACCGAGTTTTTAAACAGATGTGGGATCCCACTGTTTTCTGCCTCGCACTGCCAAAAACACTTAAGGCCTGTTCTTCTAAAGGACAGCGCAGCTTTTGCACCCTTTAAACCTGCGTGAACGAGCCAAAGAGACACCGTACGAAGGGTTAAATGCTCGACAAGCTGCAGAGTAAAAAGTGTTTCTGTGTATCAGTGTTGATTGTATTATAATGAGGCTTTAGAAAAAATGTTCTTATTTCATTAAAGTGCAAAAAAACTCTTTACAGCTGCTAACCGCCCTGCACAGTCTGTCAGACATGATAGTTTCATGATGGCTAGTCCGCAGCTCAATTCCTGCACAACGGAGTGTGAACGCGCAGCTTTCCATTCTAATAATTTTGCAGATTAATTGATTATTTGGATTATTTAATTATGACGTTAATGAATTTAAATCCTAAACGAACATGGCATTTGCAAAAGAAGGCGATAATTTCGTGGTTAAATAGGACAAGAGCGAGTCAGTCGTGTGGAATTGGTACGACTTCACAGTTTCAGATGAAGAGTAAACCACTCCCCGCTGTAAAGTCTGTCTGAAGGCGGGATCAACCCATCACCACGAAAACGAATTCAGGAGTAAACACTAAAGTTTTTTGTCATATCGGCGTTTCATCCACACGGAAACGGCGTTTCAGGTGACTTTGAACGTACTTTTGGAAAATGGGTCAGAGAGTGTATAAATCTGTAAACGACGTCCATTTCATCTAGTGAAACAATCATGTGACACACAGAGTAAATCTTTTATGGCGCCTGTCCATCCAAAACAACCTTTATAGGCATTCTCCGTACTCTTCTTCGGTCTTTTGTGTATTTCCTGTGCTACGTTACAGCGCCACTTACTGGCTTGGCATATGTACGTTTTTGTTTTGAGAGATGATAGAAAAACTTTTGTTTTTTAAAGTGAAGTTTTGTGAAGTTGTCACTTAATAAAAAATCGAAATCGGATTTTATTTTTGGTCAAAATCGTGCAGCCCTACTTTTTGGTATCCGGGGATAAAACATAAACCATGTGTCACACCTGTAATGAATGACCTTATAAGGTCTTTCTTCCTCCATTCAGCTCATCATACATGTAGAATTTAGCACCTTTAGCATGGAGACACTTACAGCTCATCTCATCTGCAAAACCGGAGCAAACTGCACAGAGCTGCAGAACTTGTGGGTGTTTTTTCATTTAAATATCATTATTAATAAATCTGTTTTTGACCAGTGCATTCAAACTGGGACTAGTCCAGTTAAATCCCTTAACTGAGGTTTATCTGTAGCTCAACTTCACTTTGCATGTAAAAGTACAGACTGTAAGAAGAGTGACGGTGTCTGACTGATGCATTTTTTTTCACTTCTCACTGAGTAATAGATTTAACCGTTAACAGAAAGCAGGATGAGACGTCCACTTGATCCAGATTCGACTTAAACCGTAAGTTTCTCAAACTGCCGGAGTTACCGGGTTAGCTCTTTTCCTCGTTGTGCAACCCACTCGCGTCAATCCTCAATCCCTCGTTCTCAGTTCCCTCTAAGCCGTTGATAAGGAAGTAGCCTGAATTTTTTTTTGTCCTTTTCAGCGAGAGTGACCTAAAAGCCGGCGGGAGATGGGGGAGGTATGTGTTACAGTACAATAGCCGGTAAGTCTCTCGCAGTAACCACTCCAGAGCACTGAGCACATGCTTATGGAGGGAGGCTAATCAGCTTTCTGCAGATGGGCTAATGTCCTTACTGTGGCTGAGAGGGGGGCCTATATTTAGCGGCCACTCTCTCCCTCTTAACAGGGGATAACACTGGCCCTGTCCGCCTCTCCATCGCTCATTTTTCGCCGCTCGAGTTCATCAGGAATCCCACGCGGGCCGAGATGAAAGGAAGCGGAGGCAAAAGAAGAAAGGAGAGAGGAGGTAGAGATGTGAAGATTTAGTTTACTAACAACGACAAAGTTTGAGAAGAGAAAGATCAGATCAAAAGAAAACCCGACTTTGATCCTCCTCGACTCTGAGAAGTCAGGTAAAAGTCAGACGAGAGGAGAAAATATCAAAGAGATGATGAAAGAGAAACCGAGTGAAATATTTTTTTCCCAGTGTCAGCAGGGAAAGTGACATCTGGAGGCTCTGAGGCCCCCGGGGCATTAAGAGAGACGCAGACCTGGAGCCAATCTCCTCAGTCTGCTCCCATGTGTCCCAGGAGATCCAGGCTCTGCTGGTAGTAAGGTCTGAGCGTTTCATGAAATCTACCTGCTGTTGTTAAACACTCAGCGCTAATGAAGCTTGGCAATCCACGCGATGACGGCAGTTGGAGGGCTCTTGACGCGAATCGTGACGTCTCTCGATGGGGAAATCCGTCACACTCAGCTGTCACTTGCTGGCAGAAGCCGCCGTGCCCTCTGGGATTGTGCGAGCACCTCAGGGCATTGACCCGATGAGTCTGGGTCCGAACGCTCAACGCCTCCAGAGCGAAGCCCGAGAGGGTGACGCTTCTTGGAAACCTTAAACTCTGTGTGAGTGTAATGAGAGTGGTAAAAAACGTGACTGAACACCTCTGGTTTGTTGGTCTTTCTCTGTTTTTAATTCTCATGTTCGTCATCTTGGACACATTTATCACAACCATTATTTTCATGTCCCAACAGGACGGCATTTAAAAACACATGAAGAACAATGAAACAATCTCTTTGGAGCAACAGAAAACCCATGAAACAGCTCAGAGCGCACGTCCGACCGAACACGAGTTAAATCTGAACAACGTGTCCACCTGCGCCGCTCTTCATCAGCCAAAAAAAAACCCCACATATTCGCACACACCACGCACACAATACAGACTCAACAGCACAGCTTTGGATCTTGGCCTGCTACATCAGTCAAAGACAAACTGTACAAAAATAGAGATTGATAGAAAAATAGGAGATCTGACGTGTTTGAGGGTCTTTTGCACTTTTAAAGCTGAAAATGTACACCTGTTATTTCACAATCAGACGAAAACTCTGCCGACTCGTCTTACTGCCGTTCCACCTGGTTGTTAATCATCAATTATCAGTTATTTTTATCACATACAGAGAGAATGATTGGATAAAGGTCCCGGGGTTTACGGAGGATCTGGGAGGCTTTTGGTTTCTGACTCTCCAAGTAACATAACTTTTAACTTGACATTCAAAAGCTGCTCTGCTGCCACATCCGTGCACACAATCCATCCTCCACCCCTCTGACAAACACACCGTCTGTTATATCACCCGTCCTTTTTTTACGCCAGAGAGGTAATTGTTCATGTATTAGCATTTCAAACACTCTGCAAACCTGCTCAACTTTTAGTTCAGGGTGTAATCAAAACTCAGAGGTGGACTCTGTGGACATTTTTGACCACAAGAAGTTCAACAGAGCGGCGCTCGTCTGCGTGTTTGTACTGCGCGTGCAGAGACGACATGTGCAAAGACGTCCTATCTTCACATCATCAGTTTTTAAAGAGAGGTTAATGTTAACACACAACACCTCATTGTTACTGGAGCGTACAAAAGCACAACGTTTGGTTTTCGTGAGAAAAAGAAGAGAATTTTTATCTCCACAGATCAGTTTTAATCGAGCAGTTTTCCATCTCTGCTCACTTTGACAGGTTTAATCCGGTTTAATTTAGGTTTCCTCCTCTCTGGTTACCATGCAGCGCCTTCTCGGCTCTATTTCGCAATCTTCCAAACACAGATAAGAGAAGTTATTTTTTCCCTTTGTGCCAAATCTCCTTTATTTCCTCGTCGTGTACTCGACTATCGACCATTTTTGATTCAGCCTCCACCCCCACCCCACCCCCGCCTCTCTCTCTCTGCAGATGATGAGATTATGTTGTTACTTCCTCTTTAGTAATCAGGATGTGTGTTCTTCCAGCAGGACGGCAGATAAGAGCAGAGACTTCGCTAAACATCGTTAAAACAAAAAAGAAATCCCTAATTTCCCTCAGTGTAAGAGACCTTCCTCTGCAGGTAAACTAACTGTTCCACAGTACATTCATTATCACCTTTAACATGTCAATGAGACGAATCAACAGCTCTCTAAAATATCTGTTTTCCCTTATAGGCTTCATCTAGGCACTTAAAGAAAATTATTCCTGTACAGAAATAAATCATGCATTGCTTCGTTGACTCATTTCCCCCCCAGAAAAAAGAAAGATTGGTATCAAAGTAGATCTTTGGATTTGTAAACAGTATCCAGTTCCTCTTTTGCATTGTCTGAAATGGTGCGTACATGGCGTGCACGGACAGAGTCAGAAAGTCAGCGTTGCTTGACGACCGCGGATCAGTATCTTCAGCGCTTCACGTGTCCTCTCAGTTTTTGCATGTTTTTAAAAGTTTGAGTACCGGTGAGACGTCGTCACTCTCTGCTGGTGACTCTGAGGCTGAGCCAACTGGATGACAGAGACGTAAAACCGATGGGTCGACTCTCCTCTTCCTGCTGTGGCGCCCTACGACGGGGAAAACCCTCTCCCCGGTCCACAGCCTCGCTCCAGTTTGTCCTCATTCCTTTGTTCCTTTCTTTCAGTTATTCTCTTTGCCTCTTCCTCGTCGTTATTCTTCCCTTTTTTTTTTAAGAGTATGGGTTCCGTTTGTCGTGCCAAAGTGCGCGAACATACTCAGAGTTTAGTTACAGGGCAACCAGGTGGCGTACATGGGGTGTTGCAGCGGAGAAAGGTAATGCTGGGGAGGAGAGGGCGGGCAGGGGTAGACGGGCTGAACCTGAGCGACGTAATAGTTGCTGAAGTTGCCGTCCGAGACGTAAGGAGCCGGCTGGTAGAAGCAGGTGACGTTGGCAGCGTTGGGGATGGCGTTCTGCTTGGCCAGGACCCGCAGCGCCAGCGAGGAGATGAGGCTGAGCGTCTGACGCCTCTCGTGGCCCATCAGGCACACCGTACTCTCCTGCACCACGTCGTACAGCGTGGCCAGGTAGTCGTACTTCCTGTCCTCTAGGTCCACAAAGTGGTTCTGCAGGTAGGACTCCAGCTTCCTCCTCTGCTCGCCCACATCGGGGAAGTCTATGAAGAACCGCGAGCACATGTAGCGCTGCAGCAGTTTCATCTCGTTGTCCGAAGCCGCGCGGAATCCCCGCACCAGCAGGTGGCAGTATTTCAGCAACCCGCCACCTCGGATCTCCTCGGGGCTTCTCGTGCAGATGAGGCGCTTGCGCAGGTGATCGAGGGCCGTGGGGAAGTCGCCGTAGACGCTCTCGCCGAGGATCGTGGGGTGGAAGGTGGCCGCCATGGGGTGCTCTGAGCACTCGTAGAAGAGGAGGAGGGAGTCGAGGCGGATCTGGAAGGAGTCCACGCTGAACTCGAACTGCCGCCGAAGGGAATCCACGAACTTAAGCTCCACGTTCTTGCCGCGGTTGTTGGAGAGCGAGATGAGGCTCCAGCGGTCGGAGTCGTTGCAGACTTTGACCATTTTCTGCACGTAGGCCTCCTGAAAAACATGAAATCAGACAGTTTAATGAAACAGCTCAGATATGAAGAACTTTCTCGGACCTGATAGGTGTCTGACAGTCGAGTATATCAGTATTTATTTAATGTGATATCCAAAAGAGAAATCCTAATAAGGCCAGAGTGAAGAGAAAATGTGTCAGCCTCTCTTTTTCCATCACAGAGACCTTCTGCGTCTCTCTGTGTTTACTTCAACTCCTCCTCCTCCTCTCATTTCCTCCTTTCACAGCTGTGAGACAGCGCTGCTTCTCACACCAACGCTTCTCTCTGACAACACTCACATGAATAATGAACACATGAACTTGAAAATCTAAGTGTTTATTTTCTTTATAGACTTTCCCCCCCTCTGGAGACATTCATGTTAGTTACTTCAAATCTCTAAATGGTGTTTAGTCTCGGTCATGTCTGTTGGTGGGCCATTAGCAGCCCTGGGTAGCCCTCGGTATCTAGGTAACTGAGGGCCGACTTATTAATGTGGATCCGACTCCAATTGGATTAGACAGAATCCTCTTTGAATTGGAAACCGACCTTTTTACTATTTGAGGGCTTATATCTGAGTGCGGGTTGGCTGTATTCAGGCCAGATCTCAGCTTGTTTATGTAAGCTGTCTTAAGGTGAAATGTCAGAGTATCTGCAGACAGGAAACACGGTCGCTGACCTGTTGCGCACAAGTTCAGAAGTGTGCGTGCGTAATTTGCGCATGTAAAGTAACGATGGAGGATAAAGTCTGCAGAATTATGAGTTAAGAAAAGTGCAAATATATAAACCTTAATTCCTCATTTAAGTCATGTGTTGATGATAAACAGACATACTACCTTTAGAGTCACCGGTGTGATCTTTTCCTTATTCACCCCCTCGGGCAGGAAGTCCAGCAGAGAGTCCAGGACGATATCCTTCACTATCTGAAACTCCATCTCTCCCTTCAGCTCGGCGCAGAATATCAAGTCCAGATCTTTCCACCCCAGACCGCTGTCCTCGTGCAGGACGTAGCTGGCCGCGGAGCCGTTCAGGCGCACCTCCCGGACGTGTATCCGCTTCTCCTCCATGCGGCTCCGGACCACCTTGACGATATCCCGCGGCTTCACCTCCAGAGTGGGGAAGCTCCAGCGGCCGTGGATGGGGATGGACCCGGTGAGGATGGTGTCCAGCCGCTGCACTTGCTCCCAGTTGAGCACGCTGAGGCTGATGCTCTCCCCGTCCGAGCAGCTGTCAGCCGCAGCGCACTCGACGCCCTCCTCGTGCATGATCAAATAGAGGTAGAAGGATGTAAACGCGCAAACTTTCCACCGACTCCCGCTGCAGGAGCTGTGGGATCAGCTAGCTGCAACTTTCTGCACCACGGTTGGACTCTCAGAGCTGATGTCTCTCATCATAGCACGGCGGCGAAGCGGCTCTACGCATGACGGGAAGAACGAGCTGGGCGGTGTTATGCTTGTCCTACTTCTTACATAAAGTCTGCACTCCAGACAAATTCAATTCATGAGCTTTCCAGCCGTAAGGCTTAGTCACTATCCAGCATCTGCTGCCCCGCTGCGCGCTGCGCTCCGCTGCTGTCGCCAAACTCTGGAAAGCAGACATAAACTACGAAGCTGGAAATGATTGTTCCTCAACTGTCAGCTTTTATTACGTCCCAGAGGCGCACTGACGCATCCATTCCATCCAAGAAAACGTCTCTTTCGACACAAAAGTTCCTGTGCTCTTCCTCTCACTTTTACGCACGAATCTCTGCGCGTCCTCGCTGCGTAAACTCAACGTGAAAAGGTTCCCGCACCTTCAGTTTTACACCTCCCTTCAGAAAGAGGCGTATGTCCGTCTTTTCCACTACATTTTGGCCGTTTCTCGCTGAGTTGAGTGCGTGATGCCACAGAGAGGTCCCACTTCACAGCTGCTGCTGGAGGAGAAGTCGTGAACAGTCGTGCTTCCCGTCTGAGAAGCATCGGGGCGGGTTTCTTTTTGATTGACAGCCCACACCCACTAATAGTCACGGCTGAGTCCAAACAGTTACTGTGAATGACTGTGAGCCCGGAGACAGGGGCGTGTCTGGAGGAGAGTGGGCGTATCGAGAGAAAAGAGGGAGACTGACCCCCTTTTTTCTGTCTTTTCTGTCTTTCTTTCAGCTCTCCTCCTCCTCCTCCTAAAACGGCCTCAGACAAGCCTCCATTTTTGAAACACTCAGATATCTGTGCAGCTTATTTTGGTTTTAAAAGGAAGTCATTTAGAGTTTAAAAACTGATTTCCTTGAACGATAAAATGACTGGATCCATTTTATATTTTGTAAGATCATAAAAGTTTTGTTCAGCAGCAAAAAACTTGTGGATTAAAATATTTCATGTTGGTGCAGTCACCAAAAAACTGTTAGAAAGTGAGCCTAGGTTAGCGCTTAACGGCATCTTTCTACGCATCCCAAACGGCTACGAAAAGGCCGTATCTGCCGATCGTAGCTGATCGTAACCATTCAAGTTAATTGTAAAAGTTAATTAAGGGTCGAACAAGTGAAAGGTTTTTAGACGTCATTTCACACTGATGACACCATGGATGAGGAGATGCTGATACTAGAAGTCTAGAAGTAGATTTCCTCCTCTGGAAGGACACAATCTACTGCTCACATGGTTAGCCTATGTGGCTAAAGACAACTTGTTATCACGTGATTGTACGTGAATCTGCAGGTTCTCTTGTGAGTTCTTGTGATTCATGCTGTCTGTAATTCGCCTCACAAACGGATCTGGTTGGAACTGGCGGATGGCGAAAATTGCAGCCATTCCAGATCGGAGCTTTTCCGCATGCAGTGGAAATTCCTGGTTAGACTCAACGCCCCCTGGAGGTGATGTTCTCACCTGTTATCCTGCAGGTTGTAGCGTGCCCAAAACCTTAAACTTGTAACAAATTTGCTGCAAAATTTCACCTTTATCCTCCTAAAATGCAGTTTATTTAATTTACATTTCAAAAGTAGTACTTCATGCATGTTTCCTCTCCTTTCTAATATGATATTCGAGTCTAATCTGACTGTCAGTATGTAGGTTACAGGCTCTATGGTCTCTGGAGGTTAGTTGTCATGGAGAATCTATCAGCGTGGAGCTTGGCATGCATACCTGCGTCACTGCAGACGAGCCCATAAACCAGCTTACAGCAGATTAGCCTGTATGTGCAGTGACACTCACATTCACAAAGACACACATGTGTGCACGGACACTAACTCTGCAGGAACAGGTTTCACTGTCGCATTTGAGTTTTAAAAAAGAGGATGCACTGTTTCAAAGACGGTCATAGAGAGTTAACCCCTCTGTGTCGTAACCAAGCGAAATATTGTTTAAGTTTGAAACCATGTGACACTTGGGAAAGTCCTCTTAGGTTTAAATATAAAGATGTAAAGTGTATTCTTTATTTCTCTTTCGCATTTGTTTTTTCCAGTGAAGTGTGCAGAAGTAATTTTCACTTCTTGGTCAAGAGTCGTCTCAGCGGTAAAGCAGCTGAAATATCATAAACTCTGCGTCCATATCGCCAAGTTCCAGGCACCTGCAGGTCTGTAGTTTGACACACAGCAGCAGGCCAGTCACACTAAGCACTTTTCCCCATTCAGCAACAGGCTCAATGTCAGGCTTAGTGCTGGCGATGCTTACTGTGAAGCAGCTACTTACCTGACCTCTGACTTGTCAAGTGGATGACTCCGGCTTGGTTTCCAGTGTCTGACGACATCAGGGGATTGGCGAAGGGGATTTCAGGCGGGCCCCTTGTGAGGCTGCCAAACCCATCACCATAAATGAAAAAGTGCGAATGCGTGCGTTTTTAAATTGAATGTGCACATGTCGGTCTTTGCGCTCGGATTTGGAGAAACCAAACGGTTGTTTCGAGCCGGTGCATCTTTTCATCTTTGGCCGTCTGCCATCCGCACTAATCTAAAATATCTGTTTCTTCACTTTCACCGCTCGCAGTCTGAAGACGTTTCCCTCCCCTCCTCCTCCTGCCTATCCCATTTTTCAGCATTCCTCCACGTGGAAGTTCATTAAGAGATTACAGTGAGCCCGTTAGGAGAACGTGCCTGCGTGGTCTTCCTCCTCCTTTGCTTTCTCGGCTCACAGACTCGACACCTACCCCTATTTTTATTCCGTTGTTATCTCCATTCCTTGGCAGAGATCCATGTTGAATCTGACGTCAACTGAACGAGCACGCTTAACTTGGTTAGTCTGACTAACCGTCCTTCCTGTCGCAGACGGGGTTCTCCTCGACGAGGTAGACATGGGAAAAGAACCAGATTCTGGTCGGACTGTTTAAGATCATTTTAGAGCCAGAAAGAAAGAAAAAACTTTCACTCTTTAAAGATTATTTTTGGATTCTGTTTTTTTTAACAACAAATATCGCACAAATGTTAAAGTAGAGTTTCACATGGTTTGGTTCTTGGACAGGTACTTTTCACCCTAATCCTGAAATTTCCGTTATCATAAATTACCCCAAATTTCCATCGCATCCGGTATGGCTACGAAAAGGCCGTATTTGCAGATCGCTGCTGATAGTTTCCATTCAAGTTAATGTGTGAATTTACTCTGGCTTCTTTGCAAGATTGCAAGAGTTCTATTTTTCTAGATGCCAAAGCATGCCGGATAAATTCAGCACAGATCAAACAGTAGCTCAGGAGGTAGAGCGGTCGTCCAATGACCGGAAGGTTGGCGGTTCGATTCCCCCCTAATCCAAGTCTGTCCGTTGTGTCCTTGGGCAAGACACTTAACCCACCTTGCTCCCAGTGTGTGTCCTCCACTGGTGTATGATTGTGAGTGTTGTGTGGTGGTGGTCGGAGAGGCCGTAGGCGCAGAATGGCAGCCACGTTTCCACCACCACCAAAGTGTGACTGTGTGAGCGAATGAATGATGTATCCAATGTAAAGCGCTTTGAGGGTCTCTGATAAAGTGCTATATGAAATCTGATGCTGCATTATTATTATTATTATCAACCCGTGCTAGAAAGGAAGTCGGGTACAGACACGAAATGAAACATCTGACTTCTCCGTGTTTCAGACGGATCGTATTTCGCACCCTTCAAATGGGCGGAGACGAACAAGTGAAAGGTTTATAGACATCATTTCACCCCGATGAGGAGATGCTGATTCTAGAAGTCTAGAAGTAGATTTCCTTCCCTGGAAGGACACAATCTACTTCTTATATATCTATGTGGCTGTCTTTGTAGAGACAACTCATCAATCCGGTAGGAATTAGCAGACGGCAAAAATCACCACCGTTCCAGATGCGGTGGAAATTCGGTGTTACTCTCATACTCGATACTGAATTTGGCTCGATAATGAGAGTGTGCAAGTCATGAACAGTCCTTGTCACCTCGGACAGTTGATCATGTTTTGATACGACTCCTTTACTCCCCACATGTCCATCTCTCTTCCATTTAAGGCTAAAAATAACTTTAAAACTAGAGCTCACGATCAAACAGCTGACTAAATTTGAAGCGTGTCTAAAGGACATGAAGTCTCGGATGGACTGGTCTGGAATTTTCAGCGGCTAACTCGGACAAAACAGAAGTTATTGTGCTCAACTTCAGATATTCAATCCAGTTTCCAGGAAGTCCATCAGTCTCGGTTACCAGCCGTAGATTTCTGATTTTCTATTCTGGTTTTTAAAACTAAGCGGTTTCACAAAACTCCAGAACTTCTTTCCAAAAAGACCGTGAACTCCTGTTCGCCATCTGAGTTTTACTCACATCGAGGATTCTCACAGAAAGTTTTCTTTGTTGGATCGACACTAAAAATTATTTCATGGTATTGCAGTTGGACTTGGAGAAGAACTGATCAATATATCATGATACTGATTTGAGGCCATATCGCCCAGCCCTACTGCTGGGATATTTGATGTCACCTGTTGTGTTTTAATCAACTTTATTCTAATAATTAAGTATCTTCCTACTGTGTTACAGGCTTTGTTAGAGAATAAAACAACCTTTGCTCACTCTGATGATGGAATAACCTTTTACAGCTTCCAGTCTAACCAGTAAGTTAGCAGTGCCGCACTTCTGGTCAAGACTTTGTTTAGAAGTAAAAAAACATGTTTGAAAACAGAGAAGATCTTTGAAGACCGTTTCCACTCCTCTGATCAGATTTTTGAGTCTCTTATTTCTAATTTGCATCAGAAGAGAAACTCGTCTGTTACTCTCAGCTGCTCTTTACTTTGTCTGGGAGGATTCCGCTCCATAACTTGACGGCGTGTTTGCTCAGAGGGCGAGGTGTTGGTTTTAACACGGTGGTTTGATGTATGTAAACTGGATCTGTCTTTTCAAACTGCTGCACTTAAAGAAAAGGCTGATTAAGTGGACGTACTTCAAACAATGTAAACACACACACAGACTTTGTACAGCTCAGTACCTTTAATTTGAATGACAGGGAAGTTTCATCTTTCTTCATCCTTTCTTCATCGGCAGAGGTTTGGTTAACTACCAGACTTCCTTGCAACACTGAACATGCACTAAACACTAAGGCCAGTTTCAGTCTGACTGAGGCGTCAAGATCAGGATGATATTTTGCGGTTGTATTTTATCATCAGTGAGCTCTCACACTTGAACAGGTTTTTTCTGTCTTTACAAAGATCACATTTAGATGCTGCAGAAACATGCTTCCGCAGATTGTGCCGATACTCTGTCATCTAAGTTGCATCAGAGCCGTTACTTTACACAAATAACTTATCTGCAACCAATATCCGCAGACCTTCCTGTTTCTGCTCCTGCGTTTTCACATACATGTCTCTCTCATGATTCTGTATCTGGGCAAAGACAAACCTGCACACTATAGTCAATCAGTTTTAACCCTGACCTCAGCAACGAGACCTTTGTTGACCTGCACTCAGTATCGTAAGCCCCCACTAAACTCGTCCACAGCCACTAATGAGATTCGGTGACGTGTCCAGGGCTGTAAGCCAAGCTGCAGCGCTCCGAGGAGCTGCTCTGTACAGGACCGTGTTCATGATGGACGATGTGAAGTGAAAGTGCGATGAAATGGTGACTTTGCATATTTAAGATTTTATGATTCTTATATCGAATTTTCTCCATCAGAACATTAAAAGTGAGTGAAGAGAGCAGGCGCACAAACATTTCCTCTTTTTCAGCGTCTGCACTCAGGATGTAATTTATCATAAGATTGGATCAAACTCGAACAAAAACACAAACGTGTGTAAATATTCTCATTTTAATATGATTTAAGCAGAATTAAATAAACATTTTAACTTTATCTCTAATAGATTGTTCCTCTTTTCTGAGCCAGCAGAACGAAGAGCCGCAGACGACTTCGACAAAACAAACAAGAAGTGAATTTCTCGATCAGTGACTCAGCTTCCTGTGTGTGGTTAGAGGCGTTTCGACCGCAGCGGCTTTTGTGTAGATATTATTTTACATGTTAATCGATGCGTGCACAAACACACGTCGTGAAAGGAACATGATAAAACTGAAGTCAAGAGACCAGATCCAGGCCTCTGAGTAGATGGTTTGTGAATGAAACGTGTTAAAGTTTGGGACTTCGGTTTGAGGGAGGCCTATCAGCTTAATTTACCCCGGGATCCTCTAAAAAGTAACTGTAAGAAACTATTTTTACAAACTGCAACAACTGTAAATAAATCCCTTCAAAGTTGGCCATTTCTAAAAACTCAAACGTCTCTTTAAAGAAATAGATCAGCTGTAATCTCACTTTCTGATTAGATCCTCTTTCTGTTTCATGACGAAGGTGGTTTGTGAATGAAACATGTTAATGTTTGGGACTAAAAGGACCCATCAGCTTCATTTGGGATCCTCTAAAAAGTCGTTTTATGGTCATTCATGTAAAGAACTTTTAACAAACAGCTTCATACAGAGAATAAATATAGAAACGACTTTTAAAAACTGTAAATAAACTCTTCAAAGTTGACCATTTGAAGAAATAAATCAGCTGTAATCTCACTTTCTGATTAGATCCTCTTTCTGTTTCATGGAAAAGGTGGTTTGTGAATTAAACATGTTGTTTGGGACTAAAAGGACCCATCAGCTTCATTTGGGATCCTCTGAAAAGGCATTTTGTGGTCATCCATGTAAAGAACTTTTAACAAACAGCTTCATAAAGAGAAAAAATATAGAAACTGCTTTTAAAAAGTGTAAATAAACTCTTCAAAGTTGACCATTTAGAGAAATAAATCAGCTGTAATCTCACGTCTTGATTAGATCCTCTTTCTGTTTCATGGAGAAGCTGGAAATCCCTGAATCCGTCCGCACAGCATCGAGGTGCTGCGGCGCCATCTGCTGGATTTCAACCAAACTGACAGGAGACACAGTGACTGTATGGAAACATCACAAGGTGGCGCTGTTTTCTAACTGCTCACTCAGCACAGTTGAGATCGCCTCCTCTCTTCTACTCCCAGTTTCCCACACTCGGGGCTGGTTTTGAAACGCTCGCACATGTATTTGAACAGCTGTTTTAGGTAAACAGTGTCGACCTCGAGCCAAGTTAGGTCATTTAGTTCTTGATGAGGTGCATTATGTGTCTGGTATGAGAACAAGTTAAGTGCCTGCAGCTCTGACAAAGTGACCCAAATCTGCTATCAGTCACTCAAAGCATCTTCTCTCTGTCTCTGCGATCAGGACGACAAACATCGAAAACATCCTCTGTGTGAAATGATTGATTTGACCTCAGTCACACTCATTAAGATTTTCCTCTTTTTCCAGTTTGAGTCTTTTTTGTTGTTCGGATGTGTCAGCAGAATCCTGCAGCCGCAGCGAATGCTCACACTTTCATCTGCTCTCTGTCTGTGTATGACTCACAAGACTTATTACACGAGCCGCAGAGGCGAACGCTCCGTCTCTCGGCTTTGTTTTGACTCTGCAGAGTGACTTACAGCCGGCAGGATGTTGCAAAAGTACAAACTTATTCTATCGGTTATCAGTCATTGCTGTCTGCTCAAGGTTCGAGTCGACACTTCCACCTCTGTATCTCCTGCATCTGTAACCTGTTAGCTTTCATCACCAGTGGGAGACGGTCTCCTCAGGCATCAGTCATGCTGTGTGTTGAAATGGCGTGGAAAATAAAAGCTCAATAAACACCCATGTGCGGCAACACCCTCATAAGAAACACTTAGTTTCATGGAGATGGATTCAGCTCCATGAGGATCTCCGTGGTCGGATCTGAAAACTCCACCCCGGCTCGGTTTGGTGGAGGTCTGCAGAAGCTGCAGCTGCAGGTGATGTGGCAGTAATTTTGCGCCGCGGTCAGTCATTTGGCAGTTCATGCTCTGTCATGAAAGGTTTAGGGTGGAGCTGGACTCGTACGCTCCTCTGTCTGCATGTCTGCGAGAGTACGGCGTCGGTGAACGGTGATTTAGGATGAGGTGTTTTTCCCTCACTCCCACTGAGGGAAGACGACCATGAATTAAAGATGGAGAGGGAAAAAAAAAGGTCTTTGCTGTATAATTGAGGTCTTGGATGAAGACGCAGAGAGGGGAACAAAAGTAAGGAGTGCGTGAAGCGGTGATGAGTTGGACATCAGGGAGTGGTGGGGAAAAGGGAGTGGGCTGGAGAGCATAAACAAAACATTAGGAGCGGAGGTGGATGGATCATGAGGAGCCTGGAATAAAAACTGCAAACTCAAGCCCCAGAGGACCACGTCCACGTCACCACCCCACATCCAGAATCCTGCCAGCTGGGTCTATCAGAGCAGCTGATGACACACAGCTTTCTTACTGTTTACCTCCAACGACCTACTTCTCACTCAGGACTTCACTTCTCTTATCAGCTTCTTCTTCTTCTGCTCCATCTAAATCACAGCTCACCTCCTCCTGGACTCCTTTTATCTGCACCTGTTTTCAGTTAATCAGGAGGAACAGGAAAATCTGACGTTTAGGTGTTTGTCATTCAGTGAGGGAAAATAGCCTCACACTAGGCCCTCCAGACTGACCCCTAAGGAGGTGAGGCAGAGCCCCCTAGCTGCCTCTCAGGTGTATTTCAGTCATAAAGTTCCCATCAGGGAGGACAACACAATGCCGTGCCATCACACTTTCAAGAAGAGAAAAAACTGAGCGGTGACCTTCTGCTCTGCTCTTCCATTTCAGATGAACTGCACCATATATTGGGCTCCTCTGGTGGATAAAACATGATGCATCACCTCTTATGGAGCCCTTTGGTGCCCATTAGATAGAGAATATGTGAAAGGTGCTTTTGTGGTCGCTCATCTTGCACTTTTTTTTTGCATAGAAGGTTCTGCAAATTTCACGTGTTCTCAGTTTTTCCCAGATGAGAAAATCTCACATAGATCAGGATGGTTGCGCTGTCAGTGGAGAAAACCAAAGTGAGGATATTTGCAGGTAACAGAAGCTCAGTCTAGGGCTCTCCTGACACAAATTGATATCGAAAATTGGTCCAATATCAGCAAAAAAACGATATCGGATTATATAGGTCTGCATCTACAATCTCTGATATCAGCACTCCGATACAAGCAGTCCATTCCAGACTCCACTCCAGCACCCCTATCTAGCAGCACCCTGATCCAGCATGCAGAGCCCACATGATCACAACAACAGTGTGTACTGAGGTACGAACAAAGTAGAGAGGAGTAGGGGTGAGGTCGGCCCTGTGGCGGTACTTTTCGTTTAAGTCTGAAAAAGATGAGTGCAAAACTCGTCATGCACAATTTTGTGCTAATATCAGATCAATATCGGTATCAGTCAGTATTGAAGGCTACAATATTGGTATCATATCGGAAGTCAAAAAGTTGTATTGGGACACCCCCAGCTGGGTCTGCAGGGACTTTGGTCAGACTGGGTCAAAGATGTGGTAAAGATTAGGATCTTACTCCAAATTTAGGAGGATTATGTCACCATTCCAATCTACCTTCATTTCAAATTCTATTGTTTAACGTAGAGGCAACATTTAAACCTGCTGCAGAAAGAATATGGTCGTCTAAAGTGCAAACAAAGAAGCTACGTGCAGCCAACAGCGGCAGACTTTGTATGAGAACTGCAGGGTCACCAGTCCAAATAACAGGCTGGACTGAAGCTTGGAAACTGGGCTGATAGCTGCAGAAGGACCTGGTTACGTCCTAGACACCATTTAAGTCCTCCCCAATCATCCAAAGAACTGTGATGATCGTGCATGAGTATTTCCATCTTATGTGTGTTGCAGAGTGAAAACAGCACATGTCAGATTTGCTGTTTCTGCCTCTGAGATATTAACCGACACATCAGCGTCGATGAAAAGTTACTGCACACACAAATAAGAACCACACGCTCACAGTTCCTGAGTTAGGTCATTTCTAATCTTCAGGTCTGTTTGATTTCAACATCCGTATCTGGACCAAAGTCTGCCGCAGCCAAACGACCTTCAACAGCATTCTTCGCCGATTTCCACTTGATAGTCGGCTCTCCAACTATTTGATTTACTCCTGGATATGAGAAGTATTTGACTTCTCCCCGCTGTTGTTGCCTCATAAACTCTTGGAGTGTGTTTATAATCAGTGAAGTTCCTGTTTGGAGCAGAGAGGAGGAGAAGACACTTGAAGGTTCATTGTGGTTCGTAGAAGAGCGTGTTTCTGCGTGGGTGTGGTGGGAAAGATACGGCGAGAATTAGAGCAGATGGAGGATCTTTCACTCGAGATGATTAATAGATGACTGTGCCATGTTGCCTGAGCTCGCTAAGCTGCTCAAAAATACCCCAACTTTAGTTTCCACAGGCTGATCTCCTCAGTGATCCACCCTGCTGTTTTCAACCCTGTCAGTATCGCTCTGTAAGCAATCATCATCATCACGTCTCTTAAACAGTCGGTCGGCTCTCTACTCTGAATGTTTTGGTCCATATGATGCTTATTAGTGCCTAATAAAGTAGAATTTCCACGTGTTTTCTGTTCAGCCCAACCATGTAATTGTAAAGAGTCAAGATCAACAGCTGCACGTTAAGGCTTTAGCTGTAAACACAGTTGAGGTTTCAGGACATGCTCTCCTGCTGTAATTCCTCATAATTTCATCCTCTTTCTTCAACAGTCCGTGCAGTAATTTGCTTTTTCAGGAACTATACATGAGTAAAGTTTCAGATTAAAGGTTAGTGTGTGTTGGTGTAATACCCAGATGGCACAATAGGGGGCTCGTTCAAGATAGTCGCACAAGATTCCAGTGAGATCAGGATGACATTTGCTCAAATCGTGACATCGCCTGATAGTGTAGAGTGACCATACGCCCTCTTTTACCCGGACATGTCCTCTTTTTTGAGGGCTGTACGGCTTTGTCCGGGGGAGTTTATAAAATCCTTCAAATATCTGCAGTTTTGTACAAAAGTTTCGAGTTTGTGTCACGTGGACGTTTTGAGTTAGAGGCACATAAACGAGACTCAATCTGACCCGAAAAAATCTCAAAATTAAATTTGTGTGACTCCAGGACTCCGCCCCTGTGTGGTCGTGTCATCTTTTTGGAAAATCCGAATATGGTCACCCTAATGTATGCAATCTCCTTAAAAGGGCAAATGGGTCCTTTAATGAGAAGAAACATAACTCTTTGGCATGGCAACAGTGAAGGAGGCTTCTAGAATGCTGTCAAAGTGCCTCCTTTCAGCAAGTTACCACAGGGTTGACTGCTAGTTGGTGAGAAAGGGCGACACTTTTACAGCTCTTTACTGTTTATTTATTTTTGTACATTAGGAAAGTTTTGACCTTTCTTTGTCTATTGAGGTTTTGTTTACCTGTTTCCTAGCAACACATCTACGCCATCCAACCACAGGGTCAGACTGTGGCATGCAAATAAGGGCAATTGTCAGTCTGACTGAGTCATATTCATAACGGAGAAAATCAAACCTCAACCTCACATTATTCTGTTATGTTGGTGCGACTATGAGAAGTTTGTTTTCATCCGGACTCATGCATTTTAAAAGTTCAGGTTCAGTCGGATTATTGCGACATATCGTTTTTTAACGTGCGTGTAAACTGACTGATTGTTTCCACAGTTGTTTCCTTTTTTAACACCATTTAACAGTAAAAAACTGTAAACCAGCTGTTCCTTCAGCTACCTCCTGGCACCACTTTCAGCCAATGTGCGAACTGTCAATCTTGATCCTGATATTTTTGACTTTTGGATATAATGAAAAGGCTTCAGTAAGACATCCATTAAATTTTATGAAGATCAAACAAAAACTCCTGTTAAGAGCTTTAGGCTGGAATAACTGTGGTACCGTTTTGATCTCTGCAGCCTGAAGAGATTTAGGAAAACTATTGAAAGATGGACTCCAGAGACAAAGAGAACAATTAAAGAGGTCACATGGGGACAGGAAAATCGTCAATAAAAATCAAGGGAACCCTGGCTGCATCTCCGCTTGTTTGTGTGTTGTGCAGCTGTCTCTTCTTAAACATGGAGCCAGACTGAGACGATGAAAACATACAGTAGAGAGGTGGATGATTTATCCGTGTGTCATTATGTCTCCTCAATGACCCGTGCCGAAGTGTCTCCCACTATCTCACATGACTGCTGCACAGCCGGGATAGTGAACCCCCTACTTAAAGACGCTGCCAAAGCCTGTATCATGGTATCAAACAAAGCTGCAACACAATCGTCGGGGTAACAGTGGAAATGGAGAACAACCAGATCAGCTCACACGTGGTGATCGTATTTCAACCAGATCCATCAGAGAACACAGGCTGCAAACAAATGTTAGACATGAAGTGTTTCTCTCTCTATAAAAGGGGAACTGAGGAGAAGTCCTGACGGGGTTATTTTATTATAAAGAAGAGGAAGAAACACACGTCTGTGCAGACTCTGCCCAGTCTGAGAGATCCTCACCTGGTGGGTGTCGTGTCTGAGCCCAGATAACCATGTAGCAGAATCACCCCTGAATTACCCAGATGTCGGTTCAGCACAGATTACAAGTTATTATCAGATTATACATGTCAGTGTCACTTTTCTAATCTTCATAATTATGCAAAACTGCACATCCTGAGATGGAACACAGTTCAGCAAAGAGAGTAAAGTCCTAAAACACGAGTCTTTAGTTTCTGGCCAAAAGTCTGTGGACACCTTAATGTTACTCCAAAATTAAGATGATAGAAAACAGTATTATAAGGAGCAATATTAGGTTGATTATCTTCGTTCTATTGCACGTTTCGTTTGGCGTCTCGACACAAATATCTATGGGGAGTGACGTCAGAAAACAAACAGCACATTCAGCCAACACATGGCTTTTATTAGAGCGTTTGTCTGAGTTTATTAGAGTGTATGTGTGTGGCAAAAAAACAAAGTCCCAACTTGTATTATAACATTTACGAGCCACCATGAAATCAGGCAGTCAAGGCGTCATAAAGCCCCTGAGATACCAGGAGGACCGGGGGTACGAGAAGAACGCGTCCTGCTAGATGAGTGCCCCTGATCTGTAAGGACGTCCTGTAAGGAAACAGATACAGGGTTCCTACACAAGTATGGAAAGTCTGGAAGCAATTTTATCAATTTCCAGGTCTGAAAAATGATGGTAAATGAAAACTAAAGTATGGAAAAATATCTAAGTTTCCGGACTACTACCACAGTTATAAAATACTGTTTTCTGAAATAGAAAAGTCGGTATTTCCAAAAATAATTCTAAAAAGTAGGGTATGGAAAAGTATCTAAATTCCAACTGTGAAGGAACCCTGCAGATATTTTTCTTCTTATGTGACGTTAACAACCGGTCTCACTCAGCATCAAATCCCGGTTCATCTGAGGATCCCACGTCTTCAGATCTGAACGATGGTAAACACAAGTCAGTCAGATCTGTGCAGCGTAACGCCGAGTGAAACGGAAATATAAATACAATCAAATCACAAACAAGTGACCCGTATAATGGCAGAGAGCGTCTAAACAGAGAGTATGGACCACACACACTATCACACTGGAACTAAAGATGTACAGACAGACACACTCACTAAGAAACATTACAACAACAAGAGGGGACGTCCAAGAGACACAAACACAGGCCTCCGCAGACACACACATCTGCTTTGATTTGGAATAATAGATCAACAAAAACCTCGTCCTGATGGAGCGATAACGGGGTGACAACGAGAGCACATGTCTAACAGAAGTTCAGCAGTAAGTTAGCGAACATGGAGGCTTAGCGAGCTCTGCGATGGTTAGCCGTAGAACATAGTGACCTAGTTTGAGCAGCCTGACCTTGACTTGTAAACTAGAAGTTAAGTTTGTCAAAAATTAACCTGCAAAACAAATTAACCAAAAATTATTCCAAAGATCTTGACAGGTTGTGACGAAAGATTGGAGCCTGTTTTTACACTTTGACAAAGAGTAATGTTTTATGCTGATGATCTACCGTTATAACGCCCAAATGGCATCTACTGTTCCTTGTGAATATTTGATACTTAAAGGGAATTTCCGTATATTTTTCAACTAGGGCCGATTTCCTCATGTGTTAGTGTGATAGGAAGAACAGCTTCTGAAACTTAGTCCACTGTTGAGGGAGAGTGTAACAGCTAACAACTGCGAATTACGCTTGTTTGACCAGGCGGTCGTGCATCGTCAAACTACATTCACAACAAATACTTTATTCTAGGGCTGCAACAATAAGTCAATGTTGTCGACAAAAATCAACAATGAATTCCATCATCCACTATTGTCGCCAGATGTGTTTTTTCCAGTGTAGTGACGCATCTTACTTCATTACGATCTCTGCCTTGAGTCACACATGCGCAGTAGCGTCTCTGCCGAGCGGTAGGGTATTCAAACATGGCGGAAGATACAAGTTTGGGAACACTTTAGCCTAGATAACTGGCTAGGTTTGCAAAGCAGACCTTGCGTATCGTGGCAGCATGTTGGTGATGCACGAACACTTGAGGAGAAGGCACGTAATTATCTGATTAGTCGACTAATCGTTCAGTAGCCGGTGACTGGTCGATTATTAAAATAGTCGTTAGTTGTAGCCCAACTTTATTCCACCACAGACAGGTTCAGATTATTATTTCGAGTCCTGATAACAGAAAGGTAAAAGTTTCCTACCAAACGAGATTTGGCTGAACAAAGACCGACACACGGGGGAGGTAAGGCCCGGTCAAACTAGGTAACAGAACTTTGTCAGTGTAAATGCTACAAATCACCATAAAACCAACAAATATTGAGCTGAAATGACAGACATCTACCTCAGAAATACTTGGCAGAAAATAAATGGTACTAAAGGGCCAATCCGTGAAGTGACTGATGTCTTGTATATCCAACATGGTCCCTGTTTAAATTCACAGCCCAGCGTTGTTTTACCGAAGGTGAGAGTTACTCTGGCTGAGATTGAGCTTGTCACATAAATCTTCCACTGAGACAAACAGAGAGTCAGAAAACACAGTGAGAGCAAATTGCCCGTGACTTCAATTTTCTCCTTTTATTTCAGAGCCTTGTGTGGTTTGTTTATCTCTCTTTGTTCGGACGTCCATGAAGGCATCTCTATAAGCAGCTGTGGGAGGTTTACTGAAGAGTTTGAGTTTCTGGGAATCTGTGTTTTAGTAAAATGATCTGTAGTCTGGATTGTGTCCGGCGAATGCATGCATGCTTGTCAAGTTGAAGTTAAAGGGTTTGGCTTCTCAGAGTCGAATAGATGTGCCTTTTCATGCTGCAGTGTTTTATTCAACTAACCACAACTAATCTTGACTCACGCATTAGACCTGAAACGCTGCAGGCTACTCTGTGATTGGATGACACTCATCTTAATCTCTTTCACTGAACTGATCCTGCCAAAAGTTTATAGTTTAATAGCTGCCTTGGAGGTTCACATGGAGATATATTTGGTAGAAAACTGCAAATTACTGTTGCATTTTGGTCGTTGTTTTTTTAATGCAGGAACTGCTTTTCTGGCTTTTAAAAATGGGTCCCAGAGTGTGAACTCGATGACACCGCCTCTTCTGTGATATACAGATCCCTGATTAAAATGTGTCTGATCCCAGCTTAACAAGTCCTTATTTAAAGGGATACTCTGGAGTTAAATTAAGTTATGGTCAAACACACCGTAACACCAAGTTAGACTCGTCTTCAAGAGATGTATGATGCTGACCGCTTGCTTCTCAAGTTATACCAACTTTAGTAATGACCGCACGATGTCAATACACAGCGGTCTACGTCTCCACACGCAAACCTCAACCAAAACGCCACTCAGAACAGCACCTAACTTCATCAAAAGGACATATAGGGCCCCAGTCATTAAATATCTTTTTATCTTTGACTAATTTCTTCAGCAAAGAGACTAAACACAATTCAACCGCTCTCTTCCAGTAGCTGCTTGTTTGTGGGGGAGCCCTGACGAGTCGATCACCAAGGGCAGCGGATCATTTCCTTGAGGTAATAATCACCATATTAATCACTAGTTCTTCTGCCTTAGCGTCTCGGTCTGATTGCATTTTCATTAAGTCATGATCATAAATGTTCTTCCTTGAGCTGCGAAACTCCGCTGACTCCACTGCACTTGGTGATACGGTATGTTTGACCAGAACTTGAATTTACGCCGGAATATCCCTTTAAGTGGTGTCTTTGTTTTTAGCTTTTTTTCTCAATGCATCATAAAAATCTTGCTCATTATATCAGATTCTTAATAGTTTGATTTGTTTGAGTCTTTATAGAGAACTATGACTGTTCTCACAGGCTTTAGCTCACTCTAACACATTATCTGATTTGTTTCCCTCGTCAGATAGAAAAATCCCTGTTACTGTGAATTTGTGATCCTGCAAACACTAGACAGAAAACAAAATGGGAAACCCTCATCCTCCAGACCATTGTTGTGTCAGCACTGATTTACACTCTTGTTGTGGATCCACTAATATTTTGGCATCTTTGAATAATCACTGCTTTAAGTGCATGAACTTTCATTCTTGGCCGTCTCCTTTTCTCTTTGGCAAATCACCTGAAATGACCCGACTGTATCTGCAAACAAAGACAGGAACTATATCTGCAAACTATTGAGGATGCATCATGTCGCCTTCGCACAGCTCTGTGCATTCATACCGACCCCCAGTCCACGGGTTAAACTGAGCCTGGATGTTTTTAAATTAAGTGGTAGGAAACCAGCTAATTTTGTATTTGAAGACAAATATGAGACGGTGCGGTGAGCCAAGATAAACCAGCTCCTCTCCTCCTCCTTACTCTCTCATCACCCATTTCTCTTTCTGCACCTGGACGCTCGGCTGATTCTGCCAGCTGGGAGGAAACCTGAAGGAGAGGAGAGAGAGAGAGAGAAAGGGAGTTAGTGAAGGAAAGAAAAACACACTTGACGCTTTTTGATAGAACATACAACTTAACAGAAGAGAGATAAAGTGAAAGAGAGCAAGACGGGGCAGGACGGATTAGTGATTGAAGGATGAGGAAAGCAGTAAATCCTAGATGCGTGAGAAGAGAGGAATGAGCAGGCAACAATGAGTCATCTCACATCCCAAGGCAATAACTTTAACTGCTATCACCAGTCCTCCGTGGACCTGACCCAGCTGATTAAGGAAATTCTCATAACACCAGAGAATCCGGTTCTTTCCCATCACTTTCGCTCCCACATCTTACAGTCGTTTCATTTTCCGGGATAAGATGAGCAGTTTTCTCCCAAAACACACAGACAGAGTAAAAAGAAAAGGTTTTAAACTCGTTTATTTAATTTCTTACCAAGAGTAACACGAGAAGTCGATATTCGTCTGATGTCTGTGAGGTAAACATGGAGCTAATTTGTCCGACTGTTGGATAAATTTAGCACGAGGGCTGCTGCTCGTCTGCAGGGGAAGCTCCTTTTATCATTTCCAGATCTCTTCAAACCACTTTTCTTCAGTCCATTAAAATAACGAAGAGTAAAAACAAAAACACAGAATATAAGACAAGTTTAAAGCTCCTGTGAGGAACTTTTGGTTTGGGTCGACTTTGGCGCCCCCTGTGGACAAATAAGTCTTGCCCAATAACATAAAAATTATCCATCATGTCTTTTGTGTACCATAAAAAAGCATCTTTATGAATTTAAGTCTATTCTTTTCACAGAAAGAAGCTTAAATTGGAGAACTATCAGATTATTTTGGGCTTTAGTAAACACACTTGTGATTAGAAGTGGATTGAATTTCATCATGTGATTAAAATCCGATTATTAAATGTGATTTATTGGCATCATAAGTTTAATTACTCTCCAATAACACAAACCTGATTGGCTCTGTGGTTGTTTCACTCAAACTCGCCACCGTACAGCCTTTCCCGCGAACACGCTCTTAAAAACATGATTCAGTCTTGGATGTTTATTTGCTCTGCCTGCCAAGGGTCAAGATAACCCCCCCTGTGATGACCCAAGTGTGTGTTTTAGATCATAAATATTGTAAACGAGCATCTTGGCAGGAGTTGGAGCTCTGAATTTAGAGCAGAAGTCATCCTTGCATGGGAAAGGGGTGCTTGCTTCGTTGAGATCCAGCCAGAGAAAACCTCGTCTGGGCCCAAAGGAACAGCTGGGGGAAACACTGAGTCACAAAACATGAAGTAAATCCTCTCCTGCATTGTCCTGACTCTTTTTTTAGTGTTGTCTAGACTGAGTTCAGCACAAGAAGGTTTATGAGTTGACCTGTACTGCTGTCCACACAGCCTGAGGAGCGGACATAAATGATGGAGCCCCCCCGCTATTTCACATAGGCGCAGACCTACTGGACTTCCTGCTTACCCAAACATATCACAGTGTCAGATCAAGTCCCACCAGGAAATTAATAAAAGGAAAGACCAGGAGGTGGAGGTTGGAGAGAGTCTAAAGGAAAGAGGAACTGAAATAAACCACAATGAGACACTTCTGTAGAAGTAGAACAAGAAGGAGCTTTACTAAGGATGATTTGAACAGGGTCTGATGAGGTCCAAGAGGTCAGGTTAATGAAATAAAACCTTTAAAAAATACTGAGATGTTATCTGCATGAACACTTCGACAACAACATGAGCACAAAAACAGGTGTAAACAGAGAAGATAAGAAAATACAAGAGACTCAAACTCCAGAGTCTGGAGTCATAGCAGTCTAAAGTCTACTAGATTTCTTCTGCTGAGAAACTTCATGGAGATTTTCCAGAAGGATCGGGCACCTGCCTGCAGCGCCAAAACTACCAGAAACTGGTTTGCAGACTGTGGTGTTGCTTTAGGGCATCTAGATTGGCTATGAAAAAGCTGTATCCTCCAATCATAGCTGATCGTAACCATTTAAGTTAACGTGTCAATTTCCACCGGCTTCTTTACGTTCCTATGCGGATCGCCGGACTCCTCAGCTGATCGCAAGAGTTCTATTTTTTCTGGACGCTGGAGCATGTCGGATAAATTCACCGCAGATTAACCCCATGCTGGAAAGGAAGTCGGGCACAGACACAAAAAATAAAACATCCGGCTTCTTTTCAAAATAAAACACTCTGTATTTCAGGCGGATCGTATTTCACACCATGCAAACGGGTGGAGACGAACAAGTGAAAGGTTTTTAGACATTATTTCACCCTGATTGGGTGAATTTCCTCCTCTGGAAGGACACAATCTACCGCTTATATGGTTATGTGGCTGTCTTTACGGAAACAACTTGTTATTGTACAATTGCACGTGAATCTGCAGGTTCTCTTGTGAGTTCTTGTGATTCCCACTGTCCGTAATCCGCCAGTCTCCACAAGTCTTTTGGCTCGGCTGGATCTTTAAAATCTTTTCAGGTCAACATATCGACTACTTGCTTCTCAAATTATCATTATCATCATGTCCGGTCATGGAAGAACAAAGACGTTTACATTTGTTAATTTCTAAATTACATGGTATGAGATGATTGCTACAATTCACAGTAAAAATATGCAAATATACCTCTTTAGAAAAAAGAACAAATAAATGGTAAATGGCTGCTTATCTTTCAACAGGATTTTCCTGTTAAGGTTTTTAAATTACAGCTTTTTGCTGTATTCATAAAAGCAAACTGTAAATTTCAGCAACAACAATCTACCGTTAATTTTACAGCAACTTCCTGACAGCCCTTGTTTACCGTTTTGTTAACAGGTTGAATTTTGCGTTCAGTATATATAGTTACACGTTACATGTTATATGCAGTTACACGTCTCCGCCTGAGTGCGGCAGTATGACGACAGAGACAGGGTGAATGACATTGGCGTTAGGAGAAGCAGTCAGTCTGCAGCCAAACTTCGGCAGTTCCCGTTGTTTAAAGAGTTAAGAGAACATATGCCTGTGAGTATTACACATATATAGTTTGATGTATTACTGTTGCTGTAATTGATATAAAGTAACGGCCGTTTTACGTTTGTACCGATATTACGATGCTAATCCATTAGCCTGTCTATGGCGTTTTCCATTGTAAGGTAGCATTAAGCTAGCGGTCTCTTTTTCTCACTTGGTTATGATAACATACTGACTTTACTGTAAGAGTTTGACTTAATTTCAAGCTGTGTTTAATGAACATATTTCGATGCTCTAAGCTACATAATGCTTATACTCTTTTTTTGTATGTATTTCAGTTTTACAATTATCTTCAGAAAGTGACAATAAACCCCTGAAGAAAGGAAAACTATACCTCTTATTGGAGAACTGTTCGCTATCTGCCAAACTAAACGGTCCACGTTCAGGGAGGGCAGAATATATGTTTATATATATTTATATATATATATATATATATAGAGAGAGAGAGAGTACAGGCCAAAAGTTTGGACACACCTTCTCATTCAATGCGTTTTCTTTATTTTCTTTACTATTTACATTGTAGATTCTCACTGAAGGCATCAAAACTATGAATTAACACATGTGGATTTATGTACTTAACAAAAAAAGGTGAAATAACTGAAAACATGTTTCATATTCTAGTTTCTTCAAAATAGCCACCCTTTGCTCTGATTACTGCTTTGCACACTCTTGGCATTCATATATATGAAACTATGATCTTTTTTCTGATCTTGCTTCCAAACTTTTGGCCTGTAGTGTGTGTGTGTGTGTGTGTGTGTGTGTGTGTGTGTGTGTGTGTATATAATTTTACATTATTATCCAATTACAGTCAAAAGCTCATCTCTGTAATGATGATCAAGGTAAATCAAGACACATTCTGACACACCCCACAGTTTAATTAACACTCTCAAAAGAAAATGAATGACACTTGTTGTAACAAAAATGCATTTTTATTGTTCAAGCATTAAGTTTGTAAATGACACATTACAATTGTCATGTATTAAAAGCAAAGAAACATGAACCTCAATCACAGAAAAACAGAAAATCATTTTCAGCAGAATCTTCACCTTTTAGGTTTATCTTCTGGCTTTTTGCATAATTTATTTTTCTAAAGACGTTTCATCTGGTAATGATCACCACACAAATGATTGAAGGAAACATAAGACCAAACCTGAGGTTTAAGAATTAACCACGATTCATCTACAGCTCTCTATGACAGAGAAAATGAAGAATCCTGTTTCGGCTGTGGCCAGTGAGATCTTGTGCTAAAATTGATTTCTTAATTTCAGCTGCGCAGTCTTCAAAGAAACCCGGAGGCACGTCAAAAGCAGAACTTCTTCTAAATTTCCTGGGAGGTGGAACAACTGTTTTTATGTTCCTGTTTCAAACAAGCGGTGCAAAAGTTTTTTGAAGCAAATGCATACAACAATGGATCCAGAGAGCTGTTCAGAAACACCAGCGCTCTGAAAATGTCCTTGTTGTCTGTGCAAAACTTCATCAGTCTCTCATTTTTGCTGAAAATTGCTTCCAAGCTAAGCATATTTACGATTAGGTATGGCATCCAGAGGACAAAGAAGGTCACAATGATGCTGGTGATCAGACAGGTGGTCTGTGGGTTGTTAAAGAGAGCTGCCCGGTCCACTTTTCTTTTGAGCCTGATATATGCAAACACTACAATACAAACAGAGGCAACCCCCATTACAGTCTCCTCCAACAGCAAAGCTACCTGCTTGGTCAAGGAAGAGTACACAGATTCACACTGTGGCAAGTTTCGGACTGAAATGATTTGTCGATCCACCAAAACAGGGATGGACAGGATGATGGCAGCCAGCCAGAGCAGAGCCAGCAGCCTCTTCTGTCCCCTGTGCTGGAACCACTTCTTCCCATGAACCACCTGCAGGTAACGCTGGAGACTCAGGGCCATCACAGTCAGAAGACAGCAGTGAATGCAGCAGTAAATCAGATATGCAATGAGCTTACAGGCCAGAAGGCCAAAAGACCAGCCATGCAGGAAGGCATGAATCCACAGAGGCAGAGTTATCAGGTTGAGCAGGTCTGCAACGGCCAAATTCAACATCAAACTCTGGCTCAGACTCGACATTTGCTGCCAGTTTGGTCTGAGGATGATCACAGCGATGTTTCCAGGAATTCCCAGTATGGAGCTGAGGGAATAAACCACAACAGGAACCAGAGTGCTGAAGTCCTGGGAGGAAGGAGGTGGATGTCCAGGAGAGGAGGAGATGATGGAGGTGACCACAGTGGAGTTGAGCTGTTCCATCCTGCCAACAAGCTGAGGAGAAAACAAAAGCTGTGTGTGCCAAGCAGAGGATGATGATGTCTGTCTCTACAGAGAGATATGAGAACGAAAAGAGGAAGTTGCTGTTACTGCAGCAGGAAACATCATACCGTGGTGAGGTCAGCGTAAAAACCTCAAACACCCAGAGTTAGACATCTAACATTAGGTTAACCTGAAGCAAACAGCACACACATGATGATTCACCGGTGTACGAACTTTTAACCTACACAAATATGTGCGTGAATAAGTTCTTCAGTGTGTGCTTCAATACATCGATCCAGGAGTTTTTCTGAGTTCATCGTAAATGATCTCTTTGACACGAAATCTCACCTTTACGGCTCTGCTTTTTTTCTAAGTTTGCATCTGATTAAAAGTTTCCTGTGACCTTTAAAAAAGCACTTTTCATCAGCGGCTGAACAAACTTTTTGAGCTGATGAAGATTATGTGAAGTTAAGGAGGAATCGCAGAATGCTGTTCAGTTTTAGCTTGCCTATTTTGTTTGATAGTGAATTCTACGCTCTTAAAGGTGGGGTAGTCAGGATCTGAAGAAGTGCCAGTTCTGCGGAGAAATCTTGAATGTGAACACTACCCCTCAAAAGCAAATGAATGACACTTGTTATAACAAAAATGCATTTTTATTGTTCAAGCTTTAAGTTTGTAAACGACACATTACAATTGTCATGCATTTAAAGCAAAGAAACATGAACCTCAATCACAGAAAAACAGAAAATCATTTTCAGTGGACTCTGCACCTTTCAGATCTATTTTCTGGCTTTTGCATGATTCATTTCTCAAAAAACGTTTCATCTGGTAATGATCACCACACAAATGATTGAAGGAAACATAAGACCAAAGCTGAGGTTTAAGAATTAACCACGATTCATCTACAACTCTCTATGACAGAGAAAATGAAGAATCCTGTTCTGGCTGTGGGCAGTGAGATCTTGTGCTAAAATTGATTTCTGAATTTCAGCTGCGCAGTCTTCAAAGAAACCCGGAGGTTTTAAAAGCACCTCAAAAGCAGAACTTCTTCTAAATTTCCTGGGAGGTGGAACAATTGTTTTTATGTTCCTGTTTCAAACAAGCGGTGCAAAAGTTTCTTGAAGCAAATGCATACAAGAATGGATCCAGAGAGCTGTTCAGAAACACCAGCGCTCTGAAAATGCTCTTCTTGTCTGTGCAAAACTTCATCAGTTTCTCATTTTTGCTGAAAATTGCAGCCAAGCCAAGCATATTTACAATTAGGAATGGCACCCAGAAGATGAAAAAGGTCACAATGATGCTGGTGATCAGACAGGTGGTCTGTGGGTTGTTAAAGAGAGCTGCCCGGTCCACTTTTCTTTTGAGCCTGATATATGCAAACACCACAACAGAAACAGAGACAATCCCCATTACAGTCTCCTCCAACAGCAAAGCTACCTGCTCGGTCAAGGAAGAGTACACAGATTCACACTGTGGCAAGTTTCGGACTGAAATGATTTGTCGATCCACCAAAACAGGGATGGACAGGATGATGGCAACCAGCCAGAGCAGAGCCAGCAGCCTCTTCTGTCCCCTCTGCTGGAACCACTTCTTCCCATGAACCACCTGCAGGTAACGCTGGAGACTCAGGGCAATCACAGTCAGGAGACAGCAGTGAATGCAGCAGTAAATCAGATATGAGATGAGCTTACAGGCCAGAAGGCCAAAGGACCAGCCATGCAGGAAGGCATGAATCCACAGAGGCAGAGTTATCAGGTTGAGCAGGTCTGCAACGGCCAAATTCAACATCAAACTCTGGCTCAGACTCGACATTTGCTGCCAGTTTGGTCTGAGGATGATCACAGCGATGTTTCCAGGAATTCCCAGTATGGAGCAGAGGGACAAAACCACGACAGTAACCAAGGCCCTGAAGTCCTGGGAGGAAGGAGGTGGATGTCCAGGAGAGGAGGAGCTGATGGTGGTGACCACAGTGGAGTTGAGTTGTTCCATCCTGCCAACAAGATGAGGAGAGGGCAAAAGCTGTACTTGCCAAGCAGAGGATGATGATGTCTGTCTCTACAGAGAGATATAAGAACGAAAAGAGGAAGTTCCTGTTAGTGCAGCAGGAAACATCACACCGTGGTGAAGTCAGCATTTGAACCTTAGTCACCCAGAGTTAGACATCTAACACTAGGTTTACCTGAAGCAAACAGCACACACGCGATGATGCACCGGTTTGAGAACTTTTACCCTTCACAAATATGTGTTTGAATCACTTCTTTGGTGCATGCTTCAGTACGTCGATCCAGGAGTTTATCAGAGTTCATCGTACATGATCTCAATGTAACAAAATCTGCCCTTTACAGTTCTGCTTTCCTTGTAAGTTAACATCTGATTAAAAGTTTCCTGTGACCCGAAAAAAAGCAATCTTCATCAGTAACTGAACAAGCTTTTTGACCCGATGAAGATTATGTGAAGTTTAAGAGAAATCCCAGAATGCTGTTCAGTTTTAGCTTGCCTATTTTGTTTGATAGTGAAGTCTACGCTCTTAAAGGTGGGGTAGTCAGGATCTGAGGAAGTGCCAGTTTTGGGGAGAAATCTTGAGTGTGAACACTAACCCTCAAAAGCAAATGAATGACACTTGTTATTACAAAAATACATTTTTATTGTTCAAGCATTAAGTTTGTAAACGACACATTTCAATTGTCATGCATTAAAAGCAAAGAAACATGAACCTCAATCACAGAAAAACGGAAAATCATTTTCAGTGGACTCTTCACCTTTCAGGTTTATCTTCTGGCTTTTTGCATAATTTATTTTTCAAAAGAGGTTTCATCTGGTAATAATCACCATACAAATATTCATCTACAGTTCTCTATTACTGAAGGGAAATGATTCTGTTTCCGCTGTGGTGGTGATATCCTGTGCTAAAATTAACTTCGTCATCATCATTGAGCTGAGCACTCTTCAAAGATACCCAGAGGTTTTAAAAGCACCTCAGAAGCTAAACTTCTAAATTTCCTGGGAGGTGGAACAACTGTTTTTATGTTCCTGTTTTAAACAAGCAGTGCAAAAGTTTCTCGAAGCAAAAGCATACAATAATGGATCCAGAGAGCCGTTTAGAAATGCCAGTGCTCCAAAAGTGTTCCAATTGTCCGTGCAAAACTTCATCAGTCTCTCATTTTTGCTGAAAATTGCAGCCAAGCCAAGCATATTTACTATCAGGTATGGCATCCAGAGGACAAAGAAGGTCACAGCGATGCTAGTGATCAGACAGGTGGTCTGTGGGTTGTTAAAGAGAGCTGCCCGGTCCACTTTTCTTTTGAGCCTGATATATGCAAACACCACGACAGAAACAGAGACAACCCCCAGCACAGTCTCCACCATCAGCAAAGCTACCTCCTGGGCCAAGGACGAGTACACAAATTTGCACTGTGTCAAGTCTTGGACTGAAATGGGCTGTTGAACCACCAAAACAGGGATGGACAGGATGATGGCGGCCAGCCAGAGCAGAGCCAGCAGCCTCTTCTGTCCCCTGTGCTGGGACCACTTCTTACCATGAACCACCTGCAGGTAACGCTGGAGACTCAGGGCCATCACAGTCAGAAGACAGCAGTGAACACTGCAGTAAACCAGATATGAGATGAGCTTACAGACCAAAAGGCCAAAGGACCAGCCGTGCAGGAAGGCATGAATCCACAGAGGCAGAGTAAGCAGGTAGAGCAGGTCTGCAATGGCCAAATTCAACATCAAACTCTGGCTCAGACTCGTCATTTGCTGCCAGTTTGGTCTGAGGATGATCACAGCGATGTTTCCAGGAATTCCCAGTATGGAGCAGAGGGTCAAAACCACGACAGGAACCAGAGTGCTGAAGTCCTGGGAGCAAGAAGGTGGATGTCCAGGAGAGGAGGAGATGATGGAGGTGACCACAGTGGAGTTGAGTTGTTCCATCCTGCCAACAAGCTGAGGATAAAACAAAAGCTGTGTGTGCAAGGCAGAGGATGATGATGTCTGTCTCTACAGAAACATATAAGAACGAAAACAGGAAGTATGACAACCTTGGACCAAAATATCTCCTGAAAGGTTAGATTTAAATATTTGCTGCTGTTATTGCGGCAGGAAACTTCCCACAGTGGTGAGGCCAGCATACAAACCTCAAACATCCTGAGTTAGCCATCCAACAGCAGATTTACCTGATGCAAAGCAGAGAAAACACGATGATGCACCGGTATATGAACTTTTCCCCAACACAGATATGTGCTTGAAAATTTTTTTTGTTACGTGCTTCAATATGTCGATCCAGGAGTTTTTCTGAGTTCATCTTACATGATCTCTTTGACACGAAATCTCACCTGTACAGCTCTGCTTTTTTTCTAAGTTAGCATCTGATTAAAAGTTTCCTGTGACCCTTAAAAAAGCACTTTTCATCAGCAACTGAACAAACTTTTTGACCCGATGAAGATTATGTGAAGTTGAGGAGGAATCGCAGAATGCTGTTCAGTTTTAGCTTGCCTATTTTGTTTGATAGTTAAGTCTACGCTCTTAAAGGTGGGGTAGTCAGGATCTGAGGAAGAGCCAGTTTTGGGGAGAAATCTTGAATGTGAACACTAACCCTCAAAAGCAAATGAATGACACTCATTATAACAAAAATGCATTTTTATTGTTCAAGCTTTAACTTTGTAAATGACACATTACAGTTGTCATGCATTAAAAGCAAAGAAACATGAACCTCAATCGCAGAAAAACAGAAAGTCATTTTCAGTGGACTCTTCACCTTTCAGGTTTATCTTCTGGCTTTTTGCATGATTCATTTTTCAAAAGAGGTTTCATCTGGTAATAATCACCACACAAATGAAGCATAGCGGTAGTTCAGGCAGGTCAGGGAGTCAAGCTTTAGGCTACAGTCAGCTGATCTTAAGCCAGCCCTCAGCCAGCTGATAGCTCAGGTGATCGCCCTCTACACATCCTACTGGCTAATGTCAAAATGGCACCTTATTTAAACTGCTTCTCCTGCCTACTTTACCTGCTGCAACCACTATGCAACCAACTGCCACCCCAGCTCCTCCTGTTTATGTTGTGTCTGATCTTACCAGTGTCAGATGTATTGTCACTGACGCTTGCTCTGTTCTGTGGGGGGATTTTAATGTATGTATCTTAATCGTATTTATTTGCTGCTGCTTTCTCTGCCTTGGCTTTTCATGTATGCACATGAAAGGGAGGGGAGGGGCGCTCCCGTCTTATAGCCGTGGCATTCCATGCAAGCGCATGGAAGGACAGGGAACTCTCAGAACAGAGCCATACCGCCAATGTAAAAAACGTTTGTTTGTAAAAGATAATAAATTTGACTTAAGTGGTCCTGACTGAAATGATTTAAGGAAACGTGACCAAACCTGAGGTTTCAGTATTTACCACAAATCATCCACAGCTCTCTATGACTGATGGGAAATGAACGCTTCTGTTTCCACTGTGGATGACGACACCTTGTGCTTAAATTAATTTCTTCATCATCATCGAGCTGAGCACTCTTCAAAGGTACCCAGCGGTTTTAAAGCACATCAAAAGCATAACTTCTAAATTTCCTGGGAGGTGGAACAACTGGTTTTCTGTTCCTGTTTCAAACAACCGGTGCAAAAGTTTCTTGAAGCAAATGCATACAACAATGGATCCAGAGAGCTGTTCAGAAACACCGGTGCTCTAAAAATGTTCTTGTTGTCCATGCAAAACTTCAGCAGTCTCTTATTTTTGCTGAAAATTGCAGTTAAGCTGAGCAAATTTAAGATCAAGTATGGCACCCAGAGGACGAAGAAGGTCACAATGATACTGGTGATCAGACAGGTGGTCTGTGGGTTGTTAAAGAGAGCTGCCCGGTCCACCTTTCTTTTGAGGCTGATATATGCAAACACCACGACAGAAACAGAGACAATCCCCAGCACAGTCTCCTCCAACAGCAAAGCTACCTGCTGGGCCAAGGACGAGTACACTGATTCACACTGTGTCAAGTTTCGGACTGGGGAGGGTTGTCGATCCACCAAAACAGGGATGGACAGGATCATGGCAACCAGCCAGAGCAGAGCCAGCAGCCTCTTCTGTCCCCTGTGCTGGAACCACTTCTTCCCATGAACCACCTGCAGGTAACGCTGGAGACTCAGGGCAATCACAGTCAGAAGACAGCAGTGAACACTGCAGTAAACCAGATATGAGATGAGCTTACAGGCCAGAAAGCCAAATTTCCAGCCGTGCAGAAGGGTGGGAATCCACAGAGGCAGAGTTATCAGGTTGAGCAGGTCTGCAACAGCCAAATTCAACATCAAACTCTGGCTCAGACTCGACATTTGCTGCCAGTTTGGTCTGAGGATGATCACAGCGATGTTTCCAGGAATTCCCAGTATGGAGCTGAGGGACAAAACCACAACAGGAAACAGAGTGCCGAAGTCCTGGGAGAAAGGAGGTGGATGTCCAGGAGAGGAGGAGCTGATGGTGGTGACCACAGTGGAGTTGAGTTGTTCCATCCTGCCAACAAGCTGAGGAGAGGGCAAAAGCTGTACGTGCCAAGCAGAGGATGATGATGTCTGTCTCTACTGAAAGGTATAAGAATAAAAAGAGGAAGTTGCTGTTAGTGCAGCAGGAAACTTCACACAGTGGTGAGGTCAGTGTAAAAACCTCAAACACCCAGAGTTAGACATCTACCATTAGGTTTACCTGAAGCAAAGCAGCACACACACGATGATGCACCAGTATGAGAACTTTTCCCCAACACAGATATGTGCTGAAATAACTTTTTTGGTGCGTGCTTCAATATGTCGATCCAGGAGTTTACCTGAGTTCATCTTACATGATCTCTTACATGACACAAACTCTGCCCTTTACAGTTCTGCTTTTCTCTAAGTTAGCAGCTGATTAAAAGTTTCCTGTGACCCTAAAAAAGCACTCTTCATTAGCGACTGAGCAAACTTTTTGAGCTGATGAAGATTGTGTGAAGTTTAGGAGGAATCCCAGAATGCTGTTCAGTTATAGCTTGCCTATTTTGTTTGATGGTTGAGTCTACCGTAACACCGAGTTAGACACCCCATTTAGAGATGAATGTTGCCGACCGCTTACTTTTTTAGTTATACCAACTTTAGTAAGAACCACAGATAGCAATACACAAGCGGTCTGATGAGCCATAAACAAACCTCAACCAAAACAACACTCTATAGCTACAAATACAGCTACACTTAACCCCTCTTGCTCCCAGTGCGTGTCCTCCACCGGCGTATGATTGTAAGTGATGTGCGGTGGTGGTCGGAGAGGCCGTAACTGGCTAAACCCACAGGATCCAGACCGGCAAGTGGATCAGATCCGCAAGCATACAATGCCCACTAGATCCGATCTGCCGCCGCCATCAGAGGAGAAACTGTGTGAGCAAATGATGTATCCAATGTGAGCGCTTTGAGGGTCTCTGATAAAGCGCTATATGAAATCTGATGCATTATTATTATTATTATTATTATTATTATTATTATTGTTGTTGATGAAGTTAGGTGCTGTTCTGAGCATTATTTGTGGCTATAGAGTGGCGTTTTGGTTAAGGTTTGTTTATGGTTCCTTAGATCGCTGTGTATTGCTATTGTGCGGTCGTTACTGAAGTTGGTATAACTAGAGAAGCAAGCAGTCGGGAACATTCATCTCTAGAGGGGGTGTCTAAATCGGTGTTATGGTGTGTTTGACCCTAAATTAATTTTGTGCCGGAATATCCCTTTAAGAGTCCATCAGTATCATGTAGAAAAAAAGGGAACTTTTTGCTGGAGGCAGAGACACGCTTGTTAAAATAAACTAACATGGGCTAAAATATTGGTCCCTCGCAATTTAGAGAGTTTGTGTGTGTGTGTGTGTGTGTGTGTGTGTGTGTGTGTGTGTGTTTCTGCACACACTTAAAACATGCACTGACATAAATCTAAATTTATCCTTCTTGACCGCAGACAAACACGCACTGAATCGCAACATTTTGTCGTTTCGGTCTCTGCAAATAAAGTTAAATCTAAATTCATTTCTCCCCGCTGAAAGAATCGCTGTTCCCCGTGTTTACCCGCCGTAATAAAAATATTAGTTTAATCCCCCCCAGAAAAAGAAAAATACCCATGATTCCCTTCGTCTGGACGGGGAAAGTCCTCTCACATGATCAGAACCTTCATTCATACAGACATGTTCGTCTGTTTCAGCCGGACTCCCACTTCTCTCTGCGGGTTCGTCACTTGTTTCTGCATCAGAGTGGGATGTGTGTCTGTGAGAGGATCTTTTCCGCCAGAGAGGATCTTTGCATCAGCGTTTTTTCCCTTAGATTGAAATGATGGACGTCAGTCTGCTGGAAACTGTTTGGATGAAGACCATTTGGTTTTACTGAGGAAGAAAACGTCCGCTACATTTTGAGTGTTTTTAAGGTGGGTACACTTATTTCTTTAAAATGTCATTTTAAATATAATATTTGTTAAAGTTTAATTCACTTTAATATTGTTTTGCTATCTTTGTAGAGATGTCTGAGTTATTATTAGGGTCCTTTTTATGCTAATTATTTAATGTTTCAGACTCGTTCGAGTCTTTTAACAGGATAAATCTCTAGCCTGTAACTTTTTAATAAGTCAGCAGATCAATATCATAAATTAATAACAGATTATTAATGTTTGAAATACTTTGAGTTTCTGTTTTATTGCTTTGATTGGTAGTCACAGAGGGATTGCTTTTCTTGATTTAGAAATAACGTGACTGTATTGATTAAATCGTGGACACATTTGATAAGAAGCAGAAACCGAGACGGTTGTTCAGTTCAGTCAGTAAACTCTTGCGCCATCTCCTGGCCAAATACTGTATTACAGCCACATAACTGTCCAGCAATGGTATGATTTTTAATAGTGTCTGCAGAGCCGGAGAGACAAGCAGATCCACAACCGTGACAGATCCACAACCCTCTTACTAACCGGTGTTCCACATACCTTTTTGTGCCCAGAAATTTGATTTAAGTAACCAATTAAAAAATGCACAAGTGACCACAGTCAAATATTTATTATCTAATCAAATTAAAAAGTCTTTGAAATTTGTGAAGAAAGTGTTCGGTTCTTGGGACTCAGACCACTTCTTTTCAAGGAATTTAGATTTATTTTAAAAATAAATAAGTGCTATCAGTCACATATTTAGATATCAATCTAGATTTTATTAATTTTACAATTTTTTACTTTATTATCATCTTTTTATGTATTGTCTTTCTACCTAAAATATTTCGGGTTTATTCCACAAAAGTATCAACTTTTATTATTCCGATATCACAGGGATTGGCCTCGCTTTTTTACTCTTAATTCCTTGGTGATGATTTTGACCCCCTGAATGCAATAGTATGTGTCTGCAGAGCCAGATGAATCTGATATTTTGAGTGTTTTTTCATATATTTTAATGTGCAATCTCATGCACATTAGCACTTCTGTTTCATTGTCTACAATGCTAGTAGCCGATGGGTCAAGCCATACATTTCTGACTTCCAACAAGCTAATGTTAGCATTAGCTTCACCGAGATTCGATGTGCATTTCAGACTATTATGGTAAACGGATAGGGAAAATGTCATAAACAGAGCCTGTCACATTGACATTTATTTTAAATTCAAGACAACAGTTTTCTATCCTACCCTCAATCATGAAAAAGGTAAGCCGAGACTCTCGATTTACCGGTCGATCTACGTACCAATCCTCACCTATGACCATGAACTTTGGGTAATGACCAAAAGAACAAGATCGCCGATACAAGCGGCTGAAATGGGTTTCCTTCATGGGAAGCCTTAGAGATAGGGTAAGGAGCTCGGACACTCGGGAGGCGCTCAGAGTAGAACCGCTGCTCCTCCACGTCGAGAGGAGTCAGCTGAGGTGGCTCGGGCATCTGGTTAGGACGCCTTCTGGACGCCTCCCGTTAGAGGTGTTCCGGACATGTCCCATGAGGAGGAGACCTCTTGGCCGGCCCAGGACCAGGTGGAGGGATTACATCTCTCGCCTGGCCTGGGAGCGCCTGGGAATCCCCCGGAGGAGCAGGTGGAAGTGTCTGGGGTGAGGGCCGTCTGGGTTGTGGATCTGTCACGGTTGTGGATCTGCTCGACTCTCCGGCTCTGCAGAAACCCCCTACTCATGATTTCCCTCTTTTAATATTTCTATATCTCCGTTTCTTCTATTTCCAGGAGGATGGGTCTGGGTTACTTCCTGTCTCTGCTGCTCTGTGCAGCCGCTCTCACCGCCTCATCGGTTTTCTGTAAAGATGAGGACAGCGAGGACCTCAGGTGGACCAGGCAGAGCCTACCAGTGCTGCAGGACACACACACAGAGCTTTTAGACCCGCCTCTGTTCAGAGGCAGCGGTGTGAACGAGGAAAAAGGAGGGAAGTGTCAAATCAAACACACATCTGTGGACCAGAGTGAGCAGGAGAGGATTCTGGGATATGAAACCACGTATGAGAACGGCACTCGAACACACACGGATGTCAGTTTGCCGGGTTTTAACACGACAGCTGGAGAAAAACCGGTTCATTCACCGGCTCACACCCGCAGGAGACGTCAGGTTTACGGATCAGACGGACGCTTCGTCATCTCCGACTCTCACTTCATCACAAACTACCCTTTCTCCACAGCTGTTCGCCTCTCCACCGGTTGCTCCGGAGTCCTGGTGTCGCCGAAACATGTGCTCACAGCAGCACACTGTGTCCACGATGGGAAGGACTACCTAGAAGGAGCAAGAAAGCTGAGAGTAGGAGTTCTGCAGCTCAAATCTAAGAGAAGAAGAGGAGGAAGGAGGAGAAAGGGACGACGGGAAGAAGGGGATGGTGAAGAGGAGGAGCAGATGATGGAGGAGGGTGAGGAGCAGAACAGCATAGATGGAGATGTAGGGAATAGGAAAAAGGACGGCAGAGGCAAGAGGCGCAGAGGAAGGAAGGAGGGAGAAGAAGGTGTAGCTGATGGTGGAGATGTGGAGGGTGAACGGAAGAGGCTGAACCGTGTTCGACGCGGCGCCCCGAGCAAAAAGCAGCCGGTGTTTCGATGGTCACGAGTCAAACAAACGAAGATCCCCCAAGGATGGATGCAAACGGAGAAATCCCCAAACTCTGTGTCCTCTGACTACGACTACGCGCTGGTGGAGCTGAAACGACCCCTCAAACAGAAGTTCATGGAGCTCGGGGTGGCGCCCTCTATAGCCCCCCTGACGCGTATACACTTCTCAGGCTACGATACGGACAAGGAGTGGCCCGGAGAGGAGCGGGTGGTGTACCGGTTCTGTTCAGTGTCAAACGAGTCCGATGATTTGATTTACCAGCACTGCGACGCTCAGGTGGGCGCCACGGGGGCGGGTGTTTACATTCGTCTGAGACAGGAAGTGGGAGACGCAGGGGGGAAGGGGAAGTGGCAGCGGAGGGTGATCGGGGTGTTCTCAGGCCATCAGTGGGTGGAGGTAGAAGGAGGCGGGCTGAAGGACTTTAACGTCGCGGTGAGGATTACTCCCGCCAAATACGCCCAGATCTGCCACTGGATCCACGGAGACCCGCGTCTCTGCAAAGAGGTGTGACCGCCACGGATCAGCGAGAGAAAAGAGACTCACAGAAAAGAGAATATTTCCAAACTTTGACTCATGAGCTGAAATTTTCTTTGCTTGTTAACTTTTAGCAGCGTGTTCACGTAGATCTCGCCACGCACAGCATCACGTATACGGAAACGCCCCTCCTGGCGTCACGGCTGCATCAACTCATCACATTATTAAACACGCTTCATGTTTTCTTAGAGAGAATATAAAGTTTGGATTGTTTCAGATTTATTTGTGGACATTTGGAGAGAGCGAGGAAAACGAATCTTCAGCAAAGAGTAACCTTTGACCTCTGAGACAAGGACGCTGCATCTATATAAGAGCTCACGCTTCAGCCGCCAATCCTGCACCTCAGTTTAAGATATAAGTGTGTCACAATAATGCAATAACTAGAACTTTTTAAGATGTACTGATCTATTCAGGTCTTTAAGATGTGTGTTTGAACTAGATGAATAAACGGTTTTCCTCAACAGGGTCAGGTGACATTGACCTCTTCTAAAAACTTACAGTCTTCTCAAAGTGCAATTTAAAGGGAAATTCTGGCGTAAAATTAATTTAAGGTCAAACACACCATAACACCGAATTAGGCACCCCCTACAGAGTTGAATGTTGCCGACCGCTCCCTTCTCTAATTATACCAACTTTAGTAACGACCGCAGGATAGCAATACACAGCGATCTGAGGAGCCATAAACAAACCTCAACCGAAAGACCACTCTATAGCCACAAATAATGCTCAGAACAGCACCTAACTTCATCAACAGGACATATTGGGTCCTAACCACAGTTCATTACGGACTACAGCGGGGTGCCGCAGCTCAAGGAAGAACATTTATGATCATTTCTTCATGGAAATACAATCAGACCGAGATGCTAAGGCAGTGGGCTACTATGACTGGGACACTGCATGTCCTGTTAATGAAGTTAGGTGCTGTTCTGAGCATTATTTGTGCCTATAGAGTGGCATTTTGGTTGAGGCTTGATTATGGCTCTCTGTATTTCTATCCTGTGGACGTTACTATAAAGTTGGTATAACTAGAGAAGCAAGTGGTCGGCAACATTCATCTCTCAAGGGGGCGTCTAACTCTGAGTTACGTTGTGTTTGACCCTGACTTAATTTTACCCCTGAATATCCCTTTAATCCTCACAGTTTGCTCTGAAATGTGGGTTTGTTATGCTAACAGCAGCTAACATGGCCCATGGTGCTAGTCCAAAGCAGCTGTGAGGGAGTCCAAATCCCACTACTCCACTTTGACTTGGAGGTGTTTCGTCCATGAACTCTGTATGTAGTTAAGCTTCAAACACCTGATGAGGTTCATACAAACACTATAGAGACTTTCACATAGATCTAAAGTTTAAGCTGTATTTATGATGGAAATTAATCAAAGTTTGTATCCGACTCATTTAAGAGTGTTGCCTGTCTGTATTTTTAGCCTTTTTGTTTCATAACTGTAGAAAACGGTGCAATAAAGTTTGTGAATAACTGAAAAAATCCACCATCACCTCTTGTTTTTGATGCACTTCATTCATCCCCAGTTGAGACTGTAATAATATAATTTCCCAATGTTGTGCAGAGTCGCCTTTATGAGAATTAAATACTCTAATTACCCTTCCTCCTGTGTTAGCTTTTACTATGTACCCACTAAGTTAACAGGTCGGTTAATCAGCTGTAAATTACACTAAAAGCAATTCTCTATCATCTAATTTGGTTCTCATCTTTAGGTTACCTTTTGAGGAGGAGGGATACACTTCCATGTATTTTTTTGATGCTTCACAAAAGCACAGATTTCTCGTCTGTACTCAAACTTTCATGCCACAAACAAACAAAAATACAGAAATTTTCAAAGACCAAGCCAACAGAAGCAGAACAGAGATCAGTGATGAGCCGTGAGGGTCGTTTGGATCAGTGTATTTGTCTTTTATTGCATCTCATTTGGACTCACATGCAGGTGGGGCGAAGGGTGGGGGAGTTTGGGGGGAGGCGGGGATGATGCCATCCATAATAACCCAAAGAAAGAACAACACAACCTCCATCTGAATACAAACGATATTTACCCACATTCCTCCTGTTCGTATGTGTCATAGTCGTCTTTATTTTTTTCTTTCAACACTTTGTTAATGCCACAATGGATTAAGATACAGTCACTTTTGGAAATAAACAGATAAACACACAGAATATCCAGCGTATACAGAGAGAGTCCCGAAGACCTCCAACCGTCTGAACGACCCAAAGAGGACCGACTTCCTCCCTCACTGACAGTTATGTAATGTGGGATGAGAGACAGAGAAAGGCGCTCTCTGAGAGTACTTTAAACCGCACCCCAGACTGACTCGTGTCGCATGCTACGCTGCAGTATCACACCACAACAGCAGATGGCGCAATAGTAAACACTCAGGGCAAAGTTTCTGTCCAATACTGCCTGATTACAAATCGAGATTATTCGACATAACTAAAAAATATATGATATCTTTTCTCACAAAATAAAGATTAAAGAAAAATATGTGTAATCTATCATTTCAAATAGTCTAAAATGCATATGTCAATTTGAACACAGTTCACAAATTTTTGCATGTTTCACACGATCCCTAAAAAAAAACAAAAAAACAAAATAAACAAAGAGAAAAAGAAAAAAAACGAACACAGTCCCGTGATAAGTCCAGATTTGCAGTGCAAGAGTTGTTCTCAGTTGTTGACAGCTGGGAGGATGGATGGCCAAGCAGATATAGGTACAACCAAGTTTCAATGACATAAACATAGCTCAGTATTAGTTCAGACAACAGGGCCAGAGTGGGAGTGGGAGTGGGAGTGGGGGGGTCGGCCAGTGAAGTTACGCACACTGAACACAGTCCACATTTAACAACATAGTCCTCGTTTGGGAGATGCGCAGAGAAACCAACATATATCCACCATTCCAATCGGCTGATATGCAGAAATCCAGAATGAATCTAAATACACATTTAATATTTTTTTGTTTGTTTTTTTAATAGTATATTAAGTAAAGGTTAACACTGATACACACACACACACGCACACACACCCACACACACATAAACAGATTTATGTTTTCTGTATCTAGGGTTCACATTCACAGTTGTGCTACAACATTAGATAAGGGGGGGGGCGAAAAGGGGGCGGGGCAGAGATGGGTGATGTGATGGCTGGTTGGCTGAAGGGGTTGGAGGGCATGACTGAGGGGAAGGCAGTGGGGGGGTGCAGACATCCACATCCACAGAGCTCCAGACACGGTGACGAACCTGCAGACGGAGGAAAGAGTATCTGATCAGAACTCATACTTTTGATCGTAGCGAGTAATCTAGAGTCGGGATGAGAATCGATAACAAGATCTTTTTTGTCTGCCTTCTTGACGATTCTTCTTATCGGTTCCTCTTGCATCTCTATGCGTGATGATGTAGTATGCGAGAAGTGTGTTTTGGTTTATAACTTTCCAGCATGGCGCCGAGGCAAAAGTGCTCCAGAAATTTGGCTGGATTTCAAGCAAAAAGATGATACCAAGTCTACTTGAAAAGCTTTAGTTTCATTGAAGGGGGGAAATACTTCCGATATGCGGAAATATCTGTCCACCCAGCATGCGATTAATTTCCGGAAGTGTAATGTGTTTGATGCGCTACTTAGCGAAGGCGAGACTGGTACAGGCAAAAGCAGGAGCAGGGCTAACGTCTTGGTATCATCTGCTTTAGTCCACATTACTCTGTTTGATGTCGGACCTCAGAAAACTAAAATACCTCCACACCACCGACGTTTTTGTGCCGGTGTTGTCGATAATATCGTCATCTGTTGAGCCTTCATTGTCAGCGCTTGTATTGTCCTTGCTTATATTCGGACAAGACAAGCGCTAAAATAACTTTCGTAGATGTAGCCATCTCGTGTCCGCCTCCAATTTTGCTTTCGTCTGACTTACGCTGGTTACTCATGTGTGACATCAGCTCGGACTTCTGAATTCCGAGGTAACTCGACGCAACATAATTTCTCACTCAAAGAGAATCAATAAGAGAATCGATAAGGAATCGTATCAATTCCCAATTCCCATCTCTTGTCTAGAGCCCGTATCACCGTACCTTGGGGGTTTACAGGTCAGTCAGTCTACATGAAGTCCTTAATGTTGAGGTCATCCAGAGCGTTCCTCGGTGGTGGAGGCTTCCTGGGACTCTGGGCTGCTCCGGGAGACATCTGTAGACACGACTTTATGTCAGTACTTTCACTCTAGCTGTTATTTTTATTAATGAAAGAGTGAAACCGAGAGAGAGAGAGTTACCGGCGCCCCAGGGGTCGCTCCCGCTGCAGGGAAGCCTGGCCTCACCATCGGCATCATGGGAGCTCCTGGTGCCCCAGGCTTACACAGAGACAGACAGGAGAATAGAGAGGAAAGTGAGACACAATGTGGGGCGGCTGCTGGGTGTGAGGGACACCTGAGGGACTCATTGTCCATCAGGATCTAGTAATGTCCAGACTGGGGGGCAGGGACATTACTAGACCATATTGGACTGGTGGTCTTACCATGCCGAAGGTGGGGTAAGTCCCCATAAAAGGAGGGACACCCATGGGTACGGTCTACAGGTGTGGAGGGGAGGGAGAGGAGGAGGTGGGGTGTTACAAGACTACATATAAGACAGACACACAATGCAAAGAACATAAAGACCCAGACCCTAAAGACAGAGACAAAGACACACTGACCCGATATTTCCACCGCATCTGGAAGGGCTCCTATCCGGAACCTCGGCGATTTTTGACGTACAGCAATTCCTACCAGATCTGTTTGTGAGGTGAATTTCATGACAGCAGGAATCACAAGAACTCACAAGAACCCAGGGATTCACATGCGATCGCACGATAACGAGTTCTCTTTAGCCACAGAGGCTAACCATATAAGCAGTAGTTTGTGTCCTTCCAGAGGAGGAAATCTACTTCTAGACTTCTAGAATCAGCATCTCCTCATCTCCGCCTGTTTGCATGGTGTGAAATACGATCTGCCTGAAACACAGAATTTTTTATTTTGAAAAGAAGCCGGATGTTTTATTTTGTGTCTGTGCCCGACTTCCTTTCCAGCACGAGTTAATCTGTGCTGAATTTATCCGCCATGCTCCGGCGTCCGGAAAAAACAGAACTCTCGCGATCAGCTGAGGAGTCCGGCGATCCACAGAGGAACGGAAAGAAGCCGGTGGAATTGACGCATTAACTTGAATGGTTACGATCAGCTATGATCAGCAGATACGGCCTTTTCGAAGCTGTTCCGGATGCGGCGGAAATTCAGGGTGAGTCCAGACAACAAAAGTCGACACAACAAACAAACAAAAATGGACAACTACACATGCAACAGGGTTTGGAGAGCAGGGGAGAAGCTTTTAGCAGGAAGCCTCTAGATGAGAAAGTTATTTCTGTTGTTGCTAAAAAGAAACTTAATTATCCAAAATGAGCAAAGGCGTTAGTGAAGGTTGCATTCAGCTATGAGGGGGAGAACCAGGTCGCTTTCCTGGACTCGTTTAGGCTCAGAAATAAAGAGGAACTTAAAGAGAAAGAAGCTGTATCCAGGCAACAGCTTCTTCAATTGGCTCTAATATTTGCCACTTCATAACTCTCCAGTAGATGTTCCAGTTAAACCAGAAATAAGATTTAAAATTTCTACTTCTGGTTTCTTCTAGTCTACTTCAGGTCGTCTTTGTCTTCCTCGGTCTACAGCTGAACCTGGAACCTGGAGAGCTAGATGAAGGCAATGCTCGTGATTGCTGCTATATGCCCTGTCTGTTGCTGCCATGCGTCTCCACTCCATGCTATAAGACACAGACAACATTTACCATGGGAGCACCCCAACATGGGGGAGCTACCTGAGGGGCCGCTGGGGTTCCCATTGTGAGATCTGGAAAAAAGAGAGAAAGAGAAACACTGAAAGGTCACAGTTTTCATTCACTGACGAGACAGAGGAGCGAGTTAAAGGGATATCTCGGCGTAAAATTAAGTTAGGGTCAAAAACACCGAGTTAGACACCCTGTCAAGAGATGAATGTTGCCGACCACTTGCTTCTCTAGTTATACCAACTTTAGTAACGACCACACGATTGCAATACAGAGCGGTCCGAGGAGCCATAAACAAACTAAAACGCCACTCTATAGACGGGTTTCTGCAACGTCATCGCAGGTATGTGCCTGCAGCGTTGGGGCAGAAAGCGGGACATTTCTTATTTGTTAACCAGCGGAGTCAACGGAGAAAGAAAATGACAAGGAGCTGTTGTGCTGTAACTACAGCGGGGTGACGCAGTTCAAGGAAGAACATTTATGATCATTTCTTCATCATTTCCTTGAAGTTATATTCTCCATATCAATCATTTTTCTCTGCAGATGCGATAGTTCTTCTGCCTTAGCGTCTCGGTCTGATTGCATTTCCATGAAGTAATGATCAAGTAATGGACTGGCCTGAAGCGGCTGCTGGAAGAGAGTAGGTGAGTTGTGTTTAGTCTCTTTGCTAAAGAAATGAGTCAAAGTTAAAAAGATGTTTGGTGTCTAGTACTATGTCTGGGACCCTATATGTCCTGTTGATGAAGTTAGGTGCTGTTCTGAGCATTATTTGTGGCTATAGAGTGGCGTTTTGGTTGAGGTTTGTTTATGGCTCCTCAGACCGCTCTGTATTACTATCCTGTGGTCGTTACTAAAGTTGGTATAACTAGAGAAGCAAGCGGTCGGCAACATTCATCTCTCGAGGGGGTGTCTGACTCGGGGTAACGGTGTGTTTGACCCCTACTTAATTTTACACCAGAATATCCCTTTAATTTTATGAAGGGAAATTCGCTCATTTACTTTTAACTTTTTCCACAATCTGAGAGATTTTTCCAAACAAAGTAAATCAGAGAATTTCCCCGTTATCAATCTGACATTACTAGGAATCTAAAAGACTACTTACTACTCGCCATGTTGGCCATGGAGGTGTCAACATCTCCCCCCTGGGGGGTCAAAGTGGGCTTCATTACATCTCCTAATCCATCAAATACTACAGAGAGGGGAGGGGAGAAGGGAGGCTCGTGTTAGCGTCTGTCAGGGTAAGCATCCTCACACTCCACCACAAGTCAGTCTCCCTTTACTACTACGGAGGATTACCATGACAACCAACAGATGTCTCCATGACAACAGAGAAGAGAGAGAGAGGGGGGCACTAGGAAGTGAGTTAGAGAGAGAATCAAGTTTAAAATCAGCGTCTTTATGTTTGGATAAATTACAGATCATTCAGATGTTGTTAAATCTGTTATTGGAGACGTCTGTCAGCTGTTTAATGCTGAGATAATTCACATTATAAGACTTTAAATCTGCATGTGATCATTTAAAGAAAGACTTAAGACCCTTAAGGCCCAAACAGACACTTGGTGGATCTTTTTTCAGGTGAATGTGTGAGAGTGCTGCAGGAAGGATGAGGGCAAAGGCACCGCAGCTAGAATGGAGCTAAGCTAACAGCTAGAGGAGCGCGGCGTGACACCACCGCCACTCCACACACACTCTCTGTAACCACAGAGCGTCGGTAATGGAAGGGGGGGCAGTGCAGCTGAGCGTGCCGCCTTTCACCACTGCAATGCAGCAGTGCACTGTGGGAAATTAGCGTGTTAAAGAGCAAGGAAACTCACCCAATCAAATGGCAGGAAGCAAGCAATGAGCCAGCCCAAGAGCCAGATGGAGAGAGAGAGAAAGGGAGTGGGGGGTGAGGGAGAGTGAGGAAAAGAAAGAAAGAGAGAAAGAGGAGAGTAAAACAGCTCAGATGCCAGAGAGGAGGGAGGAGGAAAGCGTCGTGGTTCAAGTTTTTAAAGGAGCGGGCGGTGATGAAGAGCATGAATGATAGAAAAGAGAGAGAGAGAGAGGGAGGGAAAGAAAGGGTTAAGCCTTTCAGCAGTAGTAGTATTGCAGACCATCAGTTATATAACATGAAGACCAGTGGCACAGGACAGGGAGTGAGAGGAAACAGGTGAGCGGGGCATGGGCATGTGTTGCCATGGTAACAGTCACCACAGTAACTCAACGAACAGTCCTGACAGGTGGGGAGAAAAGGGGAAAGATTCCCCACAGGACTCTGTACGATGTGAATGATGTGATGAAATACGACTCCGACGTGACCATATATGGGCGTAGTTCAAATACAAGGACTCGTCACTGAACACAGAACAAATAAAAGACAAGTTTGACACTCTGACGTCTGACCTGATGAATACAACAGCCTGGATTTATAAAAGTTCACGAGTTTAGAGACAAACAGTCATCAGAAATGTTTTAGTTTAAAGATCCAATGAGGAGTTTTTCTACATTAATGAAATGGGCTTATAACAATATTATTACCATTATCATAATTTATAACAGCTTAAATTGGTGCAAGCAGCTGAAGAGCTAGGCCTGTTTTTTAGTTTCCACAAAAATATTCACAATAATGATGCATCCGACTAGGGCTGGGCGATAAACCGAAAATTTACAGATACTGATATTTACAACATTAACTGACGTCATTTTGCCCAGATCGGTGTATTCAGTGTATAAAAAAAAAATAAATCAAAGTTGGTTTTGGATGTGTGTAGGTAGGCTATGGTCTAGTGTCCCAGATGTATTTTATTAATCGAGACGTGCAAATGAAATTATTTTACCAAAACAACAACTACATTCGACTGTCCAAAGTTGGCAGGATTTTATTTTTTTTTTTACAATAAACACCATTAAGCATATGGAGGACAAGATATGCGAAGAGCGGTTTGCCCACAGGGGGCGCCAAAGTTCACACAAACCAAAAGTTCCTCACAGGAGCTTTAAACAAGTATTAATTAATCCAAGCTTGGTCCATAACTAGAATAGAAGGTGTCTCTAACAAATAAAATTTACCTTACTAACACGTACCAACTAAAAATCATGCAGTTACATATGAATTAGCAACAAATAAAGTCATGGATGGATAACAAAGTATCAGGCCTCTGAGCATAGACATATACAGGCTAGATCACTCCTCTGATCACTGTCAGCATCCTGCAGGTAAACCCAACCTGGAGTGTTTGCAAAGTTTCTTCCTGCTTTGGATAAACTGAGTTGACCTCAACAGTTCAGCATTTTGGCTCCCCACCATCAGAATAATATCTGAGGAAAACTGCAGCTGGATGAACACTGTCACTTGTGCCCTGCAGCACTTACATCAGGAAACAATCAACAAACCCAGGCGTGGGGGATTTATCAAGGATTCGATTTGCAGAGACTCGATATTTAAAGTCGTGCTGAGCAGGATCAGGAGAGAAAGACCGATCAGAACTGAGCCTCAAACATCTCTCTAAAGTAACCCATCCATGACTTCACCATACCGCTCCACAAAGAAGGAAATACTTCTATTAACTGTCTGCAACACATCAGTATTCCTTCGTTTTACACACAACATGCATGCAGAAGTCTGAACGGCTGTTTTCACCTGACATGAGCTCAGCACCGGGGGCGGCAGCAGCAGCAGGAGCAGCAGCGGCGGCTGCAGCTGTGGCGTCTCCTCCTGTGGACTCTGACAGGTCAAACCATGCCAGGTCAAAGCAGAGGGCGCCGTTTCCATCGCAGCATGAGGGCAAAGAAGTGGGAATAGTCAGCCTAGTCCTTCACACTGGTGATGCCAAACAAGAGGGCTCGGAGTTAGAGAGGTTAGATCAGACAGGAGTCATATTCACATTCGCACATACACATATATATACATCCTAATGACAAACTTAAAGCTCCTGTAGGGAGTTTTATGGGATGGATAAAAGCAAATAAGACTGTGAGGGACCAGAGCGCTTAAATAAACAGCCCCATTTTTACAGTTTCATCCCATTTTGCTTGTGAAAGCTGGAAAGCTAACAGCTTGTTTGGCACTGTGATTCCGAGAAGTACAGTTGGTGCTAGAGGCCAACGCGCATGCGCATAACTAGCTTGTTTGTATTTTACTCATGCCCTGCCGCTGCGCTGGGATGCCTTTCCTCTCTCCGCTGGAGTGTGGCTGAACCTGGTTTGAGCCCACTTCATGGGTGCAAACCAGTTCCTGAATACTGTAAATTCCAACATGTTGTTGGTAACTTTTTTGGCATGTGATTGTTGTCATTTGACTGACTATGGAGCTGGTTACATTACTGTGTGTGTGTTTGCATCAAACTTTGTCAGTCCTGAATATTTAAGCTTTCATTTAGCTGACCTATAAATTCCAACAGGTTGTTGTTGGTAACATGGGGCAAGTGTGAATGTGATGGGGCGCTAACATCAGGTGCAGGTAAAATCATCTACTCGCTTAACTCGCGCGAATCCAGACACATGAATGAATTGTATTTACTCGCTTCATTCACGCATCAACGGTAATCCTTGCCGATCAAATGATAGACAAAGATTTTTTTTCTCAATCTACCAGGTAATCCTAAAATGAGCTCCTTTTTATTTTGGTTTTGGTGATTGAAAGAAAAGGTATCATATAATTCGGGGCACCCACACACCGACACGATCAGTTTGTCCTCCATTTTAGATACCAGTAAACAACCGTCCGTTTTCATACGTCACCCAGCAACCTTTGTGCTGATTAGTTATTGCGACGCAGATACCCGCTCAAGTTTAGACACTTTCAGCCTTCCCCCAATTCGTGTCATTCGCGCTGCCAGAGTAGAACGAGCGTCTAATCGCGTCTTTGCATTGATTTAACATGTAATTCAGTCGCGCGAATGATTTTACTCGCATTTAATGTGTGGAGACAGTGAGTGTGTCTATCACAGTCGAGTTGATATAGTAGTGAAAAACCATATTGTGTGTTTTTGTGCGGGTGCTCGCATGGGGTTGACACTTCATCATGACCACGGTAAAAGGTCACCGCTCGCTGCTGCGTTAAATACTCATGTTTTATGGCACATTTGAGTTAGCAGGACTTAAGCATATGTCAAAGACAAGATAAGCAACGACTTATTTGTCCACAGGGGGCGCCAAAGCTGACACTAACCCAAAATTCCCCACAGAAGCTTTAATTGACAGTCATTGTTGATAATTAAATGCATTTCTGTTTAGATTAGATCAGATGTTTTTATCCTTTTGGGAAGGATCCCTCAAGGAAATTAAAATTAAATAATACAACAAACAAAACTCGAGCTCTCTCTCCATATAAATAACTCGAAGATTAAATAATTCAACCACTAAAACGTGACCAAAACTTGCATCCAGCACTGCTTTTCCACCTCCACGGTCGACCCACACAGAAATAATGATATGCAGAGAAAACATGAAGTTAAACAACAGAACTATTCATCAGTTAGGATCATGAAAAAGCCTCTTATACAGTCGAATCCTTCGTTCATGTGATTTACCCACCACCAAACAGGTTCATGATGGCTCCCGTGTCAATTTTGGGTGGGGGTGCAGAGGTGAGGATTGGGGCGGGGGAGCTGAACACATCTGCTGAGGAGGGAGATGAGGTTTAAATCCACACACACACACATACACACACACACACACACATATATATTTACTGTAGCCGACTGTGACTCAATATGATGCACTTTTATCATTTGCAATCCCAGAGCACGCAGCAGACCATGCTGGAAGGGGGAAGGAGGTAAAAGAGTGATTTAGTAAACGACTCAGACGGCTCAAAAAGCTCTCGGCTAACCCATATGTGAGCAATCTCATTTCCTTTTATTTCACCCGCAAGTCAAAGCCAAGGACAAAGCTGAGAAAACACACACGGCAAGGCAGGAAATGAGAGAGAGAGACAGACAGAGAGAGGGTACCTGCTGTAAACAAGTCAACACTGGGTAAGGGGTCTGCTGTGGTGCAGCTCGAATCCGGCATGGAATCAAAAATATCTACATGCACCCAGAGAGGGAGGACAAAACATTCAGGGGATCATCACACATGTCAGAGTGTGCAAATTCATCTGGTTTAGGAGGAGAGAGAAGAGGAGGGGTCTTAAGATCTCTGATGTTTACCGCTGAAAAGGTCGGTCGCAGGGCTGGCGGCGCCGGGGGATATGGGGGCTGATATGGTTGCGGTGGTGGTGATGGTGCTGGTGGTAAAAAACGGCGAAGGGGAAGGGGGAGGGCGCCGCAGAGCCGAAACAAACATCCAAGGAGCTACTGGGGTTACTATCGTCGGCCGTCATCATGCTGAAAAGGTCTAGACCTGGTGACGCCACGCTGGTGCTACCGTCCGAGGAGGCGAAGGGATCTTCATAGGGAGGGGGGGTGAGAAATGGAGAGTTAGGATGGATGTTAGTGATTTCTGTCAACAGATGAGACACAGTTAAAGGGATATTCCGGCATAAAATTAAGTTAGGGTCAAACAAACCATAACATAACTGGACGGGGTGTCTAACTCGATGTTATGGTGTGTTTGACCCTAAATTTATTCTACGCTGGAATATCCCTTTAATGTTTTATGAGAGGATGAGGATGAAAACATGAGAGCTGAGGAGGAAAAGGAGGACATGTGCGGAGCTCCAACAAACTCCAAAATATCAGGAAAAAAAAAAACCCAAACAACAAATCAGCTTCATGAATCCTACGACCAAACCACATGAATTTCACCAGCGACTCTCTCCAGGACGGAAAAATTCACACGTCTGCTGCCGCCAAAGCTGGAGAGATAAGTAACACCATTGTCTCTGATCACCATGGCAACAACAATAACACCGACGGCGATGGAAAGCATATCTGGACGCCAACACAAAGATGAGACCAAATCTTGATAAAGTCCAGATAACCCGCAAGAAATTTACACAAACACAATTTTCAGGAACATGTGAGCACCTTTAGTGTTCGCCTTTGTCACTTTTACTCTCACTTTCACTCAAACAGACACACAAACACCGACAGAGTTTCAGTCACCCACCAGCTCCAGCGTTAGCAGCAGGGGCGGGCGTAGCGGCGGCCCCACCTTCAGCGGGGGCTGCGGACGCTTCAGCGGCAGGCGCAGGTGTCGCAAAGGTGTCTGAGGTCGACGCAAACCCCAGAAGAGGACAGGAGAGAGATAAGGAAGTCAAGATGAAAAGAAAATCAAAGAGTGTAAGGAAGAAAAGGGAGAAACTGAGCAGCACTTTAGTTTTCAAGCATTAAAAACAGACATTTATGACTGACAGGTGAATGAACGAATGGGAATACAGACAGGAGGCACTACAGCGAGGGTTAGTCTACTGCACGGAGAGAGCAGAATAAGCTTGAAGTCTACAAGTGTTACAGCTGCCGTCTGTAACTGGAGCCATGTGACAGGGTCGGGCAGAATTGCTTTTCGCTGAGGTCGAGGAAAAGCATGTCTGCCAGTCAAGCAAGATGCATGTGGAGAATGAGTGCAGCAGTATGTTCCTGATCGTGAGAGTGCGGCTGAATTTAACTTTATAATACAGAGATTAATCAGCATGTGGGATATCAGTGTGCATGTATGAAACAGAAGAATCAGACTGCTTCATGGTTGCAAAGTTTTTTTTTTTTACTTTATCCAAAACCTTTTTTGGTTCCTTGTCACTTTTCAGGACGGCTATATTATTATAAGTCACTGCCGCTCATTTATATTCTAGCCAATCACATCCCAGTTTCCCTTTTGAAGCTAGAAATAGAGAAAAAACACATATTAGCTTTGGCGAGTTAGCACTATTGTTTACTTTAGCATGTTGTTATACCAGCATTTAAAGCTCCTGTAAGGAGTTTTTGATTGGTAAACAGACTGAAATACATTATGGTACAAATGCAAATAAGCCTCCATTAATTAATTGATTATTTAAAGTCTTTATAGTTTGTAAAAGAAACGCCAGAAAAACAGATTAAGTTACTTTTTCCAACTGTAAATAAAAACAGTGGGTGGGGCTGATAGATTAATCAATTTAAAATCGTAATCAGATTATTTGATTATGACGATGTTAGAAAAATTAAAATCATCAAATCGATTATCCTCTCTATCATGTCTCGCACCTCCAGGCTACCGTAGGCTCCCCCTTCCCTTTCCCACACTCACACCAGTGTAAACAAACATGGCGTTTGCGAAAGAAGGCGATAATTTCGTGGTTAAATAGGACAAGAGCGAGTCAGTCGTGTTGAATTGGTACGACTTCACAGTTTCAGATGAAGAGTAAACCACTCCCCGCTGCAAAGTCTGTCTGAAGGCGGTATCAAACCGTCACCACGGAAACTAATTCAGGAGGAAACGTTAAAGTTTTTTGTCGTATCGGCGTTTTATCTACACGGAAACTGCGTTTCGGGTGACTGTAAATGTTACTTTTTGAAAACAGGTCATCTGTAAATGACGACCATTTCATCTCCGTGTGGATACACATGCTCTGTATTCTTCTTCTGTCCTTTGAGCATTTCCTGTGCAGCGTTACAGCGCCACTCACTGGCTTGGCATGTGCATCACATCATGTTCAGTGGTTATGTTTTAAGAGATGATAGAAAAAATATATATTTTTAAAGTGAAGTTTGGTGAAGTTGTCACTAGATAAATAATCGAAATCGAAAATCGAGTTTTCTGAGAAAAAAATTGTGATTTTATTTTTGGCCAAAATCGTGCAGCCCTAACAGTGGATGATAAAATTTTACTGTAAAGAGTCAACATTAGTTTACTTTGTGAAGATGAGATGAAATCGTCATGATTATAAAGGTTAACACTTTGTCCACAGGGGGCGCCAAAATCAGCACAGACAGAAAGTTCCTCAGAGGAGCTTTAAACTTCACCACAATATCTATGTTTTACTTTTTTATAGTTTACAGTTTGGACATGTGATTGACTAAAATGAAAGAGGGCATGAAGGATACATAAATTAAATGTGACATAAATATTTTGGCGTGTGTTGATCATCGAGACTTTACCTCTAAATACTGTATGTGCTCTGGCATGCAGTGTGGTATCTTTAGTGTGATGGTTTTTGCTGGTCGAGCTTCTCAGAGTGATTCTTTCGTAGAGAATTTTCTGGAAGCCCACTGACCTCCCAACAGATCCATATTGGCGGCGCCAGGGGAAGTGGCGGCTGCTGTGCTAGTGGGAGGAGCTAGAGAGACTCCGGCTTCTGCTGCTGCAGGAGTGGGCGTCGCTGCAGGGGAGGCGGCGGGCTCTGCCGTGAGGGTGGGTTCAGATAGCAAGGAATCGCCCATTTCTTCGAGCGTTAATAGGGTTTTTTAAAAAATAACCCAAAAAAGAGCAACCAAAAAAAAAAACCAACCGAGAACAAAAACCCAATTAAATCAATTATAAAGTTTTTGGAATCAACCAATCAAATAAAAAAAAAAACATTTTAACCAAATAAAGAGAGCAAAATTATCCATTCATAAAGGAACCAATCAAAACAGCCCCCAGAATAAACAAAAACAGACGATGGAGTATGTGGAGGGAAGGGAGAGAGAGGGCAGAGAGAAACAAAGACACTACTCAGACTAAAGAGAACCACTGTGGGAGACAAACAGGGAGGAAACCACATGACATTTCAGAGTCCATCTAAGGCTTCATCTGGATTAAGACACTGACACGACCGCCACATCACCTCAATTTCAGATTAGAGTTTGAATTACACAGAGAGAGATCCTGGAGGATGACTGCACACTTATTTAGACAGCTGGCTGAAGGTTAAAGAAAAGTGGAGGGGGACTCACCAGATCCAAGAAGATCTGCGGAGACACAAAGAGAACGAGGAAACCGCATTATTCAAGCTAGTTAACGAGACGTAAATTCATCTATTCGTAGAGCGAGCTGATGGTTCACTCACCTCCCCAGGACGTGGGAGCAGCTGATGTTCCTCCTGAAGGACCCGAGGAGGACAGTGGATCCAGGTCCAACAAAGAACTGAAAGATGAGAAACAAGGAGTGAGCGTGACAACAGCCAACGTTTCTGTTTCTGGAAGAAGTTTAAACTCGTTAACGGCCGACATGTCATCTGCTAATAAAGAGATACTCCGGCGTAAAGTTAATTTAGGGTCAAACACACCGTAACACTGAGTTAGACACCCCATCAAGAGACGAATGTTGCCGACCGCTTGGTTCTCTAGTTATACCAACTTTAGACCTTGGGCAAGTCCATGGACTGCAGCGGGGTGCCGCAGCTCAAGGAAGAACATTTATGATCATTTCTTCATGGAAATACAATCAGACCGAGACGCTAAGACAGAAGAACTACAGCCTCTGCAGTGCAAAATGATTAATATTGTGATTATTACTGTTCTCATCATATTCTTCCTTGAGCTGCGTCACCCCCCTGTAGTCTGTAATGGACTGGCCCGAGGTCTCTGTACAAACAAGCGGTTGCTGGAACAGAGTAGGTGAGTTGTGTTTAGCCTCTTTGCTAAAGAAATGAGTCAAAGTTAAGAAGATGTTTGGTGTCTAGTACTATGGCTGTGACCCTATATGTCCTGTTGATGAAGTTAGGTGCTGTTCTGAGCATTATTTGTGGCTATAGAGTGGCGTATTGGTTGGGGGCGTGGCTCTCTGTATTGCTGTCATGCGGACGTTACTAAAGTTGGTATAACTAGAGAAGCAAGCGGTCAGCAACATTCATCTCTGGACAGGGAGTCTAACTTGGTGTTACGGTGTGTTTGACCCTGCCTTAATTTAATTCCAGAATATCCCTTTAAAGGCGAAGAATGAAGATCTTACTCTTCGGCTGGCTCAGGTGCAGCGGCGGCAGCAGCGGCGGCAGTCTCCCCAGGAGGAGGCTGCAGCGTGGGAACGGCGTTGGAAGATTTGGCTGGAGTCGATGTTGGAGACACGTTGTTTGTCGGAGAGCCCTGGAAGATTGACGGGGAAACCCCATTTCAGTGACGCTTCAAACTCTGCCAACCGGATTAAAGTTCAGACGGTTTAGACGGAGCGACTTACCTTTGTCGGAGACCTGAAAGAGTGCAGACAGAAGGATGAGTCAGCGCTTTAGACTGAACAGACACTGATGATTATTGATTGAACAGAAATATCAGACAGACTGCGTCATATGTGATCATATGAAGAGTTAATTTCCAAAGAAGAGACTCATTTTTTCTAAATTAACCTTTTCGTTTTAGCCTCGTATTTAATTTAACCCTTCATAGTCTGATCCACATTGCATGTCAGGGTGCGATAACACACATGATGTGACGCCATCACAGCATGTGTTTCTACATCCATACACACATTTCAACACGTTACGTTTTGGCGCTTATTCACATGGAGATCATTGACACGGCGTGACCCGCATGTGAATAATGAGCACATGTACCTGGTGGGGGGAATGATGAGTAAATCACAGTTTTCTAAGAAGTCAGTAAAAGCTCTAAAACACACAGTTTATGCTCACCCTTCACTGGTGATTCCAAATGAACATAAAGGGGATAAAAGAGAGGAAGGGTTAAAGGAAAATATGGAGATAAAACAGATTATACACCCGTTTCCACCAACTGTAGGAAAGATTTTAGCAGCGCAACAAACAGGAAGTTCCTTGGATCTACAATTTAATTCCTTTTGCTCATGTTGCTACCTGATCCGTCCCAGGAACCCGATTTGTACTGCATTTGTGCGAAACGTAAGTCACTTCCTTTACTAGCCAAACTTTGCCACAGTTTACCCCTTGCGGTTTGCGACAGCTTTGACATCAGCGAGCTCACTTCAGTCAGAATGGATGCTTCAGTTTATCACCAGCTACACACTTTTACGGAGTGCTTCTCCCAACCGAAGCAGAGCGCTGGGAAGTCAAGAGAATGGCGCCCAGTTCCACGATTAACGGTTCCTAATAATATCAGATTTCATATAGCGCTTTATCAGAGACCCTCAAAGTGCTTTACATTGGATACATCATTCATTCGCTCACACAGTCACACTTTGGTGGTGGTGGAAACATGGCTGCCATTCTGCGCCTACGGCCTCTCCGACCACCACCACACAACACTCACAATCATACACCAGTGGAGGACACACACTGGGAGCAAGGTGGGTTAAGTGTCTTGCCCAAGGACACAACGGACAAACTTGGATTAGGGGGGAATCGAACCGCCAACCTTCCGGTTATTAGACAATTGCTCTACCTCCAGAGTTACTGCCGCCCTACTAATAGCTTAATTGTAAAATTGCAACGTAGTTATAAAAAGGCTTGAATGAATGTGAATATTTCACTGTTGAAATTGATACGCTGTATAAAAACGCTGAAATTCATTGTCAAGAATGTTGAGGCTTCTTGTTAATTAATCTAATTTATAAAACAAAAGAAACAAATCCCCTCTTGATACTTAAAAGTCAGAGAACCATGATTTTGACCAGGTGGTGGCGCTCTCTTTGGCCCAGGAAGGGTGTACAATCAGTGGCCACACACCTCCAGAGCATCCCCCCTTGATACTTTGAAAAGTCAGAGAACCATAATTTTGACCGGGTGACGGCGCTCTCTGTGGCCCAAAAGGTCTCACCGTGATGGGCAGGAGCTCTGGCGAAGGCCTCGGCATTAGCTCTGAAGCCTCCCGCTAGCTAGCCTGTCACATCGCCAGCTGGTTTCTGGAATCAATCGGTAGTTTAAATGAAGTTTTCAAGGTGATGTAAATTTGCTCTTGTGCAATAAAGATCGGGTAGGTAGCAATAGTAACGACTAACTGCCGTAAAAAGCTTTGAAATACGAGGAGAGGAAGTGACGTACGTTTCGCACGTGTTCAGTACAAATCGTGTTTCCAGGAGGGATCTGGAAGTGACAGCTCATGTCGTCGTTTTCTTACCCCTTCTTCCCGCCTTTTACGTCCTCCAGCCCGTTCATGTGTGTTTCCAGACTCTCCAGGATGCTGCTGGGGGCCTAACGAAGAAAAAGTCAAACTGTCAACGTTTCTGTCTCAGCTGTCAGGACGAAAATCGGCTCCAGAAACCCTCTAACACTGCAACAACACCACCGCATGTGAGAAATCAGAGCATGCTAACACTCCATCATCCTGTCTACAGGCACTCTGCAAGGACACCCCGCGGTTACCGGGTCCTCAAGAGGCGTAAAAGGACAATCTTCATCATCTGAGTCTGCTAGATCCACCACTACCCCCGGGTGGAGACACTGAGCAGGAGGAGATCATGGTGTGTGAGTCGCTGCTCTTTTTGTGTGGTGTGGGATGGTTGGTAGATGTGAGTGTGGAGTGGACTTACATAGTTGATGTCAGGAATGTCGTTTTTGTCGACTCCGACCGTCTGTAAAAGAAACACGAGTTTAATCCCAAATTTCACATCTGAGAACTTTTAAATGAAGAGCTGTCGGTGGTCCTCTACCTCAGCCAGCTTCATGAATTCTCCGATCTTTGTCACCCTGGTCAGGAACCTCTTGTAGATCTCCAAGGCCTCCTTACAGTCGCTCTTCTTCATCTTGAAGTATTTCTCTGTCAAAAGAAGACGTTCACGTTCTTGTTTAAGGACGTTCTCACCTCTTAGACGTTCACTGAGACTTTCTCGGGTTCTGCTCACCTAATAGGTTGATGATCCCGTCGTTGTAGGATGCAAACAGTTTGACCAAGTCCTTGAAGAGAAGCATGAATGCGGCGTTGATGATCCCGTTGTTCAGCTCCTTGGGATGGACCTAAGAGAAGACAGTCAGGAGGATCATGAGTCTTCCTCTTCAATGTTTGAGATTTCTGTGGAGTGGAGCCAAAGTCGGACTCACATCAAACTCCAGGAGTGTGTCAATCTGAGTCTGAAGGACAGGCATGCCTTTCAACAGCTTCTCAGTGGTCATGGTCCTCATCACACCCTCAGCACTGAAACGACACAGTAGAGATTACATGAACCATGACAGAACAAATAACCGCTGAGCAAATCAAGAGAAACAAAAACGACAAAGTCCAATCAGTGAGTCGAGGAAATAACGAGTTTGACCCACCCTTTCTTGACTCTGGTGAAATCAAAAGCCATCTGGCGGTAGGCGAAGGCTTTCTCGTTCAGGTATCGTCCATACCGTCTGATGAATGTCGACATGTCGTAGCCTAAATGGAAAGGTTAAAGAGGATTTCATTAATTAAAACTTTATTTTTCTTTCACTTTCTGTTTGTTGACTTTAGCATCGCCCCTTACAGCGAACTTTAAACTCTCTGAAGTAACGAGGGATAATGATCTGCAACTTCCCCGCTGAGTTTCATTGAGAAAAAGGTTCAAACAATGTGAATAGAAAAATGCAGGTAAAAGTCCAAACCAAAGGCAACAGTAGCCACACTGCAGATGCAAAAAAAAATCACTGCGAATCCACAAATGATGCAAAGTCAAAAACACAACATGCAAATCTAGACTTTTCACTGGAGGCGTTCTTGACCTTCAGGATCACAAAGGGAAACAGTTTTATCAGTAACAGAAAAAGATGAAGACCACACTCCGACTTTTTAGTGGTTTAGTTTAGTTTTAGAGAGTCACGTTTAAAGTATCCTGGGAAAAACAGAGACTGGGATGAATTTTCAGGAGACCTGATCATGGGTCTGTGAGGCTCCTCTGGAGAACTTTGTCTGCTACCTGAGTTTAGTTCCTGTGTTCTCTGTACTGAGTCAGTTACATTCACCACTAGCTGAGCAGCTAGCTAGATGTCTCGTCACATCTCAGGGCTACTACCACTAAACCTCGCTTAAGTCTTCAGGATTGGTATCCTTTTGTTAGTCTTTGGTATAATAATTGGTCAGTTCATTACATGGCTGTCTCACTTAGCGCCCCCTTCAGGCCTGGAACCCTTTTGTCAAAAATCCTTGATTTGCAGCGTTTGTCTTCTACAGCTGATTTTTGCTTTAGTGTGACTTTAACTGCATGAGTTTGCACCTTTTTGTGCACATGCAGCACATCTTCTAATAACAGTTCCTTTTTGCAGCATGTTTTTTTCATGTGCACGTAAATTCTTGGCTTTGTTTCGGATTTATGCATGTGTCTTTGCATCTGAATCGTTGGAGCACCTCTCGACTGAGGCTCACTCAGGCTGCTGCAGATCGTCTGCTCTCTTCTGCACTGAAGCATTAGATCATGAAATCAAAGCACTTAACATTTCCAACTGACCTTTTTCCATTATTTATAATTTGTAAACACATCATGACTTAGAATCTGATCCAGAACACGAGGACACACGTTAACTTTTCAATCTACACTATGAGGTTTACTGTGATCACAAATAGACGTTTATGATTTAAAACAGCAGATCCAAAATAAAGATGCAAATCCATCTTTGAGCATAAACAATAATCTAAATGTGCTTCTAGACTGAGCAGAAAAACACACAATAAAGACGAGGCGACCCTTAATCAGTGTGCAAATGTAGCGATGAAAGCATGAAGATGAGAGAGTAATTCAACATGAGACATTAGCATTTCCAAACAGAGATGCCAGCATCTGTTTTCATGCATGTGTGGGTGTGTACGAGTGTGTGTAAAATTGCATGTGTGATCACGTCCAGCCCCTCCTATCTGCCAGATGGCTCCCTTCCTGTTTCACCAGATATACTGAGAACGTTCAGCAGCAGACATCAGAGCGAGCGTTTCTCACCGTGGGAGCCGGTTTTGTCAATAAAGTTGCTGAGGTTGAACAGGGAGGTCCTGGAAGCCAAGTACTGAATGAACCTCTGAGGATGAAGAAGAAGAAGAAGAAGAAAACTTGTTAATACTGCAGTTATGGAGAGTGAAAATACAACAATTCACACACTGACACAGCCCCGCCTTCTTACCTCGTTGCCGTGGACACACATGTGATGGGTGGTGACGAGCGCCTTGAAAACGACCACCCAGCTGGCGTTGGTGGCTCGCTCGAACAGCGTGTCAGCCATCTGAGGGATGTTCACGTTGGTGGTGTTGGTGGCTGACACCAGGTCTGCAAACACAGATAGAAAAACGCCGTCATTAACTCACCTGATACCATAAAAGGAGTTCCTGTTTAAGATGTCAGTTTAGGTTAGTTTGTTCTGAGACAAACTCCAACATAATGTGAACAACTCTGATTAAACTTTGATGAAGTTCACTGCAGAGCTGCTTTAGACACCCGGGAGAATAATAAGCCGGGACAAAGACCTGAGTCCACACACTCACAAAAAAGAGAATAATGCTTCGTCAGCGCTCCCCCTGTGGTGCCAGCTCAGACTCTCAGACCGAGTCGTCTCCAGCAGAGAGCGTGCAGAACAGCCATTTTTCAAATTAAAGGTACAGTGTGTAGAAATGAGAACGTTTGGTGATAAATGGAGAAAAGATTCTGCATTAAAACCATTTTGTTTTCTCGTCTCAGTGAAGAAATGGTGGTCTTTTAGGAGAAGTAATGCATAGGCGTCCATTCCTACAGAATTAGGGTGACCATACGTCCTCTTTTACCCGGATATGTCCTCTTTTTCAGGGTATAAACAGGAATCCTGAAGCTAATTTTAATACCTTTCTCAAGACCATACCAATGTTTCTCAAAACCTCACTCCCACTTCAATATGTAACCATCTTGTATAAACATTTAGATACCATTTAGTATCCAGTACAGTGCTAAGTCAAATCGTGTGATGTAACCAGATTTGTCTTTACCACAAGCAAAAGTCTAGGCTATGTCTGAATCAGGAAACATGGCCCTCAGCGTTGCCGTGTCGCCCAGCGGCAGAAAATGAGGAGACAGAGTGAGCCGAGGTCGTAGTCTTAATGTTTAGGTGCAGCTGCTGGTGGTAGTGTGACAGCACTAGGTTTTGGTGGTGCACTGGGAGCGCCGGAGCGTACTTTGTGAATTTCTGAGTGCACTCTGGCGCTCTCTGAGACAGTTTATGAACGCACCCACAATATCGTAGTTTTTTTATGTACTGGTTCATCTTTGTTTATTAAGGAAACAAATAAATGTTCACATGTTTACCATGTTTTTAGGACCCAAACTCTTGGACAGCGAATTCAGAAATAATACTTTAGAAATTTAAGACTTAGTAAAGCCATGAAAAGATTTTTTAGTACTTTTTAAGGGTCTTAATTTTCCCAATATTGATTTATCACCTTTTGCTGCTCACCCCCTCCCACATTAACTTTGTCTACTTCAGCCGCTCCAACTTTTGAACCGTCCTCCATCTCCTCACCTGTCTTCACCTCTTTGTTACAGACTGGATGGGGTGGAGTCACGTCTCTTAAAGGGACATGAGACCATAGCCTACCTTCACACATCCAAAAACAACTTTGATTGATTTATTATTCTGACATTGAATACACCGATATGGGCAAAATAATGTTGGTTATTGTCGCAAATTTCAGTATCGGTAAATTTTCGGTTTATCACCCAGCCCTTATACAAAATCTACAAAATCACCAGATTTTACTTAATGTAAGTTGGTTCCTCTTGCAGTCGTCTATGTCTTGGCTCCTGTGTTGGTTCTCTCAGCAAACAGACAGAGCTGACTGAGAAAAAAAGCAGACAGATGGCTGCAGAAACCTCCAAGAATGAAGATTTGGTTTTATAGATCCTAAACCCAGATTTTGAAAAGGATGGATCTGCTAATAAAGTCTACTGCAGAGTGTTTGCCAACTACGCCATTAGAGGGCATTTAAATGATCCAAACACAGGCGTAAAAAAGGGCGGAGAGTGCATCTGTTGAAGCGATAATAAAACACAATAACAACTTTCTCTAAATTCTTGCAATCTTAAAAAACAAACGTGTCCTGTAAACGCTTCTTCTCCTGCTGACATTGACGGCTACAGCAAGGACAGATCTGAGTGTGTCCGTACAGGGAGCAGAGGAGGACTGCAGCAGATATTGGCAGGCACGTCTTTTAATGGACGGAGGGGGAAGGCTGTTTTATCGAGCCGGCCTTGGCTTTGCTTGAAAAAGTTAGATACTAAAGCGGAGAGCAAATGAGGTGAAGAGGAAGAAACCCGAGAGTAACAGCAGGAGGAGGAGTCTGTAGACACGAAGAAGAGGGGGGGTGTTTACAGTCGAATCAGGACAGCAGGAGGCCGGACAGAGGGGTCTGAGGGGGGCTCGGGGAGTTAGGGGGTGCTGTAAACAGATTATTACTAATCACTGCTACTAGTCTTTCTATGCCCATCCCCCACACAGCACACACACACACACACACACACACCTGTTTGACACCACCTGTCTCTCAGCATTATCAGCTCTTTGTCACCAGTGGAACGTTTACGTGTTATCTGATCATCGTCCGCCTTAAACAGACTCAACAACAACAACATCAACAAAAAAACTCTAATTCCTCATAAACAGCTGATTGAGTTTTAAGTTAATTGATCTTCTTCTGATCTTTGTGTTGTTAATTACGCTCCCGTCTCTCCGCACAGCTGTAACAGATGGTAACAGCCGCACCGTGACGTCTCTGATCATGTCTGACGCTAAATGAAGGCGGCGCTCACATCAATCATTTCTCCATCTAAGTCGTCTATTTCTATGTGGATACTAATTCATCTCTCTATCCTGTTTTTCCTTCTTCTCGGTGGGTTGGCTGAAGACCACTCTCCCCTCAGGCCTTTTCAGACGACACACATAGTCACACAAGGTCCACGATGGCTGAAATATGATTATGTAACATCATCATGTCACCGTTATGCTCCACTATGGTATATGAACACTCCATAATAATAACAGTCTTTGTGAACATGTTATCGTATCTGTTTACCGGTGTTTAATGTGTCTCCATCTCTTATCGTGTAAATCCATGATTCCTGTCGCCGTATCATTACAGGAAACAAACACATCAACATCCGTGTGTGTGTGTGTGTGTGTGTGTGTGTACGTCTAATGAGGATTGGCGGCGCTAAATAAAGACTCTTACGGTAATCCACGGCCCACACTTCCAATAACGAGCTGCGAGTGAGGCCCCATGCTGAGCCAGCGCGTGTGTTTGTGTGCGACAGTGTAGGTTTAAGTGTGTTTTTCCCGAGCCCTTGTCTGGGTCTGTCGGTCTTAAATAGTTTCTGTAGAGTTCACACACTGAGTCAAGATAGTTAGTAGAGAGATAGTAATAGAGAGCTGATTCACTCACAAAAGATCTAATCGATGTTAAAAAATTATGTTAAAAAGTGTCTCTGAGTCAGTTCACCTTTAATACACTTATTAGTGCGACGCTAACATTTTAAGAAAAGAGACGTAACACTCAGAAATAAAGTTTCGTAACAGAAAGAACAATATAAGAGAATTCATAAAGTAAATAAGACGCCCTTTAATTTAGTTGAATGACCATAAATAACCCTAAATGTATGCATTAACCAAAAATGATGACTCATATCTGTTCGCTAGCTAGTGAGTTAGCTTGAGCTAGCTTTTAGCGCCCTGTTTGTTGTTGGGAACTTATGCTGCGTTCAAGTTACATCAGAAGTCAGATGTTGGAGCTGAAAATGACGTCACACTGAGTTCCCAGCGTTTCAGTTAACAAATCGGAATAAAGCAAAATCGGAGGCGGAAACAAGACGGCTACATGTATGAAAGTTATTTTAGCGCTTGCCTTATATTCGGACAAGGGAAGCGCTAAAATACCTTTCGTAGATGTAGCCATCTTGAACTGTAACTTTGGTGTGACGTCATTTTCACCTCGGACTTCTGACTCCTGAGGTACCTCAAACGCAGCATTGATCTCACTGAATCCTTGTGTAACCTTTTAAATGAGCCCCTCAGCGCCCCCTATAGTCCCATGTGGGGATTACTTCAACACACATTAGCCTTTACTCTGAAACTTTGCTGACATCCAACATTGTTAAATTTACATTTGCCTCAAAATATGAAAAAATCAGATCACCACCACTTTAATTTTAATTACAGATACACCTCAGACGCTCACACTCAGTAGTAAAAGTATCATTAATTGACTACACTTGATTTTTATTGAGATTTAATCAAAGATCTAAATTAATCATCTTCAGGGGTGGTGGTCAGTCGGTATAACCAGGGAAGCTGTTTTCTTCTGTTTTCAGTCTTCGCTCTAAGCTAAGCTAACCAACAACTTACTAGAAGCTCCACTTAACGTTGAGAGATGCCAGCTGTGGCTTTGCTCACAAACGCCGGACACATACGAGTAAAGTGGAGAGATCATGTGACATAATTAATTACTCATGTGCGTGCGGTTATTAACGTCTTTCAGGATCCACGGCCTAGAATAGCCCTTCCTACACATGCGGTGTGACCTCAGATGATTTTAAGCCTATTGCCTGTGGTGATAGAGTGCACACACAACTCTCTAAGTTGACCTTGCATGGACACATGTTTGCCAGATATGAGTGACTAATCCCTACTGATATTATTTTTACTGTTTCCACCTGTCGGTTCACATTTTATCAGACTTATGAGCTGAAATATGAACTTAACGTGACATTTTACGGCTGAAATTGAGCAGCTTTGTTAACCTGGCTGCACCTCCTCCAGTTTTATTACACTGCAGCTATTTATTTACTGTAGAAGATCAAATATATATATGTCCACCTTTGAGACCCACCCGCACTAAAGACACTTTTATAAATCCACACTTATCGCCGCAGAAATCTACATTCACAGCGTTCATCTCTGCACACAGGAGATAACCGCCCCGTCATTGCTCCTGTCTCACAATCTCTCCTTGTCTGTATGGTGCCACCCCCTGACACTTGCAATCTGTTGCCATGGCAACTGCACTGCACCACCACCACCACCACCAACACCAACACCAACACCCAAAGGGTCACAGACTGTCAGTGTGCCAAAGGGACACATACAACTTATTGATGCAGCAGAAAAAGGTGAATTTATACTTTTCAGTGATTCCTTGACGTTTGATTTTTGACTATTTCTCTCAAACAATTAAAACACAAGAATTGAATCAACTTTTAGGTGTTTTTGCACATTTTTAGGAAGGTTTTGCCTCCGAGTCGAAGTGTTTCTCAGCTCTTGAGGGCAGGAATTTCCTCCAGCAAAAAGACACGTGCAGAAGAGGCACAGTGGCCTACATACACGCGGCTCGTTTGAACGCCCTAGAAACAGAAACAGCACAACCTCTGAGACCAAAACCTCATGAAAGACCTTGAGTGTGTTTGTGTTTCCACCAAAACCTGCTCAAGGAAAGTGTTAAAGATATCTCCCTGTGGTTTCCTGAGCTGGAGAAAGAGGCTCTGAGTGTCAGAAGGTAAAAGTATAAAAACAAACAGACAGACACAGCAGACTGAGAGTGAGGACACGCCGGTCTGTGGTGCGTTCTAGCATTAGCATGGTCACCTTTGGCAGTGTAAATAATGCAAGGCAGTCATTGGCTGATTATTAAATTATTCAGCAGGGGAGCGGATCACAAGATATAAGGTCCAAGTCAAAGAAACAGAGACAAAAACCTGCCCGGATACTGCAAATATACAGACCCGCACACTCTCACAGACCTATAGTGGGAAGAGCCAGTCAGAGGACAGCATCGTCTGCATGCAGCGCCACGCGGCCGCTTCGCTCTGACTCAGTATTTGTGATAGATGTGAGTGATTAATCATGATTTGGCGTACGCTGGCCCCTGCTGTCGTCTGTAGATGTGTCAATAAAGCTGTGGAGTTTGATTATTTTACACAGCTGTATCTTTGAGAACATGGGGTCTCTTTCTCTCTGCAGTCTCTTAGCTTGTGTGTGTGAATGTAAAGTCCATCCAGTTTCCTCAAGGCCTCTCTGAACACATTAACCCCAGAACACTATCGCTGGGTGATTTTCATTATGTTGAGTTTGTGGCTTCAGCATTTCCTTTGACATCTTTGAAACCTGCTTTTTCCTACGGACACGTGTTCACAGGGTGATTTTAGTCATAGAGGGTAAAGTAGGTTTGGGTGGATTTGATCGCTGCATGAAGGGAATAAGGTCAGTAAGAGTGGTCCTGGAATTTGAATGCTATCTTTATTTCGCAAAGGATTATGAGTAACCAGGGATTGAATATCGGCTCTGATATTGACAAATTAACTGGATCAGATATCTGATGAATGAGCTGATCCAGTCTTTTTTTTTTTTTTCTTTTAGTTAATATCAAACAAAAAAAACGCAGCGATTCTGTTCGCTCTATGTTCTATGTCTGTCTCTCCTTTTGCACTAAATGTTTACATGGAAGTCTTACTTGTTATTTGTTAATACTTAATATTAAGTACATTTATATCTGTGTTAATTTGTGACCTTTTTTTGTCAAGCCTGATGCCTTCACTCACAGAGTATCGGCCGATATCGGTATCAGATATCGTCCAATACGCTCAGTCCAGGTATTGGTACCGGATTCGATCGGAAAAAAATGGATCGGTGCATCTCGATGAATAACGATCACAAAGTTGTGATAAGAAATATTTGAGTCAGCTGGTCATTTTTACTCGCTCAGGAGGTAGAGCGGTCGGCCAATAACTGGAAGGTTGGCGGTTCAAACCCCACCCTATCCCTAGTCTTACCCCACCTTGCTCCCAGGTTGTGTGTCCTCCACTGGTGTATTATTGCGAGTGTTGTGTGGTGGTGGTCGGAGGAGCTATAGGCGCAAACTGGCAGCGTGACTTCTACGTTAGTTTACCACCACCACAGTGTGAGTTTGTGAGCGAACAAATGATGTATCTAATGTAAAGAGCTTTGAGGTCACTGACAAAAAAACGCTATAAAAATCCAACGCACTATTATTATTATTATTATTATTATTATTACAAAATCTGCCATATTTTGTTTCTCTCTCCTGTTATTGTGCCGAGGACCTTGAATCTTCACCTTTCTATTTATATATATATTATTTTTTAGGATTTTTTTGTTGCACTTTTATATGCTCCCTTCATTGCACAGTTAAAAATACAAGAAAACTACTTTAATTTGTCATCTATTGTCCTATCTTTGGTGTATTATTTCAGGTAGTGATAGTGTTCCAGGGTTAAATGGAGGATGACCTGTCAGTCCACCTTAAATCATGAACCCCCCACTCTCTCTTTCTCTCCGTGGGTTTCCATCATCTTTACTGGAGGGTCACCAGAAGGGTCATCACCGTGGCTACATCAATTCATTAAAGCACCACACCCTTTTAAAGCTGAGGGGGGTTTCTAAATGAGAGCTCATCTCTGTGTTATTAAAGCATGTGGAGGTGATGATGTGAGGCCCTGCAGCAGAGAGAAGAAGAGGAGGAGGAAGAGGAAGAAGAAGAGCTGCACTTACACTCCAGGTGCTTCTTCTTGGGCGCCATCACTTCATGAGTGGTGGCTTTGCACACAGCTCGGGCCATATCTGATCCCGTTAGCTGGTATTGCGCAGCGGCAATGCGATCCGTGAGCGTCTGCCCCGACATTTTCTCTCTCCGCTGAATCGACCACCACCTCAGGAATGTCTTTCACTTCGGGGACGATGGAGGAAACGTGTGAATTAATAAAAAACACCTTCTTCTTCTTCCCCTGCTATCCCGTGCTTTCCTCTTCCCCCCGGTTGGTCGGTGATGGGCCTGTGACCTTCTGTGTGGGCGGATAAGGAAAAATAACGCGCAAAAATGAGCCTCAAAACAGCATCATAAAGGCGATTTTAGCGTCAAATCGTGCGGTCACGTTGTTCATATACGCGGTGACATGAGTAGACTTACGCAAGGTTGCGAATTTCCCCCCGGCTCGTCCCGTTATAGGCTCCGACCGTTTCACTTCAGCACCTTGGACAGCTAATGCCACTCGGTTATGTAACTCTCAGCTGGCAATGGAAGCTGGTCTCTCAGCCCGCAGCTCCAACCGGATTTTTAATGGATGAGAATCGGAAAATACCCATAAGATATTCTCAGATTAATGAGAATCAGTCCTCCTTAGATCGGTCTGATATCCCGTTTGGAGGGCGCATCAGTGTTTAGTCAGGGTCCGAGTCTGTCAGTGTCAGATTGCGGTCTTTCCTTCCTCTGCTCCTCTCTTAACGAGAGAGAGAAAATGCGCACCGCTCTCCGGTGGTGTCGCCAGCACTGCGCAGCGCAAGAAAGAGGAAACGACAGAAGGGAATTTCCTTTTCACCCCCCACTCCTCCTCCCCTCCTCACCTCCTCCTCCCCTCCTCTGTCGTTTGTTTATTCATTGGGTTAATCTATACGTCCATCATGACCTCCTCCTCCTCCCCCCACCATGATGTTGGACAGGGTTGGATGAATCTCACGACGTCTCTTTAAAAGAAGAGAGTCGACATGGGGTCACTGTACAAAAACTAACATTACCATGCAGCAAAGGGTTAATGCACGAGCGTGACTGTAGCTGATGTTACTACATGCTGCATGCATATCAAACAGCAGGGGTGTACTTAGAGGGGGGCAAAGGGGACAACCGCCCCATGCAAACGCAGCAGAAACGCCCTCTTTGGTTAAGGATGAAAAAAAGTTCTTTAATAAAGGGACCAATAAAGTTCTTATCTTAAACGTCCATATTTAGGATGCATTCTTGAACCAGCACCTTAGCCAGGGCTCGACAGTGCGACTGTTTCACTCACATTTGCGGCTAAAAATAGAAGTGTGCGAATTGTAAAATATATTTAGGGTCACGTGCGCGTAAAAAAATGCAGAGGCAACAATTTTTTTTTCCATAGACTGTATTTACTACGGACAACTTGGTTCCGCCTCCCACCAGTATACAGATTCGAAGCTGAAAAGCTATCGGTAATTCCGCGCTTTCTCTCCGTTTCCTAAAAACCAACATTGCGCAGTAGCATTGTGCGCATTTACATGGGAGAGTTGCTGTGATGACGCTCGGCTCGAACAGCGTATCCCCTGGGTGAGCTAGGCAATCTTTGTACGCTCATAGGCTGAATCAAGTGTCAATCGTAGAAACCATGAACCCCCTAATAACTTTTAAAAATGGAGCTTCACAGAAAAAAGAGGACCTGAGCACAAACCAGTCTGACAGTAACTACATGCCAACATCACAAGCAGGGGGGAGAAACATTTATATACCCATTATACAGAGAAATAGTTTCACATCAGTTTATTTAAAATGACCCCAATCCAAGCGACCACTTTAAATACAGTAAACTATAAACTCCAATTTATACCTGCAGAGACGAACTGTAAAAAGTCACTTCTGCAGATCATTCAGGTCTTTTTTTGTCCTTTTATAATTTATTCTAAGAGTTGGCGTTAAACAAACGTGTGCACTGAAGAGGCTTTACAGGCTAAATGTTAACGTTTACTCATATTTACACTCTGCAAGGTCAGCAGACCGTTAAAGCCTTCTAAATGTGCTTAAAAACTACAAACATGCACCATTTCCGGACTGTTAAATAAAGTTAAAGGAAAAAACGGGTTGCCAGGTCCGCTGTTTTCCCGCGGAGTTGGTATACATTAGGAGTAAAATACAAAAAATGCTTACACACGGAATAGTAAAACAACCAAAAACTGAAAACTATTTAGATTTACTATAAAAATAAAGTAAATTAAGAGGATATTATTCATGAGTTTAAATTAATTCGGCAAAACTTCCGAGAGGCAGAAATATAATGTGGTCCATGAATGAAACTCATTTGAAACCAAACCATTCATACTGTTTCCTGGAGGGAGGAGTAAAATAAAGATCCACGGGGATTCTTCTTCTTCTTCTTTGGTGTCTACGTAATTTGGCGTTTTTAGGAGGGGATTGTTTACATGCACTTTTTCTAAGCCTATTTATCAACTCAAACAAAATGTAAACCAAAAACTGAACAGTCAAAACTGCTCTTAGTACTGTTTATGAAATCATTTTGTAAATACTGAATAACTTTTAAAAACGAAAGGATTACGTTTGTGTTAAAATCCAACAGTTTTACTTTTAACGTGTGAACCTGGCAACCCGGCGGCCACGTCAGCACGCGGAAGTGTTCTCCTGCTGCAGGTTGTTGGTCGCCTCCAAATATTGACAGAACAGGACAGAGAAACGGTAAGAGAGTAAAAATTAATGCGTTATTGTTTTCTTATAAACTCAGTTTAAGTGTGTCTGAAGTGTGTTTTAACGTTTCCGCCGAAATCATCAGTTTGTTCATCGCTTTAATGAAACTGTGTGTCTTTATGGAGATGATCAGATGATATGAATGAGTTTATCAGACTGATAAGTTTAACCTTTGAGACCTGACATAAACATATGGTTAAGGTGTGATTCTCCTGTATGTTCAACATCATAAAGTTGGTTTGTTACTTTAAAGAATCGAGTCTGAGAAGATTAAAATGAGCTTAAAAAGACCTTCATCAGTGATGTAGGGCTGGGCTGGAGAGTTTTACAACTTACCCCAAACATACACGGGGTAAGTTGACCATAGGAGACCACTTTTCTTTGCCTTGCTATATTATCAAGACAGTTCTGTTTACTCTCATTCTGTTGGTTTGCAGAGATTAACAACATCCTGAAATATATGCAGATACACGAGTTAGAGACTAAACTAGGATTGAAAAATGGATCATCTTACCCCACTCTCCCCTACTCCAAAGTTTTCACTATTTAATGTTTTTTTGTTTTAAATCTTCTTTTATTTTCTGACAGGATCACAGCGATGTCCCAGTTTGAGGAAGTGTCAAAGCAGTCCAGTCTGCACCCAAAACCTCCGGGATTAGTCCTGCAGTATGGCACCGCAGGTTTTAGGACCAACGCCAAACATCTGGACCACATCATGTTCAGGATGGGCCTCCTGGCGACTCTACGGTCCAAAAAGACTCAAGCCACCATCGGGGTCATGGTCACAGCCTCGCACAACCCAGAGGTCAGAGGGGTCACTCATATTATCTGCTCTATTATCTTTGATTTTTTAAATATTTGTTCAGTTTCTCTTTCATTACGTCATGTATGTTTCCTTTATTTGTGAAGGAGGACAATGGCGTGAAGCTGATTGATCCCATGGGGGAAATGGTGACTCCGACGTGGGAAGGATACGCCACTCAGCTGGCCAACGCCGAACAGGGAGACTTGATTAGCGCCCTGAAAGACGTCATAGACGTGGAGAAGATAAACATGAGCCAGGCGGCGAACGTGTTTGTGGGAAAAGACACCAGGTATGTTGTTGGATTTTACTGGGAAATAAACCTGAATTTAAAAGTTATCAAAAAAGTGTTTTTGGTACAACAGTTGGACTGAGAAAATGAGCCCAGCAGAGTCAGACACCTCAGCGTTTAGGTTTTGCATCAGTCAAAGGAACCAGATTCAACTATTAAAATCTATTAAAACTGTCGTGTTTTGGAAGACTTTGACTTTGGAGTCGCTGCGAATGATTTTTATTTGATGTTTTAAAACTTTACAAAGTCCAAACAAACGTCTGTGTCCTCTCACTGTAGGAGCAGCAGCGTCAGCCTTGCACAGGCGGTGTTAGACGGAGTCTCTGCGCTCGGTGGTCACAGTAAAGGTAAAGTTTAACACACTTTATGTTAAATTCACAAGTCTACTTCCTTTTATTCGTGTTTATCCTTTCCTTCCTGCTCTTCATCTGTTTCCTCAGATTACGGTTTGGTGACCACTCCACAGCTCCACTACATGGTCTGCTGTCAGAACACTCAGGGGAAATACGGAGAAGCCACAGTGGAAGGATACTACCACAAACTCAGCCGAGCTTTCATCCAGCTCACAGGAAATGTAAGAAAACCACCAGAGTTTCATTCTTCACTGAAGTTCTGCAGGTTTTTAACGTGGGTAATTTTGTCTCTCCAGGCGTCGAACTGCACAGACGACCAGAAGCTGCTCTCAGTGGACGGTGCGAACGGTATCGGGGCTCTGAAGGTGCGAGAGATGGAGCGCCACCTGAAGAAGGAGCTGCATTTATCCTTGTTCAACGACGGCAGTGAAGGGAAACTAAACCACCAGTGTGGAGCCGACTTCGTCAAAGTTCAGCAAAAACCTCCAACAGGTACGAAGAAGGACGCAGATCGACACGTCTGAGCGTCTAGATCGGTGTATTTACTGTATTTCTGTTCAGGCGTGAAGCTGAACGCAGGCGAGCGCTGCTGCTCCTTCGACGGCGACGCCGACAGAATCGTTTACTACTACACCGACTCTGACGGGAAGTTTCACCTCCTGGACGGAGACAAAATCGCCACCCTCATCAGCACGTTCCTCAAAGAGCTGCTCACACAGGTAACACCTGCAACATAAACACACTTCAGAGACACACAGAGACCTGAACTCTGAACTCTCAGTCAGCTGTTTGTTTCTGTTCACTCAGGCTCATTTAGATCTGAAGATCGCCGTGGTGCAGACAGCTTACGCTAACGGGAGCTCGACGCACTACCTGGAAAACACGATGAAGGTCAGAAAACAGAAGAGCCGTCCTCTGATTTCTTATTATTCGTGTTAACAGCTGAGCGCTCACACATGTCTGTGATTTCAGGTCATAGTGAGGTGCACCAAAACAGGAGTGAAGCATCTTCATCACGCAGCGCAGGAGTTTGATATCGGCGTTTACTTCGAGGCCAACGGTCATGGAACCGTGAGTAGATCGTTAAACACCGAGATGAACCTTTAGTTGAGTTTGTTCTGATTGATTTTGTTTGATTTGGAGTTGAATGTTTGTGTTTGTGTTTGTAGGTTTTGTTCAGTCGAGAAGCAGAGGAGAAGATCCAGCAGTTAGCCGAGAGCTCCACCACGGACGACGAGACGAAGAGAGCGGCTCGTCTGCTGCAGAACACCGTCAACGTCATCAACCAGGTTAGACACGCCCTGTTCCAGGATATTCACCGTCTTCACGATGAACTTCAGTCACAGATCTGATGAGTGTTTGTTTTTACCTCCTGAAGACTGTAGGGGACGCCATTTCTGACATGCTGCTGATCGAAGCCATTTTAGCCGTCAAGGGGATGACGGTGCAGCAGTGGGACGCCATCTACAGCGACCTGCCGAACAGGCAGCTCAAAGTCAAGGTGAAGTTCATCACTTTAAAGTGTCGCCTTGTAGATCTGATTTAAAAAATTAATTTCGGGTTGAGGGCGTGGCTCTCTGTATTACTATCCTGCGGTCGTTACTAAAGTTGGTAAAACTAGAGAAGTAAGCGGTCGACAACATTCATCTCTGGAGGAGGTTGTCTAACTCGGTGTTACGGTGGAATATCCCTTTAATCCTCTTCTGGTGTTTCAGTTCAAGAGTCTGTGTTTGATTTTCTCCTGAAGGTGTCAGACCGCCGGGTGATCGACACGACCGACGCAGAGAGACGAGCGGTGACCCCGGCGGGACTCCAGGACGCCATCGACTCTCTGGTGAAGAAGCACCGACAGGCTCGCTCCTTCGTGAGACCGTCGGGCACCGAGGATGTGGTGAGAGTTTACGCCGAGGCTGAAACACAGGTGAGCGTTTATCTCCCTCTCCTCTCCTCTGAGACGCTTTTCTGAAAACCTCTGATTCATCCAGGTGTTCGTGTTTGTGTTGCAGGAGAGCGCCGACGCTCTGGCACACGAGGTCAGCCTCGCCGTTTATCGTCTAGCTGGAGGCGTGGGCGAAGAACCCAAACCTTCTCACTAAAGACGCAAAATCAGGCAAAACTAACAAATCAACAAGTCAGTAAAATCCTCTTTTCAATCACTTTGACACTAAAACTTGATTCTAGTTTTTCTATTTCTTTGTTATATTTCTTTCTCTCCTCCGAAACAATGAAGGGATTTTGTTCTACTTTGGTGATTGTTTTCAAAACGGTTGTAATGTTCCTTTAAATGATAAATTATTTTACGTTTACACCATGATTAAACCTGCTGTAAGTCTAGAGTTTGAAATGTCGTCTACGAATTCATGTAACTTCTACCTAAACTGGATCTTATCGAGTTTATAAAGACTGTTCAGCTTTGATTCAAAACTCTAAATTCACTGAATCCTGATCAAAGTGACTTTCCTCTGCTGCCAAAGTGTTTCTAGGTTTTTCTGTTTTTTATTAAATAAATTATGAATAAATAAATGAAAATAAAGACAGAGGTTGCTTGCTTAGAGTTTATTTTGCTAATTCACACCGTGTTTCCGACACACAGGAGGGTTAAAAGCAGAAAGGCGGGGTTAGGAACAGGCGGGGCGGCGGGAAGCATCATGTGGAGGTTTCTGCTTTTTCAACATCAAATTTTCAGGTTTTCAACAAACTCAAAGAGCCTGCTGTGTAGGGATGGGTGATGCGGGCAAAAAAAATGATCACGATAAGATTTGCCATTCTGGAGATAACGATAAAAGTCCTGATAAAAAATATAATTCCGATCAATATTTTTGACTCATTCTGTCTTGAAAACAACAGTTGGAGTCGTTAAATAAGATACTTAACCACGAGTTTGAGTGGTAGATTATGGAGAAAACTATTGAAATGTGAAAACTTTTCAACATTTAATGAAAACTCTTATCACACAGAGTGAAAGAGCAGCAGCAGATCCTCTGTCTGATGTCAGACAGACCTGATTTCACTCATCTGAACTCGAGTCTTGAAGGAAATCTCTCATGTTGAGTCTCATTCAGGAATGAGCTGCTCAGAAACGTCTTCTTCATCACCTTCGGCCATCTTTGTTTGTTTGTTATTCTGTGTGGGCTACAGCTGCGAGTCCACATTTAAACTTGCATTTATCGTATTTTGTGGGAGCAAATAATAGAGCAAAGTTGTTGTAAAACAGGATGCAGGATACGGTTGGAGAGGTCACATCAAGCTGAACTCGTCACACATGGAAGTCACATTGTTGGCTATCAGACACCAATGTGACGGCCGGGAAATGACGTCATGGAGCGCCCAAACAGTGTATAAAAGGGAAAACGGTTCTAGGGGGATACAGGGATTGTTTGGCCTCTGCTGTCCATCTGATCGTCATGATCTGTGTTTGATGCTGTAACTACAATAAAAAGGAATTTATGAACTCTACCGTATCATGAGGTGGCAAATATTTATCATGGAGGATTTATCTGAGGATATATCGTGATGATCATTTATCGCCCATCCCTACAGGTGTGACGTGTTAGTGAAAGGTGATCGATCTATTCTCCGTCCGTGTCGTCAGCTGCTCCAGAGATGGTGATGGTGCACTCCTGTGTGTCGCTCTCATACGTGTCCTCGTCTGTCTTAACTGTTCTGGGACAAAAAGGGGAAACAGGTGAAGACAAGAAGAGGAAGACGTCTTCATTAAATCATTGTTAAATAAATCCACCGCCCTCTACCTGATGAGGAGAGTCTTCCTCTCAGACGTCTCTGTCGCCTGTGCGTCTAAGTCGTTATGGGCGTCTGGGAAATCTTCTCCAGCTCTTGGATCTTCATCCATCTTTGGGTTCCCGGCAGTTTCTGATGATTTCTCACAAACTGAAGTGGAGGTTGATGATGTTGTTGTCGTGTGGACGCTAACTCCAGATGTGAGATGCAGGGCGCCGCTCAGAGACAGATTATGGACCATGGTGCTCAGACGGTTGTCCTCGCCCTCGATCAGCTTCCTGAGGATCAAACAGAGAGGAGAGAAGTGGAACAAAAACCCTTTAAAGTTATTATTTCATTACACAAACGCAGCTGTAGACGCCCTCCTCACCTGTAGGTGGTGATCTCAAGCTCCATCGCCATCTTGACGTTCAGCAGCTCCTGATATTCTCGCAGCAGCAGAGTGATCTTCTCCTTGGTCACCTTCAGATCCAGTTTCACGGCGCTGATATGATCCTGATGAAACACGACAGAGAAGTTAAATTTCAGGTCTGTGAGCCGCTTTGGTGTGAAGAAACGACTCGCTTCACGTACCTCCAGGTCTCCCTCCTTCTTTCTGTGTTTCTCAAAAGATTCACGGACCTGAATCTCCAAAAACTCGTTCCTGGTCTGCAGAGCGTCCAACTCGCGCTGCTTGTTGAGGATCTTAAACACGGACGGACACTGGTTTTATTTTTAAGCTGAAGAGTAGCAGATGTTCGGGTGATAAAAGGTTCGATCTGAAACTCACATCCTTCTTGTACGCTGCGATTTGCTCCCTCAGACTTCGGACACTTTGGGCGTGTTTGTTAGAGGCGTCATTCAGGTCCTGAAACTTTGATTTGTACCAAGCGTCCATTTCCTGGAGACCAAACAGGAACTCAGAAGATTATCTTCACTTTTGAGGATCTTTCGCTTCGTTGTTTCTTACTTTTTGCACAAAGATATGAGGTTGAATATCATGGACTCGTTGGAGAAGTCAAAACGGACATGAAGCTGATCTCTACCTGCAGGTTTTTGGCGGCGATGCTGTCATACTGAGACTGAATCTCTTTGAGAGCGGAGGAGAGATCCGGGAGACCAAAACTCAACTCCACTTTGGAGGTAGCAGAATAAATCCTCTGCATCAGCTCCTCCACTTCCTGCAGACAATCAGAAAAAACAGTATTGAGAGAATAAACTCAACATGTGAGAAACTCCTCCTGGTATTTTAATCTGACTCTCGATCCATCATGAGTCTCAGTTCAGGTCTGACCCGTCATGATAATTACCGGCTCATTAAACCGTTCACGATAAAATGAAAGGCATGTCAGTCACCAGCTGCTGACTCAGACTCACACAGTCGTCCACAGACAGACAAACATGTTTTACCTCCTTGTGAACTCTCTGCAGGAACGCCAGCTCGATCTCCAGCTGCTCCTGATGTTTCTCCAGAACGATCCGAGCAGAAGTGGCTTTATCCACGTCCTGTCAGACACAGAAGTTTAAAACACGTAAAAACATGTTTTTAAAAATGATCAGAAGGTTTTCTAAAGTTTCTCACCGGACGGAGAATCTCGATGTCCTGCTCTGTCTTCTTCCGAGCTTCCACCGCTTCTTCATATTTGGACTTGAGCATGTCCAGCTGACCCGCCATCGCCTCCTTGGCCTCCAAAGACAGATCCTGCACAGAGAAGACACACATTTGGCTCTTGTTTTAGTCAACACAGACAGAGATATAATCATGTTATAGGAGACGTGACCTCCCTCACCCTCTGGACTCTCATCTGCTCGGCGACTCTCTTCAGATCGTTCAGCTGGCTCTCGTACAGCTGCCTCAGGCCTGATGGTCTCACATGACGGCTCTTCAGGGCGTCGATCTCGGCCTCCAGCAGCTTATTTTCCGACTCCAGGTTCCTCACCTTCAAGAAGAAGAAATAAAACACACAAACACGACTGATTTTGATTAATATCATATTCAAAAAGAAATGAAAAGATGATTATTTGTTTGGTTTCCCCTCTTGCCTTTTCGATGTAAGCTGCCAGGCGGTCGTTGAGGGCGATCATCTCCTGTCTTTCATTGGTTCGGGTCATCATAAAGGCCTGGTTGTCTGCTGAGGCGGCATCCAGATCCAGTTTAGGCCCAAATCCCATCGACATCCCTACACAGAGTGTCCCCATACTCGCACTGCTGCAGGCAGAACCAGAAAAGAGGTTTTAGTTTGTTGCCTTCATAGATTCTCTGAAGTCTATCCATCCTGCTGAAGAGTTAAAATACCAAACAGCGTGTAATAACACTTTTATACCGCTCACCTGGTCATGCGGCTCTTATTGGAGATGGCCCTGCGCCCCACTGACCCTCCGCTCCTGTTGAAGCTGGCAGACCGATGTCGGGTCTCCCTGCGGGTGGGAGAGGGGCTGGACACCCGGACCCTGTAGGAACTGGAGGTGGCCATGGTTCCCTCGAAGTGCCGGCGGTAAGAAGACATCCTCTCTGGACTGTGGCTCATGTTGTCGCTCTTCGATCTTCTCAAACTTCAACCTGGGACTGGAAGCTGCTCTCTCAGATGCTGAAGTCTCTGGTGGGTCTTTATATCCTCCCCCCCTCCTTACGGCCCTTCCCTAAAGTCCACAGAGGAATGTTGAACCTTCTCGACCCGAGGGTGAATATGCGTACAGACATTTATCAAGGTAATGTCAATTAACTTAAAGACGCTGGAAGATTTTTTTTTATTTCAGACTGATTTTACTCTCTGATGAACGACCTGCAGGGCATTTAAATACTACATAAATGATACTGTAGACTAGTTTGATTCATCAAAAAAAAAAAAATTGTTTTCTTAGTTGTTTTAATATTTTATGATTGTATTTTTAAGGATAGTTTACGATATTTAAAAGACATTTAACTATCCATCCACCTCAGATCAACTTAATCGATTAGATTGTTAATTTTTTCAGCTTCATGTATCTTAAGCTTTTTAAATTTTGTCATTTTTATTTTATTTATTTTTTTATTATGAATTTTAAATAGTAAAATATTCTATAACTTTTAGACGCTGGAAGATTTTTTTTTTATTTCAGACTGATTTTGTTCACTGACGAACGACCTGCAGGGCATTAAATACTACATAAATATTACTGTAGGCTAGATTAATTCATCAAAAAAAGTTTTTATTTTATTTAAAAAGTTGTGATAATATTTATAATTGTATTTTCAAGATATTTAAAAGACGTTTAACTATCCATTCACTTCAGATCAGCTTCATCAATTAGACTGTTCATTTTTTCAGCTTCATTTATCTTAATCTTTTTTAATTTTGTTATTTTTATTCTTTTCCTTATAGTAGTGAATTTTGAATGGCAAAATATTCGCTGAATGACAAAAACGCATTTTTTTTGACCGCTCAAAAGGAGGAACGTTTATCCCGGAACCATTCTCCTCCGCTGACCGGACGGTTTACAGTGTAACTCTTGTGTCTCCTTAGCTGACTTTTTTTGCTAGTGTTATCCTCTTCTTTTTTAGAAAACTAGAGTTTATTTCAGGTGTTTCTCTCTACCTCAGCTGCTCAGACATGGCGGGAAACTTCTGGCAAAGTTCTCACTAGTAAGTTTGTTCGAACTTTGACGTTTTTCGTCTTTATTTCGTAAAAGATCGCTGGTGTTTTGAGGCCTAGCTTTACCGTCTGCTAACAGTTTCTCTTGGAGTAAAACTGCGATATAAAACAGAAAACCTCCTGTAAACTTCACATAAATCAAACATAACTAACTTAAAAGCTATTTTATTAACTCTTAGTGAACTCGTTAGATAAATTCAGTCCTTTCTGTTATTTTCTCGATGATTTTTGTCTGTCGTGTCGATAAATAATCATAAATGTTGATGTTGACTCTTCAGCTGTATTCTTCCTTCACTTTAAAGCCTTAAAATAAAAACATATATAATATAAATCTCCTGTTTTCTCGTGTTTCAGTCTGCAGTGGGTCCTGGATAAACAGGACCTGATGAAGGAGCGTCAGAAGGACCTGAAGTTTCTGTCTGAGGAGGAGTACTGGAAACTGCAGATCTTCTTTGCCAATGGTTCTGATCCGGTTTTAGTCCAGACCACTTTCACACAGCACCCTTTAATCTGACAGATTATATATTTAACAAAATACTATCATGAATTTTTTGTACATTTATTTCCTAAATAGTTAAACCTCTCAGCTATAACAAATAAATAAAATTAGAATAATGATTAAAAAAGCTCCTCAAATGTCTGATCTCATGTGTCTTTTTCTCCGTTTCAGTGATTCAGGCTTTAGGAGAACACCTGAAGCTTCGGCAGCAGGTCATCGCCACAGCAACCGTCTACTTCAAACGCTTCTACGCCAGGTGCGTCACTTTATTTACTGTTCCTTCTATCATGAAGTGTGTATTTATGATCATTTATCGTGTGAGGACTCAGCAGAGTTTCTGTCACTGACCCACAGCTGACTCTTTGACCAGGATATAAGTAGGGCTGGGTGATGAATTGATAACAATATATAAGGACAATTAATTTCCCTTAACGGTGGGGTAGTCAGGATCTGAGGAAGTTCCAGTTTTGGGAGAAATCTTGACCAGTTTCCCCCTCAGCTCCTCCTCCTCTCCCCTCAAGCCCCGCCCACAAACAGACGCTCCTGCTCACTCGTATCGTTCCAATTAAATTCAGATATAATGCAGATAAATACTTCAGATCATTACAAATGGGGCCCAGTCAAGGTGAAAGTCAAATGCATTGGTGCTACTGTAGATGCCGACAGACTACCAGACGCTACAACACGCTACAGCAGGTCCGTTTGAGAGGAGCGAGGAGCCCTTGGTGCCTGTGCAGTCGAAACAGCCGACCATTCAGTCCGCATTCTCTAGCGCAACGCCTTTAAATTGTGTTCTTCCTGTTTGCAGGTATTCCTTGAAAAGTATAGATCCAGTCCTCATGGCTCCCACCTGTGTGTTCCTGGCCTCCAAAGTTGAGGTGAGAAAGTTCGAACAACAAAACGTCTTTATTAGACTTCGATGAAACTGCTCCGTGCGGTTTCTGCTCTCGGGTCTTTGCTGTTTTTTTCTCAAAGTTTTTTTGTCCTTTCAGGAATTTGGAGTTGTGTCCAACACCAGGCTGATCTCTGCAGCAACATCTGTGTGTAAGTCACCTGAAACGTGAACACTTTAACACAAATCTCTCAGGTTGAGTTTTATCGTCGGTGGATTTAATCGAACCCTGATTTTTTTTTGTGTCTCCAAACAGTGAAAACAAGATTCTCTTATGCCTTTCCAAAGGAGTTTCCTTACAGAATGAATCATGTGAGTAAATTTTTTCTCTTTTATTTGATGTTCGGTGGTGTGATTGAGAGAACAGTTTAGCTCCTCAGTTTGAAGCACTCGGCTGTCACGTCCCTGTTAATCAACAACGCCATGAATCAACGTCCAAACTGTTTACCTGCTTCCTCTGCAGTTATTTATGTCTGGCTCTGCTGCATTACAGCATACCAAGAATCCCTTACGCTGTATCACTTTGTCGCCATGTCGATCTTTACCACTACGTCAGATTCCTCAGCTAATGTTCGCAAACCTCCGACAAAAGTCGTGTCGCCGTGGCAGATGGCTCCAGCCTTGGCGACCCTGGAGGCGATTGTTCTTTGCAGCGCGTCTCACTGTAGTGTTAAGATGTGTGCGCCCTCAGCGTTTTAATTTATGTGTAATCTCCAGGACGTCATTGACGGCCGCTCTGACACGCCGCCTGTCCTGAACATTGTGTAAATTATTATTTATAGTGCGCCACCGTGGAGCGATAAAAGGAGGGAGCGGTTCACACTGTAGATAGTGAGCAGCTGTAATTCCTGTTCATAGTTTTCATGCCATAAAGACGGAGTGAGAGTGAGAATGGCACGGTGACAAATAGGGTTAGTCTGTTACTATCCTTTTAATCATCACATTCTTCAGATTAAACAGATTTTCTAAATCACAAATGTGGAATATAAGTTTATGACCCTCATCTATTTCTTTTTCTCTGATATTATAAAAAAAGAAAAATCTGAAATATTTTCAGATATTGTATTGTCCGATCTTAGTACTACTGTTTGAAATCAATTTTAGGTCAATTGGTCACATGACATGGAAGCTATAGACGGAAAACAGCCTTTTCTGAGAACATCAACTGGTAATTTATTGACGGTCCCTTATTTAACATTCAACGTTGACAGCAAGGAGTGGATTTAACTGCGCTCCTGGTTGCCTTGGCTAATTTTTTTATGCGCATATGTGACCCTAAATACATTTTACAATTCACACACTTCTATTTTTAGTCACAAATGCGAGTGAAACGGTCGCACTGTCGAGCCCTTGTACAGGACAAAATCACCAGAGAAACAAGTGTGATGTCGTCCAGAGAGCGCATCTGATCATCAAATCACAGTTTCCTAAAAAGTTCTAGAACAAGATTTTGTGTGATTCTGTTGAACTGTGTAAAGATGTTTGTTTTTTTTCTCTCTCACTAATGCTGTAAAAAAAAAGTTGGTTAAGTGTTTACATCTTTCTAATTTTTGTCTCTGCAGATATTAGAATGTGAGTTCTATCTTCTTGAGTTGATGGTGAGTAAAAACAGAAGTTTTAAATCTTTGCTGCCATACTTTAGGCTGCTTCCTTCTCAGTGAGTTTGTAGTAACCGCTGACACAACCTGTTTTTCAGGACTGCTGCCTGATCGTGTACCACCCATACAGACCCCTACTGCAGTATGTGCAGGATATGGGACAGGAGGACATGCTGCTGCCTCTGGCCTGGTATGAAACTCTCTGAAAACATTCATCAGTCCTACAGGATTCAGCTGTTATTGTCCTCTAACTCTGAGTCTCTTTCTGCTGCAGGCGAATAGTGAACGACACATACAGGACGGATCTGTGTCTGCTCTACCCTCCCTTCATGATCGCCTTGGGTAAAATTTGTCCCCATGCAATTCTCATCAGATCTTGTTTAATGTAGTTACAGGTTTAAACAAGATTTGTCAGATTGTAACGTGATCAAGTTTCCCCCTCTCTTTCCCTTCCTCAGCCTGCCTGCATGTGGCCTGTGTGGTGCAGCAGAAAGACGCCAGGCAGTGGTTCGCTGAGCTCTCTGTCGACATGGACAAAGTGAGAATCGCCTCAGTTTTGGATATAAATCATGTTTTTTACAGGAAGTTTTTATGTGTAGAATTCAGCCAATTGGTGATCTTACATTCTCCACCACATAGATTTCAGACTGAAGCTGCAGAAACTCTTAAAAAAACATCATTAAACCAGTTTTGATAAGAAAATAGTAAAGAATGATAAAAATGTCATAGTATGTTATGATAAAAATACCAAAATCTAGTATGAAAAAGATGTCAAGATATGTTGAAAAAAAAATCATGAAGTATTAAAAAGAATCATATTATACTATGTTGAAAACATTGTGGTATAGTATGATTAAAAATATATTATTATAGTATGGAAAAAATGTCATAGTACAGTACAAGAAAAATATCATAGTATAGCATGATAAAAATAAAGTATGATAAATATCATAGTATAGTTTGACCAAAATGCTATAGAATAGTATGAGAAAATGTCATAGTGAAGTATGATTCAAATATTATATCATAATAAGAACAAATGGTCACAGTATAGTTTGATAAAAGATATCACACTATAGTACGAAAAAAATGTCAGTATATTCTGTAAAAAAATTTAGTTAACTATTAAAAAAAAATCCTAGTATAGCATGATAAAAATGTCATAGTATATTATGTTAAAAATTTCAAAATTTAGTAGGAAAAAATTTCAAATTTACAATGAAAAAATATAGTATGATCAAAATGTCATACTGTAGTATGTTAAAAATAAATCGTTTCTATTAAGAAACAACATTTCAGATTTTTGTATGATGAAAATATCAAAGTATGTTTAAAATTTCAAAATTTAGTAGGAAACAAAATTTTATAGTATAGTATGATAAAAATATTATAGTATAGTATGTTAAAAGAAATCAAAATTAGGTAGGAAAAAATAATCAGATTTTTGTTCAAAAATGTCATAGTATAGTATGTCTAAAATTTTAAAAGGAAAAAATAAATGTTTTATAGTATAGTATGATGAAAATATCACAGAATAGTATGTTAAAAATGTCATACCATAGTAGGATAAAAATATCATAGTAAAGTATGATAAAAAAAATGCGTGTATGAAAACTTTCATCCATCCTTGTTTGTTGACAAGAGATAAAACTTGAGTGTCTTGCGTGTCTCCACAGATCCTGGAGATTATCCGAGTCATCTTGAAGCTCTACGACCAGTGGAAAAACTTTGATGACAGGAAAGAGATCGCTGCTGTGCTGAACAAAATGCCTAAACCCAAACCTCCACCCAACAGGTAAATCCACCCTCTGTGTGTGTTTGTGATTTAGAGGGATTTAGCACATAGGAGCTGGTCCTCTGTAGTGGAGGCTGACAGACTCATGACAAACACAGTGAAGAAAATGATGTTTTTTGGTGGTAAATATTTGACAAATGGAAGCTTATACTCATGAAGCTCTTAGTTCCTGAAGGCAACAGGTATGGTGAGCAGGTGAGCGTCAGAGGTCTTAAATCTGTACTTATTCTCCCGCTCTGTCTGTTTTGTCTGCAGTGAAAGTGACCAGAGCTCCAACGGGAACCAAAGCAACTCTTACAGCCAGTCTTAGCGCTGAAGACAAGACAGAGGGAGTGGATCTTTGTAAAACTGTCGTGTCAGCTGGAAGAAAAAAAGCGGATATTTGATGGGAGAGCCACGTCTTCACTTTCCTTTTCTCTCGTCATTCTGAGTTTGCGGACTGTACGAACAGCCAGCGAACCGCCTTTGGGGAAACAGCTGATCTGTGACGACAGCTTTGTTGAGATTCAGCGCTCGACTCTGATAGACTTGAAACTGAGGGACTGAGATTATAGAACTGACGGGAGGAGAAGGAGCGCTGGTTCAGTGAAAACCTGTTTTAATGTCTTTGTGATGATCCTGACATCCTTGAACAGCCCAGAGGAGCCGGTCCGTCACGTGGAGCTCCGTGGGATTCGAGAATACTTGATCACAGCTACTGTGTCCATGTGTTTGTGTGTTTTACGAGTGTGTGAGCGTGTAAAACGTGAGCGACCAGTCTGGGTGGGTGTTCATTCCTCAGGGACTTTAGTAGTCTTTTTATGTACCATGATTTGATCCTGTGCTGTCAGAGAGTTGATCTGATTGGTTATCAGCTGTAAAGAATGTGACGTGATAGGATGTGACGCCTCTGCCCCGGCTGATCATGAAGACAGAGGCGCAAAATTAACTCTTCGAGTCCAAGAATTTACTGTTTCGATCATGAAAGTCCACTTTCTCCCTCCCAGTCTCTCTCCTTTTTTGTAAATAGCCGTGATTTCTTTGGTTTTCTTCGGTTTAATCTGCTTTGTTTTAGGAAAAGAAAAAAAATCATGAGCGTCTTTTGTGCTTCAGATGAAAGTACCCGTCTTAGTTTCTCTGCAATGATTCAGTTCATCTGCTGCAGTTGTAATTACTTTTCCAATTATTCTGCTTAAGTTGTAGATTAAATGACTCGTGTAAACGTTTGTTTTTAATTCTCACAAAGGTTTTTTCTTTGTTTTTTTGAGTAAATTGCAATTACAGTCCTGTCCATCAAGTTTATGTCTGTTCTTTTAATTCAGCCATCTGTTTAATCACTAAATTGTGGCAATATCTGTGTGCATAATCCTGTAAACGTCTATTTTTTGTGATGTGATACTGTGCGAGCTGTGTGTGGCTGTAATCAAAAGAAGGTGCTTGAAAGCCTTATGAAATAAAAGCTGCTGGTTTCAGAGAAAAGCCTTCATTAGGAGCACATTTTCCCATTCAGGTGAACCGTCTCATTCGTTTTAGGTAGACTTGTTTCATTTCTGAGACACGTCTCCAAACATTTTCTTCACTGGCTTTCTGCAGAGCCGGTTTTTTGACCCTCCCAGACTTCGTAAAAGAGACAAAGGAGCCTTTGAGGCATGCTGGATGCTGCCTCTTTCTGGTTTCCCTTCTGGTATTTTCCACCAGCCTCCATCTGTTACAGGACTGTTCACATGGAAAATGGGTAAACAATAAAAGGGCTTCATCTAACCTAAATATCTGTTAAAGTCATTCCCTGTTTATAATTATTACTTGAAAGTCTGATTTGTGTTTTATTTCCTATGTGTAATAAAATGGTTTGTGTGCAGAACAAAAGGCTTCACAATCATTTATGTTACATTTTTAAATTAGGTTCATAACTGTCTCATGTATAAGTCTGAATTTAACTTCAATGTCACTTATGTAGTAGCTGTGGTAGGACCCCTAGTGGCAGATGGCATAAACAGCATATTTAACATAATACATACCTTTTTTGTTTAGTTTGTTTGTTTAAAATAAGCAACTTTTTAATGGGTAATAATGCGCAGGGCTGAAGAGGACAGTTTACAATAGAAACCGTGATGTAATTTTCGTTTAAGGTCAAAAATGTGGATTTAATTATTGATTTGGAAAAATTTGTACGATAGTACAATAGTATGATAGTATGATGAAAACATCATAGTATAGTATGATAAAATTTCAAAATTTTGTTTGAAAAATAAATCAAATTTTAGTTTTTTGTCATAGTATAGTGTGATGAAAATGTCATAGTATAGTATGTTAAAAATTTCAAAATTTTGTTGAAAAAAATAAATCAAATTTTAGTGTAGAAAAATGTCATAGTATAGTATGATGGAAATGTCATAGTATAGTATGTCTTAAATTTTCAAAATTTACTTGAAAAAAATAAATCAAATTTAGTGTGAAAAAAAATGTCATACTATAGTATGATAAAAATTTCAAAATTTGGTTGGAAAAAATAATTCAAATTTTAGTGTGGAAAAAAATGTCATAGTATAGTATGAGGGAATGTCATAGTATAGTATGTCGTAATTTTCCAAATTTACTTAAAAAAATAAATCAAATTTGAGTGTGAAAAAAATGTCATAGTATAGTATGTCTTAAATTTTCAAAATTTGGTTGGAAAAAATAAATCAAATTTTAGTGTGAAAAAAATGTCATAGTATAGTATGTTGAAAATGTCATAGTATAGTATGTCTTAAATTGTCAAAATTTACTTAAAAAAAATAAATCAAATTTAGTGTGAAAAAAATGTCATAGTATAGTATGTCTTAAATTTTCAAAATTTTGTTGGAAAAAATAAATCAAATTTTAGTGTAGAAAAAATGTCATAGTATAGTATAATGAAGATGTCATAGCATAGTATGTTACAAATTTCAAAATTTGGTTGGAAAAAATAAATCAAATTTTAGTGTGAAAAAAATGTCATAGTATAGTATGATCAAAATGTCATAGTATAGTATGTCTTAAATTTTCAAAATTTACTTAAAAAAAATAAATCAAATTTAGTGTGAAAAAAATGTCATAGTATAGTATGTCTTAAATTTTCAAAGTTTTGTTGGAAAAAATAAATCAAATTTTAGTGTAGAAAAAATGTCATAGTATAGTATGATGAAGATGTCATAGTATATATAGTATGTTACAAATTTCAAAATTTGGTTGGAAAAAATACATCAAATTTTAGTGTGAAAAAAATGTCATAGTATAGTATGATCAAAATGTCATAGTATAGTATGTTAAAAATTTCAGAATTTTGTCGGAAAAAATAAATCAAATTTTAGTGTAGAAAAAATGTCATAGTATAGTATGATGGAAATGTCATAGTATAGTATGATGAAAATGTCATAGTATAGTATGTTGAAAATTTCAAAATTTTGTTGGAAAAAAAAATCAAATTTTAGTGTGAAAAAAATGTCATAGTATAGTATGATGAAAATGTCATAGTATAGTATGTAGAAAATTTCAAATTTTGTTGGAAAAAAAGAATTAAATTTTAAAATGAAAAAAATGTCATAGTATAGTATGTCGTAATTTTCAAAATTTACTTGAAAAAAAATACCAAATTTAGTGTGAAAAAAAATGTCATGGTAAAGTATGATGAAGATGTCATAGTATAGTATGTTAAAAATTTCAGAATTTTGTTGGAAAAAATAAATCAAATTTTAGTGTAGAAAAAATGTCAAAGTATAGTATGATGGAAATGTCTTAGTACAGTATGATGAAAAGGTCATAGTATAGTATGTTGAAAATTTCAAATTTTGTTGGAAAAAAATAAATCACATTTTAGTGTGAAAAAAATGTCATAGTATAGTATGTTGAAAATGTCATAGTATAGTATGATAAAAATTTCAAAATTTTGTTGGAAAAAATAAATCAAATTTAAGTGTGAAAAAAATGTCATAGTATAGTATGTCTTAAATTTTCAAAATTTGGTTGGAAAAAATAAATCAAATTTTAGTGTAGAAAAAATGTCATAGTATAGTATGATGGAAATGTCATAGTATAGTATGTTAAAAATTTCAAAATTTTGTTGGAAAAAATAAATCAAATTTTAGTGTGAAAAAATGTCATAGTATAGTATGTTGAAAATGTCATAGTATAGTATGTCTTAAATTTTCAAAATTTACTTGAAAAAAATAAATCAAATTTAGTGTGAAAAAAATGTCATAGTATAGTATGATAAAAATTTCTAAATTTTGTTGGAAAAAATAAATCAAATTTTAGTGTGAAAAAAATGTCATAGTATAGTATGTCTTAAATTTTCAAAATTTTGTTGGAAAAAATACATCGAATTTTATTATGATGACAATGTCATAGTATAGTATGTGAAAAAAATCCAAAATTGAGAAGGAAATAAAAAAGTCATATTTAAGTATGAAAGAATAGTATTTATATTTCTTATTATTATAGTGTAGTATGATAAAAATGTCATAGTATAGTATGTCTTAAAATTTTCAAAATTTTGTTGGAAAAAATTTATCAAATTTTAGTGTGAAAAAATGTCATACTATAGTGTGTCTTCAATTTTAATATTAAGTAGGAAAAAAAACATATTTTAGTATGAAAAAATGTCATAGTATAGTATGTTAAAAATTTCAAAATTTTGTTGGAAAAAATTAATCAAAATTTAGAATGAAAAAAATGACAGTATAGTATAATAATTAATCATAGTTAATTATAATGACAATATGATCGTATAGTATGATAAATATATTGTACTATAATATGATAAAAAATGTTATAGTAGAGTAAGATAAAAACATCACAAGTAAGTATGAACAAACATCGTTAATTCTGATAAAAAATATCACAGTATAGTATGTTGAAATATTATAGTATAGTTCGATAAAAATGTCACAGTATAGAGGGGCGAGTTTCTGTTTGTTTTTACTTTTTTAAATGCACTTATCAAAATTTTTGCTCATCGCTTATCTTACATGCTGCCATGGTTGTAGTCATGGCTTGAGCTATATTTATCTCTCCTCATATCTAAATTATGTAATCTGTCACTGTAGTGCAAATCAAACTGTAGCCTGAGGTGGCAGTTGTCAAATTAGGACATCCTAAAAAAGCAAACCATGTTTTCTCATGTATTTCTGTATTATTGATTTTTATATAGTAAATCAATTTATGATGTTTACATTTAATTTTATTTTTCCTCTTTTCTTATAGTGTCTTTGTTGTTATGATGCTTTAATTTATATTTACAAATTCCTTGAATGTGAAAACGGGAATAATCCTGACTCTGATCCTCGGGTATCCTGATGTAAGGGGTCTCTTCAGGGTCAATTTGTTTGATTTTGATTGTTTTCACTCAAATTAAATACTGTATTAATCCAATAGTCTTAGTCTTGGATGTTGTACTGTAGATTATTTGTGAAGATTATTTTATTTTCTGTAACTTGCCGCAAAAATAAACAAGGATTCATCTTTTATTTTGAAAGGATAAACCGGAAGCTCTGTCGTTTCTGTCTCGAACTTGACCGTGAGTACCAGCTGGGAGACAACCGTCAGCAGCGAGCTCGGAGCGGGCTGCGGAGGATGTGGACCCCGTCGCGGGGACAGGCTCCGGGCGGGACGCTCGTGTCGGGTCGGCTCTCCCTCGCCCAGTCGCCCCTCTCCGCGGTCACCCCCTCGCCCCCATGAAGCCCCCGCTGATGAAGCCCCGAGCTGCCAGAGTGAGGCGGAAAGTGGCCGGAGACAGAGAGCATGTACTGGCGTGTCGGGTTTGCATGGACGCGGTCGTGTGTGGTTGAGCTCGGCCAGAACCAGAGCCTGTCCTCCGGCCTGCTCGGCGCCGAGGAGACGCTCTCGTTTTATGGGTACATCATCGCCTACCCCCTGCAGGACTACGGCGGGATCATGTCGGCTCTGGGCTCGGACTCTTGGTGGCGGAAGACGCTGTATCTGACCGGGGGGGCTCTGCTCGCTGCTGCTGCTTATCTGCTGCACGAATTATTGGCCATCAGGTACAAAACAAGACAGAGAGGAGGAGGAGGAGGAAGGTCTGCAGAGGAAGGTCTGCAGGAATCAGGCCTCCTGGACTCCAAATACACCATCAGCTGATCAGATTATTTATTGTGTTTATTCTCTTAAAACTGCTGTTTTTTCTTCTTGGGTTGAGATTACTTAATGTTGTCAGGATGGGCGGGGTGAGAGCGGAGTCGATGGAGAATAAGGAGTCGTGAGTGGGTGGTTTGTGATGTAACGGAACCCCCACCCAACCCCCTCCTCATATACACACACATGCACACACACACTCACATCAGTGTATATTAACATCTCTATTGGCTCATTTATGACCTTTACTGGTTTAACCCCGGGGACTCTGGTTTGTGTTTTCTTGGTTTGTTGTTGCTCTGCAGGCCTCTCTCTCTCTCTCTCTCTCGCTCTCTCTCTCTCTCTTACAAAACTGATGTTACATTTGGTAACAGAGGGTCACTTTCACGTGTCTGTGTTTCAAGGACGACATGATGTAAAGGTTCATTCCGTGTTTTTGCTTCACTCTAACCCTTCCTCTCTAATAGATATAGTTATATTATCACTGCAGATATAGAGAAAAATCCCCCGGGCTGAAGCTAAATATAAACATACAGGAGTATAACAATAGACATCTATGAATGAAAGGGTATTATGATAGAAAAGAGCTAAATTTATAGGTTATAGTCGATATTATTGATTGTTCTTCGGCTGAATGTTTTGACCTCAATGAGTCTCAGGTAACCTGCAGTGTAAGCCTATTGTTGTTGACACTATGACACAGAAGAGCGCTGACTGTTTCCACTGACCGTTTCCACAGACCGTTTCCTCTGTTTTCAGTGTGGGTTTGAGACGTAATGAGGATGTTTTGATGGTATGAGGTCTGGAAATGTTGCAGAGCCATTATGACTGCAGAGTCGAGCTGCTGCTGCTGTTGTTTGTTGTGCAGGAATAGTTTTGAAATGAGGCTCAATGGAAAGATGGTGTTGTTACTGTTGTTGTCTGGTCTGATAGATACGGTGGCCGAAAACCGCCACTGCTGCAAAAGAACGCAAAAAAAGAAACCGAAGCCACTTCTGTTGTGGCTTTTTAATATTTGATTCCTTTTTAAGGCTGCACGATATTGGAAAAAACTAACACTGTGTTTTTTTTCAACCCTGCGATATAGATTGGGAAATTTTAAAAAAAGGAGGAATTTTCACCAAATGACCTGAATCTGACTTTCTGCTGAAATCTTGAGGACAGTTAACCTGCTCTGATCTTTTGGTTCATTGCTCATTTTGCAATCGTTGTTGTTGTTACCGGTGTTGTGCCGAGAAACGCTTGTCAGCCGAGAATTTCATGCACCTCGCAAAACGCACACCGATTATAGTCGAGTGGTCCACAGATGTACAATTTTAAACCCATAAAATTCTTATTTGTTGGGCTAAACAGTGATGAGGAATGTTCAGAAAGTAATTCTCAGTGGACACGCGTTTCTCAGCTCAACACCGGCAGCGCCAGCGACTCACTCCATGTACGGAGGCGTGGTTTCCTCCTCTCTGATTTTGATTGACGGCTGGCAGGGTAGTCTGACTGGCAACTGAGTAAAGAACGAATATGATTGGTGGATGTGTATCTCAGTCAGCTACCCTTGAAATTAGATGAGTTCATTCGCCTCCAATGTGACTATTGCGCACACGAACATCGTGATGACGATGCTCAAATGATATATCGTGCAGCCCGAGCTCAATAGAATAGTGCTGTTGTTGGTGTTGTTGTTGTTGTTGTCTGGTCTGATACAGGCCTATGCAGCGCCCCCCTCGTCCTCCATGCTAGGCTTCACAACCCGGCGTCCTCGCTCCTGTAACAGAGATTGAAGTAATTAGAGGTTATTGCACAAGAGCCAGCCTCCTTTAGAGCGAGTCGGCATTTTAGCTCCACACAGTCGTGGACAGCTCCCCCACTCTGTTTCAGCACTCCCCACAGTGGACAGCTCCCTTTAAGCTCAGCATTATGTGAGAGTGTCGCCGTTTGTTCGGGCCTGTCCTTGCCTGCCATGAATTAGCCTCCAACAGTGTCCGTGAACGCACCATCCTCCTTTACAGTGTCCGTGAACGCACCATGGTCCCTCACAGTGTCCGTGAACGCACCGTCGTCCCTCTCAAAGGTGTGATTCACTGTTTCGACATTGCAGCGTCTCTCTTGGCTCGTGTGGTCGGCCCCGGGGCTGAGATCTGAGGACGAGTTTAAGGACATTAGTTGAAGTTCATTGACTTGTGTTCAGTCTATATGACAGTCCGATTCACCCGTCACACCCACGCATCATATCAAACTGAAGTTAGCTCAGAATAAAAACTGGATTCAGTCCAAAGCTGTGATTTTTGCTAAAGGTTACAAACTCAAGGAGAGTGAGGTGGAGAAAAACAGCCGAGAACTCATCTGCTCTCTGAGTTTTATGGGAACAAATCAAGTGAATGTAAAGATCATTTCTACGTTTTAGGAGTGTTTTGGCTTTTTGACAACTCTGTCCATCCCTGCTCCTCTCATCTTCAGTCTTGTCACTAAGCTTGGCTGACAGGCTTTTGTTTCAGTTCTGATAAAACAAAGGTTAATTTATTCAGCAGATAACTTTTAAATAATGTGCTGCATCATAAAACAGAAGTCATCTTTCAAAGCATCGACAGCCTGATGCGTCTCCCTCCAATATCGTCATTAAAAAACTGAAAACATCTACAGAGACCAGATCCTTCAGATCCAAATCCTACTGCAGCAAAATCCAGTCTGCAGGAGCAGAGAACCTGAAACTCTTTGACTCATTTCAAGACAAACTCTGGGGACAGAGAGCAAAAGTAAATTCTGTGTGTGAGTCACAGAACAAAGACTATAGCCTCTGTAATTTTTGTATGAATTAAATTGAATTAAATAAGAGGGAAACAAGTGAAGAATCGCCTTATAAACAAGGACATGGTCAGGATTTAGTCGACATGTGGAAAACACAGACCAGACAGAGAACAGTGAAGAGTTAGAAACGTAATAAATAAATGACCCTCAGAGCTCCACGATAAACATCATCCAGAGAGGGAAGGTTTTTGATAAAGATGAATTAGTTACATCTTTTAAAACTCACTTTTTTAGACTTGCTTATACATGATACATGATTTATTTATTTATTCAATTTATTGCCTGCATACCTCTTGTTTAACCTTGTCAGTAATTATTATTATTATTATTATTGTCGTTTTTAGTCCTTTGTTTTTTTGTCCATTTTTAACTGTCTATTGACTATTATTATTATTATAAAGCTTGAGTCATACTGTCTTTCTCTTTGTTAGATTAAAAACTTCCGTACTCAAGAACAACATCAGACAAAGTCTAAAACCTGAAAGTTCGACTTCTGTGGTTTTCTTGGCTGGTTGTTCTCAGTCTTGGCTCACTAATAATATAAATAACTATAGATTAATATATTATAATATTACTGCTCAGTTATCACCGTGTTTATTGAGAACTACAGCTGTTGTCCATTATCCTCAATATGTAATATAAGTATATATTATTGAGGGGGATTCTTGGCTTTTGGTTCCACAAACAGGATCTAAAATGATCCCTTCATCTGTGTTTCTGTTTCTCTTTCCTCAGGAAGGAGGAAGAGCTGGACTCTAAAGATGCCATCATCCTCCACCAGTTCTCCCGGCCCAAATCCGGCGCCCCGTCCCTGTCCCCCTTCTGCCTTAAGATGGAGACCTACCTCCGCATGGTGGACCTGCCCTACCAGGTAAAATGTTGACTGAAAAAAACACACTGTCTCTAACGCTCACCTGTCATCTTTGTGATCATTAAAATGCAGCGCTGTTGTTTTTCGTGAATATCCAGAGTCGAGGTCGTCTTTAACTCTTTCTCTCTTGCAGAACTACTTCGATGGGAAGCTCTCACCGCAGGGGAAGATGCCTTGGATCGAGTACAACCAGGAGCAGGTGTGCGGCTCTGAATTCATCATCGACTTCCTGGAGGAGCGGCTGGGCGTCAGCCTCAACAAGAGCCTGACGGCGCAGGAGAAGGCTGTGTCTCGCGCCGTTACCAAGATGGTGGAGGAGCATTTCTACTGGTGAGAGAAAAAAAACACAAACAGAGGAGATACGAGAGAGTGCGACGTCAAATCAGGTATTTTTGTTCATCTTGAGCTGTGTCTGTCTGTCGCAGGACAATTGCTTACTGTCAGTGGGTGGATAACCTGGAAGAGACCCAGAAGATGCTAGCAGTGAGCGGACCACTGAGCGACCTCCTCAAGTGGATCCTGAGTCACCTGACTGGCGGGATTGTCAAGCGGGAAATGTACGGACACGGAATCGGACGCTTCTCCAAGGAGGAAGTCTACGCCCTGATGGAGAAGGACATGCGCACTTTGGCCACTCTGCTCGGTAAATTCAGAGTTTACTCTAAAAAAAACTTCATCCACCTGAGATCCAGGCCTCAGTGTGGTTCACAGGTTCTTCTTTGAATGTATCCACAGCAAAGCAGTTCCAGAGCGTTCACCGTGTAATGAGGACGCTTTGTCACAATTTGTCTGGTCTTTGTGTTCCTTTATTCGCCCCCGGAGGGCGCTCAGAGGCTTTAATGGGACAGTGAAACCACGGCTGTGGGTTTTCAACATGTACCCTGAGAACTATAACCAGAAACATCATGTGTGTCCTTGTTAAGAAGCTGCAAAAGGGCCAGAGGAAAATGGAAGGGCAGCACAACACTGCCCTCCTGTGGTTAATCTTAACACTACAGGATGGAAGTGGCAGTTTATTGAAGGAAGACTCTGAACAGAGAGATGTGAGGGCATACATGTGGTACTAAAAAGGTGTCATTTCCCTTTTCTTTGTGTGCCGTCATAGGTGATAAAAAGTACCTTATGGGCTCCAAGCTCTCCACAGTAGACGCCGCCGTGTTCAGTCATCTGGCCCCCGCCATGTGGACGCTCCCAGGAACACGACCGGAGCAGCTCATCAAAGGTGGGTTAAAGAAAATAATCAACATAATCCACGTCATTTACCTGCAGGATTGGCGAACAGATTTAGTCTACACTCTTAAAGAGATAATCCAGCGTAAAATTAAGTTATGGTCAAACACACCACATCACCGAGTTAGACACCCCCACCAGAGATGAATGTTGCCGACCGCTTGCTTCTCTAATTATACCAACTTTAGTAATGACAGCGGGGTTTCGCAGCTCAAGGAAGAACATTTATGATCATTACTTCATGGAAATACAATCAGACTGAGACACTAAGACAGAAGAACTACAGCGTCTGAAGTGTAAAATGATTAATATGGTGATTATTACTTCAAGGAAATGATAAAGAAATGATCATAAATGTTCTTCCTTGAGCTGCGAAACTCCACTGTAGTCTGTAATGGACTGGCCTGAGGTCTCACTACAAACAAGCGGCTGCTGGAAGAGAGTCGGTGAGTTGTGTTTAGTCTCTTTGCTCAAGAAATGAGTCCAAGTTAAAAAGATGTTCGGTGTCTAGTACTATGGCTGTGACCCTATATGTCCTGTTGATGAAGTTAGGTGCTGTTCTGAGCATTATTGGTGTCTATAGAGTGGCGTTTTGGTTGAGGTTTGTTTATGGCTCCTCAGACCGCTGTGTATTGCTATCGTGCGGTTGTTAATAAAGTTGGTATAACTAGAGAAGCAAGCGGCCTTTAAAGGGACAGTACAAAAGAAATGTGACGTTATAAAATGAGATTTTATAATATGCACCTTGGACTTCTGTTGTCAGTTCTAGATATTCACATATATGAGTCACTGAAGTTATAAGGATGTGCAAAATGAATATGTGGCATACTAGAAGTATTTTTTGCAGAGTGATGTAGGGCTGTGCGATAAACCGAAAATTTACTGATACCAAAATTTACGACAATAACCGATGTCATTTTGACCATATCAGTATATTTGGTGTCAAAAAATAAATAAAAGTTGTTTTTTTTCCTGAAGTTTCTTTGCCTTTAGAATAAATTCAGTTCATTAGAACATCTTTTTTATGACTGTAAGTATGTCGACTGTCGAGGGAGTTCAACTAGAGTTAATTCTCTTACTGTGGGAAACAATCTGATCTTCATCAAGACAGTTTCCTTCTTTGACAAAAACACTAATCCTGTTCACTACGTGGGAGGGGGTGAGCAGCTGGTGGAGTAGTTATCATCCATTTATCCTCATCGAAGTGAACTGATCAATATATCGTGATATTGATTTGAGGCCATATCGCCCAGCCCCACAGTGATATCTTCCAATCAGAATTATATATGATTATTTTCAGAATTTCTCACCCTCTCCCGTCTCTGTCTCCACCAGGCGAGCTCATCAACCTCGCCATGTACTGTGAGCGCATCCGTCGGCGGTTCTGGCCCGAGTGGTTCGTGGACCTGGAAGACTTCTGCTACAGCGACAGCACAGAGGGCAGCGACTCGCCCTCCAAACTCCCGGACCTGGGCCTCTACTCGGGTTCGGACACCTTCCAGGACTGTACACAATCCCACTCCCTCCACACTCACACGCCGCAGGAGCCGCCGTCGCCGGGCAGCGATCCTACAGGCCACTCCCTGTATGACTCTGACATGGACACAGAGTGCTCTGAAATGGACCAGCTCAAGTGTTGACGATACACACACACATGCCTAGTTCACAAACACACACACAACATTGAAACGCACACCACAGAGGGCAGCTGCGTTCGATCTGCACACACGTCCCCGTTCTCTTTCGCAGAGATTCTGGGGAGTATTTTTGTGTCGGCGGAGGACCGAGACGTCCGACCCGCACGCTGTAGTGGAGGAACGCCTGCCGTCAGGGCGAACAGAGCGAGAAAAACGGCGTGAAGTAGAGAAAAGAAGCAGATTAATCAGGAGTACATGATGCCGCTGCTGAGAAACTCCTCCTCCTCGTCCACATCGTGGTCATTTACAGCGACGACTTCAACCCGTCTTTTCCTGTGTGCCCCTCGTTGTCCCTCGTAGCAACCTCGCACCACCCGGCCTTGTGTGTTTCCACAAACTGAACCCGTATCGCCTTGTGTAAGGACCTGTACAGGACTGATCCGGTGTACATATATAAATTAACCAGATTAAATAGATAGAATATTTGATTATTTATGAGTATAAATAGTATAGATAAGCCTGAACATGTAGAGTCACCCCCTCTGTGTAAATACTCTAGATGTCCCCCCTTCTGTGTTTGACACACGGGCCAAACCGTCTCGTTAAAGTCCACCTGAGGACCCTCCTGTCCTGTATGTATCCGTCTACACACCTGAGATATTACAGTGATGCCTGCTGTCCTTATCTAGATACTGCAGTGTGATATCAAAGGAGTCAATGGAGAGTTAATCTTAATATTTTCGCCTTTAAAAACAACTTAATTTGCCAAAAATAAACATATATATAGATATATTTCCCCTCACTTTAGAGTCATGATATGATCTAGACCGTCATTGAGGATAACGGCTTTAGTTTGAACGGATATTTATGAAACATTTACGCGTCGAGCGAGTCAAACAATCACGTAGAAATAGATGAAATAGATGTAGCGCCTGAGTGAAAGTGCATGGCTGGTTCGTGCCGATAAATAAAAACCCCTTTAAACGTTATTTAAAAATCATTTTCTGACTTAAAGTCGACGTTTCTGTTTGTTTTGGTTGAATTAAAGATGTAGCAGTTAAAGGAGTCAGAGCGATGCAGAGTAGAGAAGCACCGATCATCACTCATCCGATGTCCGATCTAGTTAATTTGTCAATATCTGATCCAAATACTGGATCGGTGCATCCCTGATAAAGAGTTGTTGTGTAGCAGAATAGAGCAGACTTTCTTTGTAACGCCAGACTAGGCTGCAGTGGTTCGATGTCAAGGTGAGAGTTTTGTGTGTTTGTCGCTCAGCAGATGCACAAAAACGACATTTTGCACGTTTGGATTTCTAATCTGGCTGCAGAGGAAAAAGGGTTTACAGTACGTCTGCGATGACTCATCCTCTGTGCGGATGAGAGCAGACGAGTGACGTATCACACAGCTCAGCATTTACCCTCCACACACACAAACACACACACACACACATACACACACACTGACTCAGTACAGATCAGGTGAGAGGAACGACAGGAGCTGGAGTGCGACATTCAAAGTCATGAATTTGGAGATTTGCAGAGAAGAAAAACAAAAATATATTTAAATTAGTGCAGAAACAGCGCCCCCTTTTGGTTGTTTTGTAAAACTGCAAGCAAGAAGAAAAAAAATGGGTCCTCATGAGAGTTTTTGTGCCGTCAAGACTAGGGCCTGACAGATGTGGAGTTTTTGGGGCTGATACCGACACCGATTACCGATTAATCAGCCGATGTCTTAAAATTTTTAAGTTATAAAAAAACATATATACACAGTATATAATATACTGTAGATATACTGTAGGCTCCTGCTCTTAATATCACAGAAAGACCGATTGATCAATCTCAGACCAGAAAAGCGTTTTCAACCCCCTCCCTGATCGGTGCCTCCGCGTCTTAACTCACGTTCCTCATTTCCGGTCTCATCTGGAGACATGCAGCTGCCTCCATCAGAGAAGTAGCTCGATCACTAATGTGTACTGTTGTTTATTCTACTGTTACTGACACGGCTAACAGTGTAGCAAGGCTAATAGCAGGTGGCTAACTCTAACTTTAGCTTCACCGTTAACTCGGCGTGACCGAGACCAGCACAGCGGGGAACATGGTGAAGTGGGTTGAACTGAAACTTGTTGACTTATTGTGTATTTCACAAACTGGTTTATTTACCGTTGAGGCGGACCGCTCTCCTCCGTGCGTCCCTGAGCTGCTGCTTCAGATCCGTCACTCTGCTGTGCTCTGAGGTAGTTAGTGGATGAAGATCGTCATGAGGTCGCTGCGCCATCTACAGGATAAGTTAGGGAACATTTTCGAAGTGAAACCGAATCTTTCTCTCCACATTTTATTTCTGAAAATATCGGTGAAAATCTGCGAGTTTTGGCCGATTACCTTTTAGGGCCCTAGTCAAGACGAACATCATGATGATATTTTAAAGCAGCAAAGACCGACATATCTCAGCGTAAGCCTCGCTCCTACTGAGCATGTGCGGCACACGTTCATTCATTTTAATACGAGAATCATTTCTGAAAAAGTCGCTCTGTGTCTTAAACTCTCATGTTTGCATGTTTCTGCCTTCTCTTGGTTTCAGCCTTACAGACTCTGACTCCTCCTGCTGTTTACGTTGAATCAGTGCCAGCGTTTAACTTCTTTTTATATTGATTATAACTTAGTTATTTATTTATTAATGCTTTTATATGATTTATTGACGTGTTAATATTGTTGATTATTCTGCACTTTGTTTTCTTCTCTCGTGGAGAGTTCCCATCAATCAGTCAATCGTCGTATTGATCTGTGTATGAGTGCAATATTCATTGACTTCCATTGACGGTAAATTGCATGTTTGTCCATGTTTCTCTGTGTTATTTGGTAAATGTTTGAGTATCATACGATCGATAGCGTTTCAGCCCGTCATCTGCTGCAAAATCGAGTCCTGAGGAAAAGTCCAGACCTCCTGCGGAGCTTCACATCCGGTCCAGAACCTTCCAGGTGGACCCTCATTGATCGCTTGAGCTCATATCTGCATGACGACGCCGGTCAGCCTCCTGATCAGCTGACGATCAGCGTTTCCAATATTGTAAAAAGGAAAACCCCGCCCTGTCCCAGATCATCTTCACCGTGTCTCTGTGACCCTCAGCTGTTCAAGGTCAAAGGTCATGTATATGTTGCCCCCCCCTCCATTGAGACTAATGCCTGTAGACTTTAGAAGCCATATTGCGTTGTCTGGTGGTGTTGTGCGTGCTGAAAACACTCGTGAAGCCTCATCAAAGTGTAAATACGACAAAGCGGGGAACGCTAACGGACGCGGCTCTGTATCTTTAAAAAAGATTCTTATGAATGTAACGAAACTAGAGATAAAAACGCTGTATGACAATGGATTACTCGTATATTTCATTAAATATAGCTGTGGCATTTTCCTCTTGGTTTGGACTTTTATTTTGAAAAAAGGTGAGTCTTCCCCCCTCCTGTTTCAGAGCTGGTTCAGTCTGGTGTGTGTATCACTATCCTAATCCCTCTCCCTCTGAGCTCACTACCAAATGACAATACTAAGCCCACCCAACAATGATAAAGAATGAGCCGGCTGCCCTTTTCTTTCTATAGAAGAGAGAGAGAGAGACGGAGTGAGTGTTTGGGTGAGAAAGGAAAAGATGAGAGATATTTGACGACAGCGAATCTCTGCAGAGATGTTTAACCCACAGGAAAGAGGAGATCAGTCAGAGCTGACGGGAACTCCAGAGGAGAAAAGGAGCAGAGTGTGTGTGTGTGTGTGTGACACGTGCCTGTGAGGTTGGATGTTGTGCAGAGGGAGCTGTGAATGTGCCTTTGTGTGTGTGTGTGTGTGTGTGTGTGTGTGTGTGTGTGTGTGTGTGTGTGTGTAAGTGAGAAAAAATGAATAATGCAGAGGATGCCTGTACCAGCGTGAGGGCCTGGAGGAGGGCAGATGGTCGCCTGCTGATAGGACAGAATCCAGGCAACAGGGTCCTCCAGAGAGCCGGGTTTAGACCTGGCTTCACATACACACACACACACACACACACACACACACACACACACACACACCAGTGTTTTCCTCTGTTTTAAATCTATGAAAAACCGTAAATGTGAGGAGGACAAATGAGACAAATAAAACATCAGATGTGCGTCTTTGCTTAGTTTCTTTTTCTAGTTCGTCTGGAAATTAATCATCTAAATTAAAAAAAAATAAAGATGATACCTTTTCAGTCATTATCACAGTTTTTTTTTTAATTATTCAAGCCTAAGAACTTTATTTTTAAAACACTAATATAAAAAAATCCCAAATCAGCCGAAAGAAAGTCTTTAAATTTAACTTTTTTTTTAGCAAAAATTTTATGATTTTTAAGGTTTTTCCTTCAATTTTACTTTTAAAAAATTCAAACAAACTGTGCGTGAATAAATGTCATAAATTGTACAGCTATAAGTAAATAAAACGAAGCTGATTCAATCTGTTCTTGGTGTTTGTTTGTTTTTCTGCTGTCAGATTTTCTCTATTAGGAAAAATAAAATGAAAGGTATTAAAATTAAAAACATACTCTTTAAAATGCTTTAAAACTCTCCACACACACCGTTAAAGGAGTTAAACCTTTGAGCAGGTTAAAAAAAACATTAAAAATAACACTAAAAACTACGGAAGCCCAAAGAAAACATTTACCTACTTATATATATAACTCCAGCTGATCATAACCGAATACTAAGAGCTGCAAAAGCACAGATTAAACATTTATTTACCATATTTATGTGGCTAATGTCAACATGGCTTGTTGTCATGGTAACGACTTGCATTCCTTTCTCGATCTCCGGAAAAATAAACAATATTTAAATTATCAAAAATAACGAGAAAATCCTCATTTAGTTCAGAATAGAAAGAAAATCTGCATCGTCTTTGATGCTTTTTGCCTCCTGTACTGTTTTTATGTAAATATATCTTATTTTATTTTATTTGATGATGTATGGCAGTGTTTTAAATGCCTGTGCCCGCTGCAAACCGATTTGCCCATTTTGGGACGTAATAAAGTTGAAGTGACGTGATTTTTATCTCAAGATTTAGAGACAAATAAATCAAGATCTACCTCATATAAACAGTTTAAAGTCAGGCCTACCTGCTATCATGGGGAACAAAGCAAATCAAACGTATGTCCACTTTGGGCTTCTGTAGAATCAGACTAAAAAAGTGGAATTAAACTCTTTAAATGTTGCTGTAGCTCTATTATAATAATAACGGTATAAAACCCATTAAAAACACGGTCAGGTTAGGACTTAAAATCGATCATCAGGACTTTAAAAATCGATCCTGATCATTCTTCCTGATCCAGACTCGAACCTGCTGTCACCACTAGGGGGCGCCAGCTGACCGTCTCTGACTTTAACAGGCAACAAGACTCTCAGGAAAAACACGGTGAAATAAAAACAGAGAAGAAGAACAGAGGGATTAAAAACAAAAACAGCGTTTCTATTTGACGAAATTTGACTGAAAATACTTTATAAATAAAATCCTGAAAAATGTCAAAATAAAAACGAGAGCTTCGATTTTACACTCAGAAGAATTACAGCTAATATATTAAGATTTAATTCTTATTTGAGTCTAAAAACACAGAGACGTAATCTCGTGTATTTTCCAGTAAAATCGCCGTTTCCTCAGAATAATCGTGACTCTAATACGGTTTATTTTCATGCTGATAAGAGAAACAACCTCCTGCTTTTGTTCGTCGTGTTTGCAGCAGAATCAGCTCCTGATATTAGAAATTACATCTCATCATAATTGACAATTAGTCTCCATATTTATCCTGATGTGGATTTTAATTAATTAAAGCCGATCTGCTGCTGCTGTTGTTGTTTCAATTGAGAGTCAGATCAGATCAGCTGAAGGACAACCTGAAAACACCGAGACAGACCGAGATCAAATCCACGATTAGGGGGGAAAAAAACACACCACGTGGACAGACTTAGCTTTAAATAAAGGTGAAAATACTGCAGAGGTTTAGAAAACAAATACGATTTAATGACAAAAAGCATATAGAAATTGTGCAATCGTTGATTTGTTCTTTTCTTCTTCTTGGATCACAGATTTCAGGTCAATGCGATTTTGTTTTGGTTTTTGTTGATTCTTTTTTTTTTTTTTATCCCAAACTCAAAAACTCAAATTCAGCTGCAGAGGGATGAGATTAGAAATCAGAAAATCAAGGAAATATTAGTGAAAATTATTATAAAGAAAATAAAAATGTGAGTTTGGCCTGTGAGGAAATCTTTGGGCCTAAATTTTTGATTTCTGATTTTCTAAATAGATTTAATTTTCTACATTTTTTAATATCTTTGTCAGAATAAAATCTGCCACACTCTGAAAGTGTTTGGTTTAAGCTTTATGATGATCAATTTTATCCTTCAAATCCTGTAAAATATCATTGAAATCTCATCTAATCATGTCATAAGCTGTTATAATCATGTTTCTTTTATTTTTATGTATACTTATATTGTCTCCATCTCTGGTTGATGATTAATTTATGCTCAATTTATGACAATTTTTATATATATTGACCTTTTTTTACTCATAACCTGTCTATATCCTCATTATTTTGTTGTTTGCACTCTTGCACTGTTTCTAATCTGCACTAAATAAATAAATAGAAATAGAAAATATAAATTTTTCCAGCGGGTGTTGTGCAAAAATCCACATAATCAATCCCAGACTCTTATTTTTCCCCCTCAGCTGATTTTGAGTTTCTGAAATCTGTTTTTTTTTCTCTTTAGGTTAATGTCAGAGAGTCCTACTGTTCCCTCCTTCCCTCTCTCCTTCCCTCCTTCCCTTCTTCCTTCTCCTTTCCTCCATCAGATCAGGTTATTTATCACAGGGGTTGGAGCGGCACAACAACACGTGTCTGTGTTTGTGCTTTGGCACAGACTGACAGAGAGAAAACAAACAAACAAACAAACAAACAAACAAACAAACAAAGAGGCCGAGTACAAAAACAAACTTGAGATACATCCCACAGAGAGAGAGAGAGAGAGAGAGAGAGAGAGAGAGAGAGAGAGAGTCCTCTTCTTCAGTCAATGAGAGTCACACAGTCGTACAGTAGAAGTATTGGAGCCTCTGCGGCCACAGCTGGTATACCAGGAGAGAGATTCAGTTTGTTTCTTAGAGTTTTTTAGTTTTTGTTTTTTCTTCTTAGAAAGGAAGGCAAGATGGACTGGAGGAGGTGTCTCCAGCCTCGGACAGTCTCGGTCTTTCTCGTCACAGCATTTTGGAAAAAAGTAGAGAAGTAACAAAGAGCACAGAGACTGTAAACAGGCGCACAGAAAGGAAAGAAGCGTTAGAGTCCACCAGTCCACATCAAAACCACACCATCATCATCATCATCATTATTATTATTATTATTATTATTATTATTATTATTATCATTATTGAATTTGATATTATTAGTTTTTTTTCTGTCTGAAACCACAAATTATGGTCAGAAAATCCAAATTTTTTTGGAGCTGAAATGTTTATTTTATTTACTACTAAAACCAAAAATAACAAAATGTCCTTAAAATTTAAATATATATTTTTACATGTTTTTGGAAACTAATAAACTACAAGAGGACATTTTTACCATTTATCAGACTGTATTAAAACGTTTTTTAGTAATTTATTGATCATATTGATTTGATAGAAGTGAATAAAAGTATGTATGAAAAAAGAGAGACATTAAAATTTCAATAAACTGATTTACAGTTTAGATTTAAATCAATAAATGATCATTAGATTTGGCTGCATAATAATAATAATAATAATAATAATAATAATAATGGTAGTGGTGGTGGTTGGTTGTGGTTGTCTGGTATTTTCACCTTGTTCAGCAGGTGTCTGCCATTTCAGCCTCTCGTGCCACGCGCCGAGCTGAACCCCTGTTGCTTTTGTTATGATGTAAAAATGGCGTTTATTTACCCACACTGACTGACTGACTGACTGACTGACTGACTGACTGTGAGCCTCATATATCCCCCCTCCTCTCTAACGCCTCTCTTTCCTTAAATAAAGACCCTCCTCAGGAAAAAAAAAACGTCTTTTTTTCTTTCTTTTGGTTTCCGCACCATCAGCACGTCTCCACTGTTTGGCATCCCGCGCCATGAAACCTCCTTATACGCGCTCCCTGTTCCGCGTGTTTCTAGTGCTGGAGTCCCACTGTAGATCCCCACTGTGTCCCACTGTGTGTGTCTGTCTGTCTGTGTGTGTGTGTCCGTGGGTCCGACATTTCACCTGGCTGAGGTCCAGCACTGACAATCAAACAAATGAGGAGGCATGAATCCGGGTTTCAGTTTACGGACAATAAGGAGAATGAGGAGGTGGGGGTCACTGCACGGGAGTTTGTCCTCCGTGGTGTGGAGGGGTGTCCCCGTACATGTCCTCTCCTCCCGCTATCTGTCCCCCCGCGGGTGTCATCCTCTTCTCCTTCTGCCTCCTGTTACAAAACCAAACCCGAACCACCTCCTTCTCCAGCTGCAGGCTGTCCGCCAGGGAGTTGATCTCCGCCGCTCCCGGTTTTGGACATTTGAGAAAATGGCTCTCCAGAGCCCCCTTCACACCCACCTCGATGGAGGTCCTCTTTTTCCTTTTCCTCCCCTGAGCCGCGATTTTATCCAGGCTCGTGGGGCTCCCCGAGGTGGAGTCCGCCTCCTCCAGCCACTTGTTCAACAAGGGCTTGAGTTTGCACATGTTTTTGAAGCTGAGCTGCAGCGCCTCGAACCTGCAAATGGTGGTCTGTGAAAACACGTTCCCATAGAGCGTCCCCAGAGCCAGACCCACGTCCGCCTGCGTGAAGCCGAGCTTGATGCGGCGCTGCTTGAACTGCTTGGCGAACTGCTCCAACTCATCCGAGGTCGGCGTGTCCTCGTCTGACTGGTCCTGGTGGCCCCCGTGCTGCTGCTGGTGATGGTGTGATAAAGACTGCTGGTGGGCCCCGGGGCCGCCTCCGTGCTCACTGAGGTGCGGGCTGTGGCTGTGGTGGTCCTCGTCCCGCAGGGGGTGGTGGTGCATCCCCCCTTGCTCTCCCCCCGGCATCAGACCGAAGCCGGACTGAGAATAGACCAGACTCTGGCCCTCAGAAGTCGCCATACCGGGGATGTGCGTGGTGGCTGTGCTGGTTCGCCATGCTCTGGCGTCGTGATGCGCCTGCTGGTGCGCGAGGTGAGGGTGTCGCTGTTGCTGCTGCTGCTGCTGCTGCTGCTGCAGACTGCTGGAGTTCTGCAGCTCCTCTCGGTCACTCTCGTGCAGCACGGGCTTCACGTCCTGCTCTCCGAGGGGACTAGACGGCCAGGGCGCCCCGCCGCCGTCACCGTGAGACAGCGCTGTTATCCACTGGTGCGCGTGGCTGAGAGGATGTCCGCCGCCCGGTAACGTGCTGTAGTCGCTCTGGAGCAGGCTGTGCGCGTCCCTGTACGCTACCGCCTGCTGCATGCTCCCGGACTCGGAGTGCGGCGGCGGCGCGCTGCTGGGGGTGCTGAGGACGCTGTAGTGGTTGGACGTTGCGGTCGCCATAACTCTCGCAGCCAGAGTGATAGCTGGAGTTAAAAGGAGGCTGCCTTTGACAGGAACTCTTTTGCGCCACGGGGCAGCGAGGCGTCTCTCTTCAGCATCTCCCGGGCGCTGTGCCAAGGGGACGCAGAGGCGCGCACCTGTGGTCCGCCTCGCTCCGCTCTTTATTGGCCAAGAACGGTTGACAGATGTGGTTACCCCTGACAGCACCCCGCTCATTGGTCACGGGAGATTGTACAGAAACCCCAATCACTCTGCCCAACAATACTAGCAGTCCTGCAGCAGCATGTAGAGAGTACAAAGTGGAGGAGGGAGAGACCGGGCTGAGGGGTAAACACAGAGAAGGAGTGAGGAGCTGAGCCAGAAGGAGAGAGGGGGGAGAAAAACTCATAAGTTATTTTAAACATTGATATGTGTCAGTGGGTCACATTGCTGGATTTCGTGCGTCAAAACTGCGCGTAAAAGTCGCAGAACAAAAAACAGGAACTTTCAGATTTACGGTCTCAGAAATCAAACTTTGAGTCAGAATACTCGGTCTGTTTTTGTGCAGGACTCATGAGGAGAAACTTCCAGCTGCCTCTCTGCCCTCAGGACGCTGTCCAGGGAGAGGGGCCGCGTGCTTCCAGGGTCTCTGCCCCGTTGCCATGGCGAGTGCGGTGAATGGAACAACGCCCACGCCACAGCTGCAATTCGCTCCTTCTTTTCGTTCCGATCCAAGGGGCTCATTGGGGCCGCGCGCTCGGCCGTCGGGACAAATAATAGGGAGGAGGGGGGAGAGAGAGAGAGAGGGAGAGAGAGAGGGCAGCACGGGGCCAAAAGAGAGGAGGGCAGTGTAAGAATAGATCCCTCACACCTGCCTGTTGGGTAAACTTTGAGATGGATGCATGCGCACTGGCACGCAGGGATTTGCTTTTACCCCCCCAAAAAAAGCTCGTGTCCAAAATATTTTGATGAGGGAGAAGAGTGTGAACCCTCTGATGCACAAAAACAGAGATGGATAACAAGAGAGAGAGGGGGGGTTCATTTTTCCACAACAAGAGCACCAACAATCTGAGTCATACAACATTCAGAGTAAAGAGTCCAAGAGGTTAGACCACCCTAAAGTAGGGGAGAGCGGGGTAAGATGAGCCATTATATATCCATCATAGTTTAGTCTCTAACTAGTTTATCTGCAGATATTTCAGGATGTTGTTCATCCCTGAAAACCAACAGAATGAGTGTAAACAGAACTGTAATCTTGATGATATAGCAGGACAAAAAAAGTGGTCTCCTATGGTCAACTTACCCCGTGTATGGAGTAAGTTGAGCCGTATCCCTAAATAACAGTCACTTCTTCATATTCATGTGTATTTTTATCTATTATTCTCTATTCAACTGGTACAATCATTCTTTTTATTATAATATTATTGCTTATGAATACATATTTTGAATTTTCCTCTGGGATTAATAAAGTATCTATCTATCTATCTATCTAGCTATCTATAACTGCTAAAAAGCTGTTTTGTAAAAAGCCATTTTAACATGAGAATGTCTTTAAGTGATTCAGAACATTCACAGAGCTTTATTTTTGAAAAGAAAAAGTCAAACATTTCAACAATCTGAACTGAAACTCTGATCAGACTCCTTTACCTTCTCAGTTACTCCAGAACTACTATGATGACTTTATTGGTTAGTAGCTCATAGATACCACAATTCAGAGCTAGCCCAACCCTCAATGAGGCCCTGAACAAAATCTGATTTTGAGGCCCTCTATTTCTGCCAATAATATTGATTGTTGATCATTCACATACCTTTATCTTGGCGTTTTTTCTCTTCCTCTTTCTTGTCTCAGCTCCTGAAGGATACGTCCTTTTTTGCTCCACAACTACCCTCTCTTTGGATGCTCAGCGCACATCACACAGCAGGAGGAACATAACGGTAGCAGATCTTTGACATATCGGCAGTAAGAATCATCGGCCTACATCAGGAACAGCACATGTTAAAAAAAAAAGTAAAATGTTTTTATTTAGTTTTATTTTATCTTTACAATAATATATATATGTGATCAAACAGAAAGCATCACTCAAACATGCAAAAAATAAGAAACAAATATATTTTTTTCTATTGCTCTTGGGGGCCCCCTATTTGCTGCGGGGCCCTACGCTAGCGCTTAGTTCGCTTAGGCCGGCTATGCCACATTTGATGTATAAATTCTGTTTTTTTTTCTAAATAAATGTCGAACTCCTTCACCCATGTGCTTCTAACCTTCACAGACTCCATGAATTGATGCCCATCTTCTAAATATTTGTTCACATGATCAATTTCTTTGACCATTTCCAAGAGACAGGGGGTGGATCAACTTACCCCACTCTCCTTTACTTCCTCTTAACTCTGCATTTTAAAGTCATAGTTTGTTTTTTAATTCCACTAAAATCTTGTAATTCAGACTAAAACACCGAACAGATGATGGTCTGATAGGAAGTGATGGATTGTTACCAATTAAACGAGATAATAAGAGGCTTTTATCGAGACTTAGCCGTGCTGTTCGACCACTGCAGCTAAATTACATGATCGTTTTAATTAATTTTATCCTCTTACTCTACATGTTACATTTATGAAAACATCAAAAATCAAACAGTTTAATAAGAGAGAGTCAGCTGGAGAATGAGAAACAAATAAGAGGAACGTGTGTTTGAGTTACACGGACTGTTAGAGTTACAGATTTATTATTTCTCTGTTTAGGGACACAAATCTCTGTTAGATCTCTACTAGTGCAAAATCATCTGTGATGTGCAATACAACTATTCATACACCATTATTTATCATGTGCAATATGACAATTTTCATTCCTCAATTATCTCACCAATTTATCCTCAATTTCATACATTCACACTATTCACACACCTACTGCATCTCTTTTCCACTTGGTAAATATGTCTCTTATACTTTTATTTGTCTTTTATATTTTTGTTTGTTTCCTTATTTTATTGTGTTCCTTCAGTACTTATTGTGTGTTTTTATCTGAACTCCTTTGAGTCGAGCGGTCCTCTCATCAAGAACATTGTTGACCTTCTTAAACATGAACATGACACATTAACAAATCTTGGATCTCGACATTTTTAAACACTTATTATAACGGTTCAGTATGTGGGGACACATTAAAGCCACTGTAAGGAGTTTTTCACTAGTTATCAAACAGGTGGAAATTAGTTCTGGTCCTCTTCTATTGTCCACAATAGGCGGTAGTGTGGCGGAAGTACGTCAACACTGGTAGTAGTGAAGTCAGCTGTTCACCTGGTGTGTTTGGTGGATGAATGGAGAGGTGGTAAACGGGGAAGTCCTACTTTTTGCTGACCACTTCTTCGTTTATGTTTCGCCTGATATTGAACAACCGCCCTTTTTGTTTCCTGTAAGTGCTTCGTCTTTTTTTAATAAAACTACAAACGGAGATACAGTCAGCGCGTTGGGTAAGGTATCGTTTTCGCCCACTCAGCCTCTCGGCGACTAAGTTGTTCTGGATAGTCACCGTACAACGTTCAAACTATCACGCACTAAAAGTTCCTCACAGCAGCTTTAAACGAGCGGTGTTACGTTTTGAACCAGACAGAAGAAATATCGTGATGTTGAAATTCTCTGTTGGGTATAAATCGGTACCATAAACATGTTTTTCCTCTCTGGCATCATCACACATTTGTCGAAAAATAATTCAAGTTTGATTGGCGACGCTAAAGTTAGTGCTGTTCTGCTTTTCTGGTCGGTAACACCACATTTAACCACATGACACATCAAGCATGTTAGAGAATCACAGGAACTTTCACAAAAATAACACAAACCTTTGACTTCAACTACACTGGTATTTAACAGCAGTATTATTAAGAGTGGTGGTGTCTGACCAAAGAAACATATCCAACATAAATTCCTCTAATTTTCAGGCGTAGAAGAATATAATGAACTCAGCGGACTTGCACAAATGTTGAAACGTATCACTGTAGAACGTGACGCCAAAGACTGTGAGGAAATGTCAAAAACCCTCAAAGCTCCAGCCTCTCCGCCTCTGTCTCTCCGTCTCCTCTTTCTACGAACACAGCGATGCTAAAATCAAACCAACCCTCCTTCCTGCAGATCCCCGGAGAGTCTCTGGACCTACTTTGGCGACTACTGGTATTTAGGAGCGGGGATGTAAAGTGGGACACTGGAACAAAACAGCGAGTAACCTCTCAGGGAAGAAGACCCTCATTTTTCACCCACTGAAGGTTTGGGTTAATTGATAAATCCTGTGAATCTAATCGTGTTTGGACATAAACTGATGCGCATTGAATTATCAGGATCCAAAGAACACGGGTTTATGATTAGGGCGCAATTCTGAGAATTGCAAAATGTGCCGCCGGGGGCTCTGCCAGGCCGTGTGTCGAGACGGACAAAACATATTACCCTAATCGACTAATATGCAAACTACTGGTCGCCCAATTACAGGGCTTAATAATGCATAAACGATGCAAGTCCTGTTCTTACAAGACGAAGAAGTCGCCGTTAATTCAGCTGAAGCGTTGGCTTCGCCGTCGACACATGTGGCCGCTCCGCACACGTACTGTCTGTGTTGCGTGTCCCTGGCGCTGCATTCAGCAGTGAGAGTTAATGATGGAGAATCTGAGCGTTAAATTAACAGTAATTATACGGCCCCAGCGCTGTAAAGATTCAATTTCTTCGCAAGTCTAATGGGCCTAAGTATCCCTGTGGGCAGGCGGAGCGCTCTATGAGATATTTATGATTGGAGGAGAGGCGCGCAGATGGAGGAAGAAACAAAACACTGCGGACAAACGGACGGAAGAAAAGACGAACCCTTTCCTCCCTCCTCTGTAAACACTTCCACACGCTTCCAGAGTCGTTTTTTCTGCGTGTGAACGTTCGCTATTTTGTTTGCTTTCACTTTCTCCGGGCCGATGTGTGACCAGTCCGTGTCCCTCCCCCTGTGGGAACTTCTGTGCAGGGGTAACTAGGGCAGGGGGGCTTCTTTATGCTGCCGGACACAGGGAGATAATGGCCATTCCTCCACAGCTGGCCCACACAATCAAAGGCAGAGGGGGCTCGAAGGATTCCAGCTTTAACCAGGCCATTGTCTGGGCTAATTACATCTGAATGCGAGACCCCAAGAACCCACCTCCCCCCTGAGCTCAACCTGCACAGAATACCCCAAACAACCCTTGAGGGAGGAGGGAGGGCGCACACACAGAGTAATATATAAACCTGCACTCCTTTATTAGCACTAAATGTAAGCACACACACTCTCTCTCTCACACACACACTCATTACTGACACACACACACACACTCGTATCCCCAGCAGGCTCTCATCAAAGTGTGTGTGTCTCTCACACAAACACACTCACATGTGGCACTCGGCATTAGATCAGATCTCAGCTTGCTGCTCTCAGAAGAGATGAGGAGGTCTTAGAGGACTTATGTTGAATAGAAAACACACTGAAGAGCCTTCCCCCAGTGCACCCCCATAATCCCAATCTATACTCTCCCTCTGCCTCCCCCCCAACCTCCCTGTGCGCCGCTCCATCTGCAGCCTGAGCCGTGCAGACCCCTCAGATCACCACAGAGCAGTCTGTGCCCGGAGAAACTGCAGAGGGAAGTCAAGATGTCCCAGAAAAACACGCAGAGAGTTTCTGATGTTTGGAACTGAATTTAGAGGAGAGTTTAGGACTCTGGACCAATCAGGGGGCTCGTGGTCGGAGCTGTTTTGACCCGTTTTTCAGTTTTTGAGAGGGTGTATGTCAGGCTTCTGCACAGGTTTAGAGTTATGTGGACCTTTAGAGTAAACTACGGCACAGGTTTGGAGCAAAATGCATGAAGATGAAGAAGCTGGAGAGCAGAAAGAGTGATCCAGAGAAACCTACAGCATGACGGAGCTCAGAGACTCCCAGAAAGGAGAGTGTTAAAGGGATATTCCGGTGTAAAATTACTTTAGGGTCAAACGCACCCTAACACAGAGTCAGACACCCCCCTGAGAGATGATTGTTGCTGACCACTTCCTTCTCTAGTTATACCAACTTTAGTAACGACCGCAGGATAGCAATACACAGCGGTCTGAGGAGCCATAAACAAACCTCAACCAAAACGCCACAAATAATGCTCAGAACAGCACCTAACTTCATCAACAGGACATATAGGGTCACAGCAAGAGCACTACCTACCAAAAATCTTTTTAACTTCGACTCATTTCTTTAGCAAAGAGACTAAACACAACTCACCTACTCTCTTCCAGCAGCCGCTTGTTTGTAGCGAGACCTCAGGCCAGTCCATTACGGACTACAGCGGGGTGACGCAGCTCAAGGAAGAACATTTATGATCATTTCTTTATCATTTTCTTAAAGTAATAATCATCATATTAATCATTTTGCTCTACAGACGCTGTAGTTCTTCTGCCTTAGCGTCTCGGTCTGATTGCATTTCCATGAAGTAATGATGGCGCTAACATCTACACAACAGACAGGACCTGGAAGAGTTCAACGTTACCTTGATGACGCAGAGACGTTAGCTCTGCTCCTACTTTCGCCTGTACCAGCCTCGCCTTCGATAAGTAGTGAATCAAACACGTTACACTTCTGCAAATTAACTGCATGCTGGGTGGACAAATGTTTCCGCATATCAGAAATATTTCTCACCTTCGACAAAATTAAAGCTTTGCAAGAGTAGCGAGAAGGCCTGTATCATCTTTTCAAATACAGCCAAACTCTGGAGTGATTTTGCCGGAATGTTTGGAACCAAAACACACTTCTCGCATACAACGCCATCACGCATAAGAGGAACTGATAGGCAGAATTTTCAAGGAGGCAGACGAACAATTCTTAGGAATCGAATCACTGGGAACCTGTTCTAAAAAAGAACCGGTTATCGACTCTCATCCTTACTAACAGGACATGATGATTCAAAGTTAATGACACAGACTGAAAGACGATAGAGAAGAAGAGTGAATCTAAACCTATAGCAGAATAACTAAGATCTGGACCAGGCCTGAACCAGGTCTTTATCAAAAAGAAAGTTTTAAGCCGACTGAAGTTAAAAAGTGGAGATATGGAGAGACGAGGACATGTTTAAATTTCTGTCCTCTGAAGCGGTGGAGATAGTCGGAGTGTAAATATCTGTTCTGTCAGGAGGTCGAAAAACTCGAGAGTTTCAACATTTAATGCAATTCCCAGAAATCTTGAGGAGCGCCTCTTCTGTCATATTCTCCTCCTCCTCATGTCTCTGTGTGTGTGTCTGTGTCTCTGTGTGTGTCGGTGTGTGTGTGTGTGTGGACCTGAACGCTATTTGTCTTGGACACTTTTCTGTATTCAGCGTACGTCGGTGTGCGTGCGCGTGTGTGTATGACAGAAAGTGTGTGTGTGACAGTTTCAGGGTTAGGAGGTCTCACTGGTGCTCAGTTTAGCATTGATTTATTCTCTTTCTCCAATTTATTTCCCCTTTGCCTGATCTGCCTCTGGGAGGACAAATGGAGGAGAAACGCCAAGCGCAGTAACCATCTCTCTCTCTCACACACACACACACACAGACACACACTCACGCCTCGTAGGAAAAGTGACAAATGTTTCCACGAGCAGAAACGCAGTCAAATCTTTTTTTTTCACACACGCAATCTGAATATTTTTACCGCTGAGATCCTCCAACCGGACCAATCAGAGATCACACCGGTGACCATCATGTCCAACTATAAATCCACAACAACCCCCTAAGTCCCACGGCGCCCCGGCTCCTATAAGACCTCTCATGTTTTCCTATATAACCGTCTTCAGAGCGACCATAAAGACATAAAGGGACGCTCCCACCTCGAGGTGAGTGGTCATAACTCTCCAGCAGGTATTTTTATCGTGACACGGCGAGTGAGGTGCACAGATTCATCTCGTCTCGTGCTTTATAACGTCCAACCCAAACTCCGGATGAGTAAAAGCGAGAGTGCGGTCATATTTTAGCGGCGGCTCGCTGTCACGCTCGGCCGTAATGGAAGAGGAGAGAGAGAACTTAACGCCTGCGTCACTTCCACTCGGAGGTGTAATAACCTACATCCTTTTAAGTTCTCAAGTGGAAGAATTCGAGCGCGGGAGGAGGGGCCGCCAGGTCGTTAAACCCCACTTGAAAGCTCAGCGCCCTGATCGATCGTCGTGGGCCAAGCAGGGATTAAAATCAGGCTAAGTCTGTTCCGATCAATACTGATGGCTAACCCCGAGGTTAAAACAGGAGTAAATCTCCATATGTGTCCATACGCAGGTCCACACTGTGTCCTACTGCGGGGATAAATCTGCAGCTATCCATGCAAATGGACACACAATGGGTTGGCGTGCAACTGCAGTCGATATGAGTGAACGCCGTCCGAGCCTTCAGCAGAAACACACCCAAGATATATACTGTACTCTCTGCCCGGATCATGGCGGTAAATTTGGACGCATCGACGAGCGAGGAGAGATGTTTGTGGTCATATAGGCGGCAACAATGTGGATGACTTATAGACAGAGAGCTGACACGCATGATTGACTGTTTCACACCTTAATGGATGGTAGAAATCACGGCTCAGATTGATCTCACAAACACAGGTCTGCGTATCAATTACCGATACCGATCGATGAAGCTATGGACAGACAACAGGGAGGGAAAAAGTGCTGCACGTCTATATCGTGACCAACTTCAACCGGCGGATGTAGAAAATTCTTCCTCTTCTGTTTCCTCTAATCCTCGGGGACAGATTCCTGACCTTAAAATAGGACGACGATTGATAATGTTGACATTTGAGGAAATGAGCTCATTCTTTTATCGTTTATTTTTGCAGAAAAACAGACGAAAAGGTCAACAGGCTACGGCTGAATGTGAGGCTACGACAGGAAACCGGTTAGCTTCGCCCAAACTTATCTGTCTGATTCAAAGTTTACTCGCAGCAGTTCGCTAAATGACCATGAAATAGTGAATGTTTGAACAGATTCGTAACTATTAAAAAACAATTTTTTGTACATGTTGTGTAGAGTGACAATATTCTGAATCCCCCAAAAAGAGACAACACTACGGTGCGGGGCGGAGTTGTGCACGCACAAAATTTTGAGGGTTTTTTCAGGTCGGGTCGAGTGATTTTTTTTAAGTGTTCCTATCTCAGTAAACACGTATTCAGAATTCTCAAAAAGTTTCAAAAATTACAAAAAAAGACGACATTTTATCTTATCAATTTTTTTTTTTCCACTGGAAACGGGTTACTATACAAAACTACAACAGAGGAGAAGGGCCACAAAAAGAAAAAAAATCAACAGGAGAGAGTTTTTTTTATTATTTTAATTTCAAGATTAAAGTCAAAATTTCCACTTAATTCATGTCCACTTTAATCTTGAAATTTCGACTTTAATCTCAAAATTTTGATTTTGAAATAATTTCAATTCTTTCATCTCAAAATTTTAATATTTTTATCTCAAAATTTAAACATTATTGACGATATTTTGACACGTAATCTCAAAATTTCTTTTTGAATCTTATTGACAGAATTTTGATTCTTTATTGTCAAAATTTCGACTTTTATCTCAAAATTTCATCATTATTCGCAATATTTATACATTTTGTAATCTCGAAATTCTGACTTTAATCACATTAAAAAAAATTAATCTTGAAATTTGGACTTAAATCTCAAAATTTTACTTTTTTAATCTCAAAATTTAGACATAAATCACAACATTATAACATTTTGTGATCTCGAAATGTTGACTTTATTGAAATAATTTAGATTTTTTAATCCTAAAATGTGGACCCTAATCTCCTTCCTGTAATTATTTCTTTTCTCTTCATGTGGCCCTAATCCTCTTTCGTACAAAAACTCAGACATTTAAAGGATTTAATAAATTTCACCTGGCTGGACAGACCGTTCGTCCTCTTGAACCGGAGGACATGTCCCTGTTAAAGAGGACGTTTGTCATGCAGCTCTGAAGGGTGTTTTTGAGTGTTTTCAGTCAAAGTCAGAGTTTAAAAAGAAAATAATGCCAAAGCTTTATTTGTCAGAATAATAAATTTGGACGCTCCGACTGTGTTGGACCGTAAAAACAGACTTCTGCTGTCATGAATATTAGATTCTGACCGGTCCTGCCTGCAGATTTAAATTATCAATGAAGTTCTGGCGCCGTGTGTTTGTGCCTAAATTCCCCCCCTACTCTCCTCCTAATGAGGGACGCACTCATCGACTCTGCTGCAGAGGGATCACTGCAGGTGTCCTGAAACATACCTGCAGCTGAACCCGTTTGTGTTTCTGGATATTTCTATATTTATGACGGACTGCTGAGAACAAGTCTGGACACATAATCTCAGATAACAGAAACTCCTCTTTCTATCTTCTTTGACTCTAAAACGACCGTCCACTCCGACTTTCTCTGGCTCTGCTGGACTGTTTACACGCTGACACCTGCTCCTAAAACACAAAAAGACAAAAGCCTGACACCCCGGTCCAAAACCCTCCACAAACACCCGCTCACATCCCCACTTTTCACTTGGATGACAACTTTAAATCAGGCCTGTTTTTTAACTCCACCTCACACCGTTCTCCATGTTTGGCACAATCCATATAACTACAGTCTGTTGACAACACTGTCCTTCAAAACGCCGCAGCGGAGCGATCAATTGGCCACACTGATGACTCACAGGTGCAAACACTAGTTACTAAATTGGTCAATTACACATCGGCGCGGGGGGTCGGAGGTGAGCTCTCCTGTTTTGGAGATGAATGAAAGGCAGCGATGCAGAGAGATACGGAGGCGGAGGATGTTCGCGGTGAGAGGCGGACGAGGACGGCTGAAGAGAGGAAGAGTGAGACGCATCTTGGATGAGGTTTGGACCACTTCAGCGTTGTTGTCGAGCTGGAAACTTCAACATCACTGCTGTTTTATCTACTCTTAGGTGACATTCGAGGGAGTCAATTACTCTGTTTGATACAGAACTGAGCCGTCAAACATGTTTTTATGAATCTAATATCACTGCACCATTAATCGGTATTAAACCGTAATCGGATTTTTTGATTATGACGATGTTAAACAAATCAAAACTGTCAAATCAATTTTCCTCTCTATCGTGTCTCGCGCCTCCAGGCCACTGCGAGAGCGCTCCCTGGTTCCCACAAACACCAGTGTAAACAAACATGGCGTTTGCAAAAGAAGGCGATAATTTCGTGGCTAAATCGGACAAGAGCGAGTCAGTCGTGTTGAATTGGTATGACTTCACAGTTTCGGACAAAGAGCAAACCACTCCCCAGTGCAAAGTCAAGGGCGGTATCAACCCGTCCAAACGGAAAAGAATTCAGGAGGAAACACTATTGTGGCTTTTCTAGTACCTTTAAAAAAGTGTCTTGAGGCAGAGACTAGGTCCTGAATATTTCTGCTGTTCCAAAGAAACACCCACAGTTCATCAAAGTTTTCGGAACTTAAATAACAACAAACAAAAAAAAATGCTTTCACAATCACCAGTGATTACACGCACACATCCGATGTAATGTTAGTACACTCTGGGATGTCTATCAAAGCAAACAAAGAACATAAAGCGCGGTCAACAAAAATTACGGCTACCTCGGCTCACCTCTCCACCACAGCGCAGGTAAGACCGCCTCTTAGTTAACTTACTGGATTTCAAACTCAGTGACCACGTGACCCAAACCAAGCGAAACCAATATCTACCAGACAAGAGTAACTGAACACAGAATAACCGATAAGCAGAGCAACATTATGGCTCCTACAAACACAAAAGTTTTTTGTTGTATCGGCGTTTCAGGTGACTGTAAACTGTACTTTTTGAAAACGGGTCGGAGACTGAATAAGTCGGTAAACGACTCGAAACGATCATGTGACACACAGCGTAACTCTTCTCTTCTCTTATGGCGCCTGATCGTGTCCGGCCAAAACAACTTTTACACTCGTGCTCTGTATTCTTCTTCTGTCTTTAGTGCATTTCCTGTGCAGCGTTACAGCGCCACTCACTGTCTTGGCATATGCACTACATCGTTTTCAGTGGTTTATTTTGAAAGATAATAAAAAATCTTATTAAAGTGAAGTTTGGTGAAAATCATGCAGCCCTAGGATCCAAGAAGGAAGCAGCATTACTTTATCACCGAGGAACACGACTAAGTGAGACGAGTTTTGTTTGTAACAGTGAGGAGAGCTTGGCTCGTGTTATTTAGACATGTTTCATGGGGTCAGGATGGGTAGAGGTCTGTTTAAGCGGATCTTTTACTTCTCTATAGCTCATGTAAAAATGATCCCCCACACTCTCTTCCTCTCTTCACAAAATAAAAGACAATCACTTCACTGCAGGTGGGATCATGAAGAGTTAGAGAAGCACGAATAAAAAGATCAATTATATTTCCAACAACCGGCTTCAAAACACGCCTCCACTCGGTTTTAGTTTTGTTCATTTCAACCTAGAAAAAATGCAAAAAATGACTTTTTTTTCTGAAAGACATTTTAGAAAAAAAAACAGAATTTCATGCTTTTGATTTAAGCTCAGAATCAGCTCAACATGAACCTCAACATGTTCTGCAGTCAGTTATTAAAAGACGCAGTTTCAGTGAATCTTAGACGATGTTTACACGTGCTCGGCTATTTTCATAAACGGACATTTCACCCTCTCTGTTCGCAAAAAAAAACCTGCGTGCACACTATTATGTTTTCAGAAAAGTTTTCGTTTACACTAACCCGTGTGTTTATGCCGTCAAGAGCGTGCCAAAGCTCACGTTAGCCAATCAGAATCCCACATAGCAGCAGCAGCAACAACAACTTCACTTCCTTTTTTTAGAAAAGATGAAAATGCAAAGAAATACAAAGGAATTGCACCAACATAAATGCGGCTGCTATTCTGCATGCATCCATGATCACCATAGATTGTAAACATAGACTGCAGATGGTAAACAATGTTGCATTTAACCCAGTTTCCGGCACACAACCGGCCGTCGGCAACCTAAATCTCTGTTTTTCTCTGTTTACATGCAAACGTACAAAGTTTGGCGCTCGGGTGTTTCTCTGCCAAGAGTAACTCAATTTCAGGAATTCACCTTCATCGCTCTCTGCCGTAAATCTGGCTCTACTGCTCTTTTCACACCTTGTCGATGCAGCGACAGCATCATGGAGGACAGCGTGGTTAGAAGTCAAAGCTTGAAGTGGTCAGAAACGATGGCGCCACTCCACTGATGCCACTAATTTTGAGATTTGGAGTTTTCTAAAATCTCCACTCTGGTCGGAGTTTGTTAAAAGCATCATTTTCAGGAGTGAATTCTCTGTTTTCTTCTAAATGAAGCGTGCAAACGATGGTTAATGTCCATGTTTTTAAAAATAAAAGGAGCTTTATTTTGCACACGCTGTCAGTATGTGCAGCTCAGACCGTGGACGCATCATTATCTTTGGCGACTGCGATGCACGGCACACTTTTATATCATTTTTGCCTCAATGTGAGATTACCTGGATATCACTGTTTACGTGGATAAGATCGGCATTTTCCACATACAGCAAATCATTTGGAAAAAAAGGCCGAATTATGAAAATCCTCAACGCTAAAGTCTGCTTACAACTGAAGCTGAGGAGCCATAATGTGATAAATTACTTTAAGTTCCTGTAAATATAATTTACAATCAGAGAGTAAAAATCATCCTCATTAGACGTCTCGTTAAGCGTGTCGTGAACTTCACTGTAACGTAGAGAATCTGGGTTACACCCAGGGTCGTTTTCACCGACTCGAGTTAGCGTGCTCTTTTGTGGCTTTCGACATGGAGAGGAAACGCCGTTCCGACCGCATTTAAGAGGCTGAAAGTGAGCCAAGATGAATGTCCAGGTATCGAACTGAGATGGATAGAGGAGAGACCTCGGGGAGCAATAATGGTTGTTCTCAGTGTGTTAATCAAACCGATCCCTCTCTTCCTCTCCTCTTTGTTTTCTTTCTCTTTCACAGCAGGTAGAGTATCTCACTTTCTTATCTGGACCTCTTTATCCCCCCGCAGACCCCTTTACTCAGCGCTGACAGACACTGAAGGAATCACAGTTTTGAAGGGAAAAGCCTCCAGAATTTTCCGCCTCCAGTTGCCACAGGATACAAATCTGCTCCCGGCCATTACGGCGGTCTCTCCGCATGTGGAATTCGTGTCTAATGAATGCACAAATACACCTTTCCAGTGCGGAGTCAGAGCAGTGCAGTGGACCCCTATGAGGCTGCACAAAGGGAGCGTATTTGGGGTGTATTTTGTGCACAACCGCGGCTGTATCCCTCTGTGGTATTAGCTTGTATGTTTCAAATGAAACACGAGCGACATGACTACATCGCCCCCACTCTCATTAAATGAGTGGCAGATGCACAAAGTGAAGGAATGAAAGCAAACACTGCTTTTGTGAAGAAACACTGCTTTACACGCTTTTCACCCCCCCATGCATATCAAATGTGTTTCGCCAATTGGAAAGCATAATTCAGGGTGGAGGGAAAAAACAGCAGAGCTACTCTTGGAGGCAACCTTGCCAATTAATTTGCTGCTCAGATCTCAGAGCCTCACTAGAGAGGTGCTAGACTACATACCACCGAGCTAATTTGTGCAGCAGGTCTGTCTTAAATATATGCATGAAGCTAATTCGGTTAGTGTCGTAGCCCCTGTAGCTGTGGCGAGCACGGCGCTAGCTCCCATTAGCGATGTTTCTGCCTCCAGTGGAAATCAACACAAGTCGAGGCAGACGCCGATTTTTTTGCATAAAGCAAACAAAATTAAATTTACTCCGCTAAATCAAAGTGCAGAGCCAAATGTGGGTATCTCTCTCTCTCCCTCTCTCCCTCTCTGCACGTCCGTGTCTGTCTCTCTCCGAGGGATAAATTACTCCAGAATCATAAAAGTAGGAAGGAAAAAAAAAATACAGAAAGAGAGGAAAAGAGATTTTTCAGTCAAGTGGGATTCCCTGAACAATCCCAGCATGCTTTCACTCACCAAGACGTTGGCTTATGTGTCTCTGGGAGTGCTTCTCTGATTTCATGTGTCAGTCGGAGCATGCTGCCCTGCATGCATTTACAGTTTTTGTGTATTTCTTTCTCGCCGAGATCTCAAAGGAAAACTCAGAGATGTATTTGTACGAAAATAAACGTCAGGCCCGAGAACTCCAGGGGGGATTATTTGCACTTCTGGGCGAGTGAAACAGGGGCCAGATCAGGACCGGGCGATTATATGATCGTGATAGATTTGAGTTCGATCACAGTGATCAGCTGTGAGCGTATTTACTCGATCAAACATCGAGAAGTAAACAGAATGACTGAACGTGGATGTAAAAGGGAACGGAACTGAGGGCAACAAAATAGATGTTAGCCGTGACTTTTAGGCTACGTTCACACTGCAGGTTATGATGCACAATTCTGATTTTTTTGTTGAATCCGATCTTTTTGTGCGGTCGTTATATCTGATTTATATCCACATACAAAAGAGGCCTGGGTCGGATTAGAACAAATCAGAATTGACCTGTTCACACTGACCTGAAAAAATCAGGTATGAGTCACAGATGGTTCAAAAATGGGAATTGACCTGCAGTGTGAACATAGCCTTAGTCATCCTCCGAAGATGTTATTGTTGAGAAGTTAGACAGATAGATTTATTGGTCCCCGTAGGGAAATTTGTCTTCACCAACTGTACAATGCACATAACATAGGACAGACCTTAAGGAACAGACAACTAATGACAAACACCCGGACAACAGCAATCGGCAACAAGCAGTAAGGAGGCAACAGGACGGATTATTCTATTCAGGGCATCTATAGCTGCAGGGACCAGGCTTTTCCTAAAGGGGGCCTTGTAAAACCTTAGGGTTCCGTACCTGCGCCCTGAGGGGAGGAGGTTGAAGTATTTTTTGAGTGGGTGAGTGGGTGTCTTGTGCTCTGGAGTTTGCTACGCGTGTGATGGACCTGTTGTTCAGTTCTGTGAGGTCGGGTGTGGGTAGACCGATGAGTTTAGCTGCTGTATTTGTAACGCGTGTGAGTTTGGCCCGGTTGGTAACAGAAAGCAGTGAAGAAACGTGTAGAACAGCACAGAAGGATGGGTTGGATAATACTTTGATATGGCAACAACTGGAGGTGCGGAGCAACATACAGTTATTTAATGTCGGTTGTGTGGCGGTGGTTTGGGTATCTCCATAGTGACGTTGAGCAATTAAGCCGATGTGTAAAGTATGTCGGCGGTCGTCGCCCTCAAAAACCGGCAACACAACAGATCTGTTTAATCATTTGAAGAAGTTCTTCCTGAGTGATTATGAGGAAAGTATGAAAATGTGGGCGGAGTCTGTACAGCCTGTCACTGCTGACGGCACGAGTAGCATTAGCAGTTTAGCTACAACTAGCGGTGCAGCCACCAGACCGAAGCAATCAATTCTATCATCTACGTTTGAATCCTCTAATGTTTACATTTTAAGGCGTCTTCATTATCTCTGAGGGGGCGATTTGTTTATTTTGGGTCTTTCATTCCTGCAAAAACACTGTAAACTAGTTCACTGTATTATTTAGTATTTATCTACATTTGTTGTTCTGTTGAGTTAAAATGTTTTTTATATTTTTCTAAGTGTGTCTTATTCTTTGTTATTTACTTTGCATGTTAATAAAATGTTGAGCTAATCTCTATTTTCTTTAATTTTTAGTACAGATGCTTTAAAACTGGCACTTTAAAATAAAAATCGTGATAATAATCGAGATTGGATGATAAGACAAAATATATCATGATCATTTTTTTTGCCGAATCGCCCAGGCCTAAACCAGATTAATTTATAATTTCACTCTGTGTCTGTTAAAGCTGCTCAAAGATGTGCGAGCCTCATGTAGGATTGTGTGTGTTGGAGTCAGAGAGAGCTCCTTGCAGAGTACTGCAGAGCCAGTCAGTAAAACAGAAAAAAAAAGAGAGAGAGGGCCGCTTGGCTGTTCCTATTGAACTTGACCTGCGGGCCAGATCAATGTGTGTGTGTGTGTGTGAGAGACAACCCCTGCTTGTGTGAGCGCGAGTATGTGAGTGCACGCTGCCAGATCAATGTGTCTCCGTGTGCCGTGGAATGAGAGAGCACACTGATTACCCAGGGGTGGGAGAGGAAAGGGGGAGGAGGAGGAGGAGAGGAGGAGGGAGGAAGAGAGAGGAGGGAGGAAAGGAAGAGGGATGGGGAGTGGATGAGATTGAGCCGAGGACAGTGTTGAGCCCAGGATCAGGAGGGAAGCTCAGATCATTTCATTTTCATTTTCCCTTCATTTCTCCGCGAGCTAAGCCGTGAGTCGGGGCCTTCCACATGGATGGGGCGCCAAAATCAGATCTGCAGCCAGATGGTGGAGATCTGCGGGGAAATAGCAACACAATCTGAGAGGAATGGGAGGATTGGGGGTCAGCGATCCATGCTCCCGTCTTTCCTTTTCCTCTCCTCTTCTTTTATCTCTTCCTGAAAAGCACCTGAACTGTTATGAAACCTCGCACAGTGTCTCTCCGCCGTTTTCTGTCGCCTCCACGCTTCTTTTTTTTTCATTCTGTTCCTCCTTAAGAGTATGAAGGACTGCGGCCCAATCCTCAGCTCTGCGGGGCTCCTCTCATCTCGCTCGCTCAGTGTCGTTCCCGTCACGCGCAGTTCTGTTTGCAAACCCCTGCCCGTGTCCAATCAGCACGTAGCCACTGTGAAGTGTGTCCCTGCGAGTGTGTGTGTGTGTGTGCGTGCTCGTGTTTGAGAGGAGGTGGGAGGTGTTCAGGGTTTCTTTTTGAAGGGTTATGCTTCTTCTCTGATGTATTTTGTATGTGAACATGCAGCCTGTGAGGATTGTGGCCCAGAATGTGAAGGAAAGAAACAGTGAAGGTGTTTCTGTGTGAGTGTGAGACGAGACACACAACGTTTCACTACGGCAGGTTTTCAAGAGCATAAGTGGCGCGGCGCCATCGTTTTTGACCACTTCAAGCTTTGACTTCTAACCACGCTGTCCTTCATGATGCTGCCGCTGCATCGACAAGGTGTGAAAAGAGCAGTAGAGCCAGATTTACGGCAGCGAGGGATGAAGGTGAATTCCCTGAAATTGAGTTACTCTTGGCAGAGAAACACCTGAGCGTCAGGATGCCAGGTCGTAAAATTTAACGTTGTTCTTTAAATCTTAAAGCGCCACATAAAAACCTGTTCGCTGCGTTATTAGACCGGATTAGCTTCATGTGACGCATTTCTTCGGATACAGCCTTTTCGGCCTTTTCATAGATGTACTGATGTGGTGGAAACTGGGGGCAAAACTGACCTGCAGCCTCCTCGTCCATCAGTGAAGTCATCTTTGTCCATAATGATGCAAAACCATAGACTGTATATAGAATGGACGCCGTCTGCCTCCTCGCTGGGTGAAGCCACCACAAGAACAGCACCCTCTGGTGACAGGCTGCAGTATTGGTCATAAATCCTGCCTCCTCCAGCAATCCCTATGGAGCTGTGGACAAACTTTAAAAATTTATTACACAGAATATAAATTTTTACAATGTTGACATGTAGTTACTGTCAGACTGGTTTGTGCTCAAGTCCTCTTTTTTCTGTACAGCTCAGTTTTTAAAACATGTTTTCTATGATTGACACCTGATACAGCCTATGGGTGTAAGATGGCGTAGCTCACCTGGGGGGATACGCTGTTTGAGCCAAGTGTCATCACAGTGACTCTCTGACAGAATGCATACAACACTACCGTGCAAGTGGAGAAAATTACGGAAATACAGAGAGCAATCCGGCTTTAAATCTGTATAATGATGGGAGGCGGAGCCAAGTTGTCCAACGTAAATACAGTCTAGGTGCAAAACTTAAGCGAGATATCTTCAAAACTGATGAGTTATAAAAAAACAGTTTGCAGATTAAAAATAAACTCTTTAGACCAATATATTTTCATTTGCATGGGTGTGTATTTGGCTTCCTACACTTTTGCAGCGAGCCCCAAGTGGACACTAAAGGAACTGCAGTTTCAGCACTTTTGTTTCTTCCTCATTTCTTTAAACCCGGGGT